TGTTCCACTAAAGTCTGAAACCTTTCATCCAAATGGTTGGCTTTCTAAACAAGATAAAAGCCCATCTTGACTTATCCCATCATAATTAAAAACCTAGCCTAGATAGGCTTTCTTTTCTTGTCATAATTCTATCACTCATCCATACATCTTGATCCCATTTAATGAATTTCAAACCATTTAAAATTCATTTCTAACTACTTGTCAATCAACCTAACCTACTTAGGCTTTCTATTCACCATTATCCAAAATTTGCAGATCCATGCTATGCCATGTGATAAGATCCCAAGCCGAGTTGCTCTAATCCACATGGTACACTGCTAACAAATCCAAATTAAATCGGACTGTTCTACTTGCTTCTACATTGGGACTATGATTTTTATCCCATTTATTTTGTACAAGAAAATTTGAGATAACTTATTAAAAGATAATTATTATGATTAAAAACCATAACATTATCTCAAAACAAAATTATCTTAACTTTCTTATCCGACGGTCTAGAATCATGCTTACTCAACGGCCTCGATTGCACGGGCCGATGGTGTAATTTTAGGTCCAAACAAATTGTTAACTGATGGGGAATCTGTTATCCGGTGTGTATGGTTATGGACAATCCCTGATAGTTAATTTTCGTGGTTATGAGGATGAATATAGCTTTTCTGTCCCTAAACAGAACCGTTGCCATCCCTAATCTCCATAAGTAAATCCTTCAAGTAACAATAGAAGCAAATTGTTGTGTATAAATTTCAAAGGAGAATGTGTCATGATGTGTAGAAAATTCTTGAAGGATTCAAATTACTTAAAGTAAACATTGGAAGGGTAAAGCATCAATTATGTACTCAATACCAATGAATGGTATAAATTGCCTTAGTAAGTACTATCATTATGATACTGTTGCAACATACTAAATCTCTTGGAAGAGTTGATATTAGATTGGGACTCCTAAAGAGTCTAGAAAAATTATAAAGTGTTGAAGGGATCTTGTCTTGAGCTGCAAATCGAACAATATGCCAACACGATTCTTATCCATCAAAATATTCATGGTATTAAAGAAAACTATATGGATTGAAGATCATGAGTTGAATACTTAAATGAATAACCAATATTTAGACATTGAGAAAGATCATTCGTCCTTGTGAGGGAAATGATGAATTGATATTTGGTCCAGAAGTGTCATATCTTAGTGAAGTATGTGCCTTATTGTATTTAACACAATACATTGAATCAAATGTAACATTTCATGTGAAGCACAATACCAACATATGAGTATTAGAATGAAGTAAAGTTTATCTATTGATATCTTCAAGAAACAATAGACATGTGTTTATTGTACTCCAATGAAATCACTAATACCCATGGTCTTATTAGGCAAGCAAAATCTAAATCTCTCTAGCTTGCATACAAATCGCTCTCATAAAAAATTTGTATTTACATATGTAAATAGATTGATTCTGCAACGATGAAGGAAGTGAGGATCCATTGCTACATCTTCATATCTCTCATAAATACATATTTGCATGAAGCTAGTCATGAATGTGTTTGGCTAATACTTGTGGCCCATTAGAATTTGGAGTGTATGTGATCCACTTTCAAAAGCAAACACTCTAACTATCATGCATGGTATCATATTACATTAACTTAGTAATAAGTCAGATTGAAGAATTAAAAATCAGGAGAGTATACTCATCAGGGGGAGCATCCAAAACAAATCAAGGTTTTAACGAGGCAATTGAAATTGACATTTGGTTATCCAAGGGGAAGTGTTGTAATGTAATATGTGGATGGCCCCACATGAATAGTTCTTTACTATTTATCTTTAAAAAAATCAAATGGATAACTATTTATGCACTATTCATTTGAAGAAATTTTGTAAAGTGAATAGTGTTGCTACATTATTCTATCGGATGAAAACTCTATAAAGGAGGTTCATTCGTTCATTGTAAACAAACAATTCAATATCAAAGACAGAGAGAAGAGAAGAGGAAATAAGAGAGATGCGGGAGAAATTACTAATGAGCTGGGCTAGAGAAAGAAGAGAAAATAGTGAGGGTTATCATTGTACTCCTATTATTTCAAATAATGAAAGAAAGTACTATTGCTACCCTTAGGACATAGGCATACTTGCCGAACTTTGTAAATAATGTGTCTTATTTACGTTATATTCCATTGCACACGTACCTCAATTTCATAACATATTAGTATTTTTTAAGTAGTGACTATTTTTTAAATGGGTCAGAAAGAGCACATGATTGAGATAAAGAGAGAAAGAGTGACGTAAGAGAGAGAGCTTGGATAAGACAAAACAAAAACCAAGAAAACATGGAATAGAGGCTGGGACAGGTGGGTGGGTGACTGAGAGAGAAACAACACTCATACGGTGGGGATGGGGGAGAGAGAAACGATGAGACGAGTAAAAAAAAGAGCGCGACCTCACACGTGGTTGGCTTACGTGTCAACTCCAGTCTTTTTAAATATTTTATTAAATTTTTATCCTTATAATTTGTGTCATTTATATCAAATAAAGGTTTTCGAGTGCTTTTGATTAAAAACAATGATTATTTTTAGCTGTGCCCCTGGAGCTTCATTTTGATATCACTTTGCCCCTTTTAATTCAGAAGTTATCACTTTATTATCTAAAACTCGAAATTTGTTACACTTCAACTTGTGGACTCTTTCTTCTCCCTCAAACTTATAGGTAGCCTCGTGAAACATATGTGGGATGCAACACCCAATAAGACTATGACATGTGTGCAATAAATTTGAAATGTCCATTATGCGATAACATTCAACAATCCAAAAGTAAAAAGTTTAAGGGAACTGAAGAGATGAAAAAAAATAAAAAAGAAATTGAGTAGCCTGGCGCACCCAAATCAAACCCACATAATAAATTAACAAATCTAAGGCAATGTGGAAGAATTTTGGATTTTAGAGAGACGTCTTTCAAGTTTCAGGAGGCAAAATGGGGTCACAATTGTGACATCCCACATCGCCCAGGGGTGATCCTTATATGTATATTCTCATCCCTACCTAGCACGAGGCCTTTTGGGAGCTCACTGGCTTCGGGTTCCGTAGGAACTCCGAAGTTAAGCGAGAAGGGGGCTAGAGCAATCCCATGATGGGTGACCCACTGGGAAGTTGCTCGTGAGTTCCCAAAAACAAAACCGTGAGGGAATGGTAAGCCCAAAGCGGACAATATCGTGCTACGGTGGTGGAGTTGGGCCTGGGAAATGATCCGCCCCGGGCCGGGATGTGACAATTGGTATCAGAGCCTAACCATGGTCGTGGTGTGCCGACGAGGACGTCGGGCCCCTAAGGGGGGTAGATTGTGACATCCCACATCGCCCAGGGGTGATCCTTATATGTATATTCCCATCCCTACCTAGCACGAGGCCTTTTGGGAGCTCACTGGCTTCGGGTTCCGTAGGAACTCCGAAGTTAAGCGAGAAGGGGGCTAGAGCAATCCCATGATGGGTGACCCACTGGGAAGTTGCTCGTGAGTTCCCAAAAACAAAACCGTGAGGGAATGGTAAGCCCAAAGCGGACAATATCGTGCTACGGTGGTGGAGTTGGGCCTGGGAAGTGATCCGCCCTGGGCCGGGATGTGACAATTGGTATCAGAGCCTAACCCTGGTCGTGGTGTGCCGACGAGGACGTCGGGCCCCTAAGGGGGGTAGATTGTGACATCCCACATCGCCCAGGGGTGATCCTTATATGTATATTCTCATCCCTACCTAACACGAGGCCTTTTGGGAGCTCACTGGCTTCGGGTTCCGTAGGAACTCCGAAGTTAAGCGAGAAGGGGGCTAGAGCAATCCCATGATGGGTGACCCACTGGGAAGTTGCTCGTGAGTTCCCAAAAACAAAACCGTGAGGGAATGGTAAGCCCAAAGCGGACAATATCGTGCTACGGTGGTGGAGTTGGGCCTGGGAAATGATCCGCCCCGGGCCGGGATGTGACAACAATCGAGTTTCAGGGGGAAAAGTGAAGCAAATTTGACTTTTAGATAATCTCCAACCCTTGGAGTAAAACTTAAAATTTTTAGCCCAGGAAATTTAGGTTTTAACTTAGAAATAGCAATTCTGCTCCAATATTTCTGGCCTAAAATTTTAGCCTTAGATTATTAAAGAATGAATTTAAGCAATTTAAAAAAAAAAATTATATAGACTATCCTAAATTAATTTTAAGAACATTTTAACCAAAAAATATTGAAAAATCACTAAATCAACACATGAAACTCATGAAGCACTATGGAAAAATCACTAAATTGGATCATTAATAAACCATGATTAATAGAAATGGTTTTGGAAGATGGTAGAAAGAAAAATTGAAAGAATTGTAAGAAAAAGGTGATTTTGTGTGGATGTTTGAACAAATATATATAAGTATTTATAGAATTTTTGGGTGAATTTTGAGTTAAATAAATTTTTTAAATTATTTTAGCCGTTGAATTTAAATTTGGGTCATTAGATTTTTTTTTTTTTACCGTTAGATTTGATCATATTCAATCTAAACCGTTGAATTCAATAAATAAATAAATATAAAATTAAAAAAAAAAAGTTTGAACATAGACAATTAGGTGAACCAACGGCCCGTTTAAATCGGATCACACAATAAAAAGTAGAGTCGTTAGGCTCATGTTTGCATGGCAACAAGTGGGCAGCAAGCCCACGTGGGTGTGTTGGGTAACTCGCTGGGCTTGGCAACAAGTGGGCATCATGTAGTAAATGACCATTTATTTTTACATATCTTATTTTTGTCGGTTATTTTTGTTTAATTTATTTAATGAAACGGCTAAAATTGAATAACAAAAAGTGTGGGAAAATAGTTCGCTGGTCCCATGCATTAAAGTATTACTGTTCTCAATAAAAATATCTTGACATACGTGTGGGTGTGAGGCTACACTTGCACATGTGGATATCAAGAGTTAGCAGTAACACTTGCACATGCATCTCTTCTTCACATCTATGATTCAGATCTGAAAGTTGAGCGTTGATTATCAAATATGGAGAATTCTCATCAAGTGTCGGACCACCTGGAGCCGTGGCGCCACCTCCACGGTAAGGTCGTCATGGTCACCGGCGCTTCCTCTGGCCTCGGCCGCGACGTTTGCTTAGACTTGGCTAAAGCCGGATGCAGAATCGTAGCCGCCGCTCGCCGCATCGACCGCCTTCAGTCCGTCTGCGATCAAATCAACCAGCTCTCCATCACGGCTCCGTCTTTTTCTTCTTCTGCTGCTGCTGATAATATTCCTGGTGGAGGCCCGCGGGCCGTGGCTGTTGAGCTGGATGTCAGCGCCGATAGCCCAGCTATTGAGAAGTCTGTGAACAACGCTTGGGACGCGTTTGGGCGCATCGATGCCCTTGTTAACAATGCCGGTATTAGAGGTTGGTTTGGTTCGCTTCCCTGCCTTTATATGTTATTTGTTTTGAATTTGCTTTCCCGTTCGGGGTTGAATTATTATAGAGAAACCAACGATCAAATTTAAGCTGCATATGGGCTCTTAGAATTCATTCCATGCTAAATTCATAGAGTTTGGACCCGAGAGGAAAACCCGGAAGCTCGAATTTGTAAGCAAAACGATACATAGAATGCAATAGGAATCCTGTTGGGCGAGCATTCGTTGGTTTATGTATATTAGTTTCACTTTAGAATAATCCAAATTGCTTGTTTGATTGTTTTAGTTCATGAACTAAAATGAACTTACCAATGACAATGCTGACTACTGAATTGAACACGACCCCCAGTAGAGACTGGTACGATTCAATTCAACACTTTGTTCGTTCGGGTTTGATTATCATTTTGTGAAAGTTAAATATGATGTTCTTTTCATTAGTAGTACAAGTCTCAATTTTCTATGAGCGTATATTTCAGTAGTGGTGTATCAAAGATGCTTACTACCATCTGTGTTTCTTAGGTAAGGTGAAGACTGCATTGGAATTGTCTGAGGAGGAATGGAATAATGTCTTCAGGACAAATTTAACGGGTTCCTGGTTGGTGTCAAAGTTTGTTGCTATACGCATGCGAGATGCTGATCAGGGAGGATCAATCGTCAATATATCTTCCATTGCTGGTCTTAATCGTGGATATTTGCCTGGAGCTACAGCATACAATTGTTCAAAGGCTGGCGTAAACACCTTAACAAAGGTATTATCTCTAACATGCTCATAGTGAAAATCGTATCAACCGCGTAGGCTAAAGGCATTCTATGTTTGTTACTTTTGGCCTACAAATGAAATATAAGATTTTATCCTCAACTTTGTCATAGCACCGGCACTACCTTTTGCTTATTCTCTCGTTGTTTTCTTTTTCTCTCATAAGTTTCACTATTTGTATTTCGTTTCGAGAATTTCTTAAGGATTATGTTCTGTAGTTCTCTGCACATCGTAATGTGGGTGACGGCTTTGATGGAACTATACTGAATCTTATTATTTTAACCAGACTATGGCTATGGAGTTGGGGGTGCACAATATCAGAGTGAACGCAATATCACCTGGACTTTTCAAGTCGGAAATCACGGAGGGTCTTATGCAAAAAGAATGGCTACGCAATGTGGCTATGAAAACTGTCCCTTTACGAACATTTGGGACTTCGGATCCAGCACTGACATCGCTAGTTAGATATTTGCTACACGACTCTTCTGAATATGTGTCTGGCAACGTTTACATTGTTGATGCAGGAAACAGCTTGCCAGGTGTTCCTATTTACTCTTCCCTCTGAAGTTTCATGTGGATTTGTATTCATGAGGAACAGAAAAGAGTAGAGAAATAAATAAACGTACGATGAATACGTATGGAAGCCCCTCGCAAGTTCAAGATTTATGAATAATACAAGGTCTGGCGGAATTCATTTGTGGACATACTGTCAGATTTTTATGTGCATTGAGATCATGTATGACATTGTTGCAAAACAGATTTTCAGTTTTAATTTTCAATTTTTCGTCAGACATGAAGAAGAGTGAAGGATGGTGGACAGATGTGGAAGAAATGTATACTAAGAAATGGTACACTGCACCAAAACTAAAAATCAAAATTGAGAATTTGGCTACGGTTATACGCTGTAATGACATCCAATGACCATATCTATACATTTGGAGCAAAATAAGGAAGGATTTCCTTTCGATGTGTGTGCTTGCTTAGCTTACCGTCTTTAATGTCACAAACCAAAACAAACTCGCCACAGAAAATTGTCCCTAGATTGTAATAAGTTAGATGGCAAGCTATCCTTGTCTAAGGGTTGGTTTGGTATTGCTGTGCTTTGAAAAAAAACTGCTTCTGTTGTGTTGTGAAAATAAGTAGCTATGAAATAAAGCAGCAGAGTGTTTGGTAAACTTTTTTGTAAAAGTGCTTTTGAAAAAAAAAAAAAAAAAAAAAGCAGTATTACAGTGTTTGATAAATTTATATGTAAAACAGATGTGAAAAAAAACTGGTTTTTCAAAGCTGGGTTTTGCAGCTTTGTGTTTTTGGCTTTTTTTCATCCAAAATTATGAAAAAATAGTTGAAGCTGAATGTTTACCAAACATAAAAAAGCTCCCAATTTTTTTTATATCTATTTTTTTCAGAATCACCTCAGTATCAAACTAGGGCTAATACTCATCATAATTTTGCCCTACAAAATGCCAAATCTCCCGTCCCGTAAATGTAATCCGTTGCATCCGTCCATGAATCTTGGACACTGGATTGTAGTCATGGGTTGATAGCTGTTTATGGGGCGGGAGTGACGAGACATAGAGCACCAAAAGGGAGTTTGCACATATTTACTTGGGTAGTGCTATCTACGCATCTTTTTTACTTCTCATACATTTCAATCAATTTTTGACTATCAGATCGAATGAATTGAAGATTAATGAAAAAACACTAATAAAAAGGTAATAATGGGTTTCTACACTATCTATTTGGTTTTGTCCTTTTGGTCAAATAGGAAGGAAGCCGTGTAGTTTTACCGTATTACCCTCATGACCCTCCCTGCTGTTATCTCCGCCACTAACCTTATCCTGTGCGCGCGCGCGCACAAATTACACAATACAAGATCAATCTCGTACCGGCGACGACGACTGTGCCCGTTCCCGGAAAACTGTCGTCATTGAGGTTAGCGGCTATCAATTCAATTTTAATATCAATGTATCAATTCGTTGGGAAATTTTAGGAGTAATATTATTATTTTTGTAAGTATCATTTAACTTGGTTTGATCAAAATGTTAGGGTTTGTGGATTAAGATTGAGATTGAGATTGAGATTGAGTCTGCGATTGCGATTGAGTGTGGTGGCTGCCTGCCTGCAAGTGCAATGTTTGGTTTGCATAAGTTGTCAAGACAAATGAGGAATGTGAAGCGAACACTAGCAGGATTCGGTGGGGGGAAATTTGAGGCTTCCTATTTGTCAAGTCGTAATTTCAGCACTGTAATGCCTCTATATCCGTCTCTTTTCCATATGATTCAACAATTACACCCATCTTTTAATTCGTTCTTTGTCGTAATTAATTTGTATGATCCCAGCAGCAGCAGCAGCAGCATCGGGTTTTAAAAGACATTCCGGAATGTGTAAAGATTGTAGAAGTTGGTCCGAGGGATGGACTGCAGAATGAGAAGAACATTGTTCCTACCGCTGTCAAGGTTCAATTGATTCAAATGCTTGTTTCTTCTGGCTTGCCTGTTGTCGAGCCTACAAGTTTTGTCTCCCCAAAATGGGTTCCTCAGGTTAACTTTCGATATTGTGTCTATTCTTCCATCAATTCAAATTATGTAGCATATTCAATTATACGTTGGACAAATGTTGTTCTTCTGTGGTTGTTTCACATCTGCCGCTTCTGAGCAATCAATCAGTTCTTTGTTTTCTAATGCTTTTCTCTTTGTTTTTTTTCTTCTTTCATATGGTTTGTGTAGTTCCGTTGCGCCCCCTTGAAACCCTAACAAGTTTTCATTTGTCAAAGGAATCTCTGAAGCATCTTTAAAATTATTCTTCATTGGCTATGGGTTTTCATGGCTGACTTTCTTCCCTGTCTTGCTCATCTTTCAATTTCAGCTGGCAGATGCAAAAGATGTAATGGCCGCTATTCGGCATATTGAAGGTGCTAGATTTCCCGTCCTAACCCCTAATCTTAAAGTAAGCATTTTCTAGTGAAAAGGATACCATTATAAACTGATAACAAGATACGTTACTAATTCATCTCATGATCTAGCTTCTTATAGGGATTTGAGACAGCTGTTGCTGCTGGTGCAAAGGAAGTCGCCATATTTGCCTCAGCTTCTGAATCTTTCTCAAAATCAAATATAAATTGCAGTATTGAAGATAGTCTTGTTCGATATAGTGATGTTTCTATTGCTGCCAGAAAGCTTTCAATTCCTGTTCGTGGGTATATATTCTAACTCCTTTGGTAGTTGGGGGAAAGGGGTTTGGGTTCTTCTCACTCCCAGTGGAACTAAATTACTTTCTTTTTAATAATATTTTTATATGAACCTATTTAATTTCTATTATCTTTTGGTATGCTTATATTAAATTAATAATAAACAGTTTCAAATATGAATGGGTTAGTCTTTATATTCTTTTTCTTTCAAGTATCATTTTAAGGGACTATTTTAAGAAGAGACTTCTAGTATTAAGAAGCAGACTATTTCATTTATTTATTTATTCTTCTCCGGGGACCACTTGTTCGCACAATGTCTTGTGATTCTTAGAGTTGGCCAATGACGATTTTTATCTCTAACCCCTTCTGTCATTGCCACCTACATTGCCTCCAAATTTTTTCTGTGCTTGATTTTCACTGCCTGATCCAAAAGTATAAACTCCCAATGTTCATGATATTCTTTCTCCTTTTCTTTCTCAGTATTGTCTATAATATCAAATTGTTACACATTGCTTATGTTTGTGGGGACAACTTTTGAATTTCAAATGGTGACGTTTTTAATTTATGGACACTGCTTATGGATCAAACAGAAGTAAAATTATATAGTTTCTGAGCAATATTCCAATATATTGCCTTTCAGATATATATCGTGTGTTGTGGGGTGTCCGGTGGAAGGAAAGATATCCCCATCACAAGTAGCATATGTGGCGAAAGAACTTTATGATATGGGTTGCTCAGAAATTTCTCTTGGTGATACAATTGGTGTCGGTACTCCAGGTCATTTTCGTGCCACCTTTTTTCTTGTTGATTTAGTTGGTTGTCATGCCTTTGCTCTTGTTGAACTTATTCTCAGACACTCTTTGATATTGAATGCAATTAGACCTTCATATTGTAGCTTACAATCACTTGGTTGAATTTAAAAGTGCACAATGTTGCATCTATCCAACTCCATGAGCAACTCTTCAAACTAGACTAGAAAAAGCATCTGATATACTTTATAATGTAGAAAATACAAATATGCTCAAGATGCCGCCACACTGTGACGACTGCTAGTTTCTTTAACCAGATAGATAAAATATTCATTAATTTGTGTGTCGCACTTGAATATTTTCAAGTTAAGGATAGGCACAGCCCGACAATTGACTGTGCATTGTATTTAGCTTCTATTCGAACATGTACCTGTGGTCCTTTAGTATTTCCTTATGCCATCCTAAATACTCTCTTAGCATATTGATCAAAATGGGAGAAAAAAAGAAACTTTCTAAACTTTCATGCTATGTGGATTTTCCAGCCAGTGATCGGGCGTTGTTGACTTTGGGAAAATTAATTTTTCTTGGGCTAGTTTCATTTAGGTAAAAACCCTATTCTCAATACTAGGAACCAATCAGATTAATATTTTTCTTATTGGTTTTTGGACAAAGTTTAAAAGGCAAACTAGAAGTTCAAGATCAAAAGTCGCACAAAATGTGCACCCTGAGGCTCGGGTCGTGGAGTGCCGTTCACTTCTTGACGAGACTCATTTTAGCATTTATTCCATATAGCATACACTATTTGGCTGAGGTGTATTCGTCCAGGAATATGCTTTCTGGGATAAACTAACACTTTGAAAGCATAAAATAAAACTTCCCCAAAAGATGTCTAAAGGTTGTAATTGGAAAAACTTCTGAAACTCTCTTTGTAAGTCCAATGATTGTGATGGTAGTTTGCATTGTTATCTTAATGATGCGGGGGAAGAGACTAGAATGAGTGAAGTAGATTTGTTCTTTTCCTAATTTCTTTTTTATTATACTTGTTTCGTTTCTATTTAAGTTTGATGGTTTGGTTGAATTGTTTGTTTTACGGTTGAATGACAATTATATATGTTTAACTAATATTATTCTTATAATTTTAAAAAGGGTCTCATCCGCTTTTATGTTTTAAAATTAGGCCAAAAGTAATTAAACATAGAACACCACTGTTTAGACATAGTACGTTGAATATGGTTACTGCATTTCCAATTAAGAAAAATAGAACATAGAATTGTGACCAAAACTAAATTTCCTAATTTTGTTTAGTTAGTTCTCCGCTTGTATATACATGATTGAGCTACCATAAACCGTAAGGTTAACCATGTATTTTGTGTGTTAACTTCTATGGGTTTTTTCCCTCTCCAGGTACTGTCATTCCAATGCTTGAAGCTGTTATTGACGTGGTCCCGACTGATAAGCTTGCTGTCCATTTTCACGACACTTATGGGCAAGCTCTTTCAAACATACTAGCGTCACTCCAGGTAATCCAGATTGCTTTTGAATTTAGCAGGAAATTTTATAATATGTAGGTCGTTGTAATTTTTAATATGATTTGAGCAGACAAAATTAAAGTGTTAGTCTTCAGGCTAATTGTGTTTGTCTTGAAATTTTTGACCCCGATTAACCCTATCAATAAACAGTTCTTGTTTGAAAGGTTTTCAGAATTCATGCAGGAAAGTGCAAAGACTTAATTAGTAGGTGTAGCAAAGTGTATTCCTTAATAATAGATATTGAAAACCTAAAGGGCAAGTACGACAAAGTACATTTGGCACTTATTAAGGGACAAGGAGGGTACTTAATACGCCCTTGCCAACTCAATGGTCTGAGAGGACTAGTTTGGAGCGCTAGCAGTTCTTGTGGGTACATAGTTGCTAAAATGAAGTGATAACAAGCTCAATGAAGTTGGAACGGGCATGCAATATTGGATTGGAAGTCATCTACCTAGTCCTGAGCTTCTCACAGTAGAGCATGATGAACATCAAAATAAGCAAATGGAGCTCGTGAAGGTGCATAATCCAAACTATAAACTCAAACTTGAGAAAGTGAGCAATATTTGGACTCTGAACTCAAACGAAAGACAATAGATTTATCGGCACTTAAACACATTAAGTTGGTTCCCAAGGAAACAATGAACAATTATAAACCACCAAACTGATTCCCATTCTTGTGACTACATGATTCTGTGGACTATACTTTTAGAATTCCGACGAATCTTAATGTTTAGGATAATAGAATTGCATGCAATAAAAAGGGTAATATAATTGCAATGACATTTATTGTATTGGCAGATAGGAATCAGCACAGTGGATTCTTCAGTATCAGGTCTTGGGGGTTGTCCGTATGCTAAGGGAGCTTCCGGAAATGTTGCCACGGAAGATGTTGTGTACATGCTTAATGGACTTGGAGTGAAGACCAATGTAGATCTTAAAAAGCTCATGTTGGCTGGGGACTATATCAGTAAGCACTTGGGGCGCTCGTCTGGTTCAAAGACGGCAGTTGCCTTGAGTAAAATCGCAGCTCCTGCCTCAAAGCTATGAGGTACCACCACTCTTGTGTAAGTCTATGTGTTTCGCCCCAAATATACTTGATACCTGAAATAAAGAGGGGGAGTCACTTTAAGTTGTTTTGGTGGTGTGCGATGTATTGATACAAGTACATTTGTGCAATTGAAATGTGAGGTGAATCAAATTAGAGAATTGAAGAGGACTAGATGGAGACTTGGGGCCTCTTTGGTGGCTTGGTTGGGATAAATTGTGACCAATTAAAATGGACTTGAGTCTAGTTCGTTGTTTGTTGGGTCAAAATGTGAGATGGACAAGATTAGACATGATGAGTTATAAATCTAAAATAGAGTGGGTTACCAAACCTATCCATATAAGTGAATTACAAGTTTTGTCTTACAAGTCTCTGCTATCTCTTAAGGCTCAATCTCATCCAGCCCACCAAACGGGCCATTAAGGGGACTCCCAGAAAGTGACAATGGTTGTTTTTAAGTGATCTTCACTCTTTTTTTGCTTATGTACATTCATATTCACTATTTATATTTGGCATTTGGATTGTTAACTCAAAGAGGAATGGAGAGAGAAAAATAAACAAGGGTTTGCAAATTGAAACAATATCCATTACTTTGAATTAACACTGAAAAGATTACACTTGAACTCCAGGAACTCAACAATATCAGTGTTTGAGTCGATACAAGCCAACAATTGGGATCATAGGGAAATTTTATTTGAACCCAACAATTTTATTTCTACATTATTATTTTTTAAAGAATTTATATTCAAATATTTTCTTAAGAAATGCTTTTAAAAATTCTGAATTTTTTTTAATACGATACCAAATAGGCCATTAATTTCTTCACTAGATGGTATAAAAAATTCAGTAGTAAATTGGTTCACTTACAACATTGTTAAATTCGAATGTTATGTGAAGACTTCACTGAATAGTATGACTTTAGTATCTTGCTCCATAAAAAATGGATGAAGAGATTCTTAGAACCCTTAGGAGTCGGAAAACCATATCGACTATTATGGAACACAATGCATACCAGCAAGCAAGCTGCACTCACACATAAACCAAAACTTAGTTGGATTTTTAGAAAGAAATAAACAATTTCTAATTTTGTATATAAATGCTTCAGTCGTCACCTAAATAGTCTCTCTCTCTCTCTCTTCTTACTTCTCATTTTCTCTCATTCTCTCTAACTCTTACCCCCAGACTCTCTCTTTCTCTGCAAACTTTCATTCTCCTCTCTAAGCTCCATCTGCGCATCAACAAACCACCATCACCTGGACTTAGAAACCTCGAGGACACCAGGGCAAATGTCGTGGAACCCCAACAGTGACGGGATTACTGTGCATTGTCTCTTCAAGCGAGTTTTGACGTACTTTGTGAATTTTCTGACGTAGGTAGGCTTTTAGAAACCCTTGGGATGTGTTTTAAGGTTAGATCGAAACTTGTTTTAAGTTGTACAATGTGTTAAACGTAGAAAGTAACTTAGAGTAGCTTTTCCCAGTTTTCCGGCAAGTACCGCCACTTTCAAGGCATTTTCCGGCCAAACCAAGGCGAGTTAGCCATTGTGCAAGGTACCATTCTCTTCATCTCGTTGAGAACTATGATTTTTGTTTTTGAATCACTTGATTTGGTTGAGTATCAAAGAAGTTATGAGCGTTGAAAATTCTACCTAAAAACTGGCCAACTCACAGCTTGAAACTGGGTTGACCCGATCCAATAACCCTAAACCGATCCAAACCTAACTGCTACCCGGCCCAACCCAGAGTTTTAGCCCATTAAGCCAAGCCCAAACCCAAACCTTTGGCCCAACCCAGAATCCCAGTTAGCGCGAGGGTCCACGCGTGGGCCTGCACGTGGGCGTGCGTGGGCGCCTGTCTTGGCCAACGCATGGAGCACACGCGCCTCCACCTAAGGTACTGTGCTCTGCTACCATCCACGGCGGCGCCAATGACTTTTCCAGCCAACTTTCAGGCGACCCAACTGCGTGTGGCCGCCTGGGCTCCCGCCCTGTGGCGGCGCGGGGGGGTACACAAGGTCCCCTCTTATGTTTCGACGTCTTGAATCCGTTTATGACGTTCGATTTCCGAAATTCAATTGTTATGGTAGAGTTCTATTAATTGGACCCTTTATGTGCTTAGGTGCGTCTATTAGCGGCGTTTCCATCCTTCCTATTTCGCACAGTTCTTCGACGACAGAGTATTTGTGAGTGGACCCCTTCCAAATTGCTTGTTTTAATTGCTAGAAATGCATACATGAAAAACATGATTTTATGAATACGTTTTATGAAACGTTTATGAGAAAATTGGATTCATGCTTTATGAAATATCATGCTTCATTGGATTTATGCTTATTGAGATATTCATGAATATGACTTAAGATATGATGTTGAGCTATTGAGATCCGTTGAGATATATACACATATTTTGGAAATATTATGTTCATGATTTTATGTGCTTACTTAGTGGTTATCCATACTATGAGCCCAAGTGCGATTGATACATATATTTGGTTTCGGTTTGGTGATTAAAAAAGTATGAATTGTTTTAGGCACGTACAAGGAGCTGATTGCAGATCCTAATGGTGAACTTGTGAGGCAAATGACAGCACATACAAAATCTCTACAGCAAGTTCGGACGTGTCCGCAAGATTCTTCAGAACACACTACTTCTTGCCGTAATACAAACAGAACTGCTAAAATATTACACGTAGAAATAGTGGAAGAAACTTCCATTAACGACATTGTTGTTAATAAGAATAGCCGAGAAGAGGAAGAAGAAGCTCACACAGGACGAGTAAGTGGAGTGTGTATTCGACCTTCGTGACTCGTGCATATGGAGGCACACTTGTTCCTGTTATCTTGCTCTGTCGAGTTCTCTTCCAGGGGCTTGAAATAGTAAGAAACTACTGGATTGTTTGGGCGTCAAAGAAGGAAAATGGAATTACCATAGAAGAGATGATCTGGTTTTTCGCTTTGTTATCGGGAGGGAGGGAGGGAGGGAGCTGTGTCTTCATCTTGGTAAGGGCTGTTATAACTTCAGCCGTCACCATTGAAACTTCCCAGCGTCTCTTGCATGGGTGGTGAGTTCAGTTTTCTGAGCACCTACGGTGTTTTTCGATTCCACTCCTTCTAGTCGAATCCTCAATAGGGTAAGTAAGATATTCCCTAGTTCAACGTTAGATTTTGTTAAACTGTTTCGTTGAATTATAAATCAAATTCTAAGAGTACTCCAAAACTTGGCTTTTCTTGTTGCTTACATAAACTTATGAATATTACAGTCTTCGACTGATCAAAGCACAGTGGACACGGATATTCCATTCAGATTAGCTGGATTAGTATTTGCACTCATCCAGCTAATAGGTTCCGTCATCCTTATGTCTGTAGTGGCCTGGCAAGTCATCCTCCTTTTCCTTGTCGTCTTTGCGCTCTCTGCGTGGTACATGGTAAACAAGAAGAGAACCTTAGTTCGTTCCACACTTAAAATTGCAATGCATAATCTTGTTTCTTGATTAAAATTAAACGCATAAGTACTTTGCTTTGCTTTTTTTTTAACCCAGGTGTACTGCATTAGCACTGCCTGAGAATTATCCAGGATGGTTGCAATTCAAAAGGCTCCAATACTGCATCAATTTTCTGAATCAATCACGAGGGCTGCAACTATTCGTTGTTAAAATCAAGAACAAGATCGCTTCATGAAGAAAGTAAGAAGTGTGATTGATGATTTTTCAGGAGTAGCCTTTCACAATTATGCAACCACGAAATGGCTCTCTCTGCCATTTCGTGGCTCTCTCTGCGAATGAACTTTCTCTTCAACTTAGCCTTTTTCATAGTCCTCATCATCTTGGTGACCTTGCCTGCATCCGCCATTTATCCCAGTAAGCCCCTTTGTGTCCCCTATGTTTTACTAAACCAAGATTTAAGAGGAAAATGTTATTAATTCATTCAATCTGATTGGGATTAATGCTTTTGAATCTCAGGTTTGACAAGATTGGCTGCATCTTATTGCTTTAACCTCATGGTCCTTCAGGCTTGGTTATCTGGAATCTATTCAATGTCGAAAACTCAATGATATCAGTTGAGAGAATTCTTGAATTCACAAGAATACCAAGTGAGGCACCGCTTGTGATTGAAGGTTCTAGGCCAAACGCTGGTTGGCCAACTGAAGGAAAAGTCGAACTTCAGAACCTGCAAGTTCAGTATCACCCAGCTCTCCCAATGGTGATCAAGGGGGTCACCTGCACCTTCCCGGGAAATATGAAAGTCGGTGTTGTGGGAAGGACAGGAAGTGGAAAGTCTACTTTGATTCAAGCACTGTTCCGAATAGTAGAACCATCAGGAGGGAAGATTCTCATTGACAAATTAGACATTTCAAAATTGGGTTGCAAGACTCAAGATTCAACCTTATTTCAAGTAACTGTGAGGACTAATCTGGATTCCCTGGAGCAGAATTCCTGTCACAAAATATTTGGAATCTCGTCGAGTATGCAACATAGTAAGCTTGACTTGCTAGAACCAACAGCACCGCAAACACTAGAAGTGGAATAAGCCAAAAACTCCGTGACTGGAAGAGAAGAACTCCCCGATTGCTTCTACGTCCATGCTGATTAAATTTATGATATTTCCATTGGTTGGGCAGGCTAGAGCTAAGAACCAAAACTAGTTCATCAACTATATGGTCTTTTCATTAACTTTTGCTCCTGAATTTTGCCTATTGGGAAGCGATTGTTGTAAAAACTCGAGTTCAGTGTTAAGATAAGATTACGATATTTTACCTAATGTTGATTAGTTGGGTATCCCAATCCAACTCTTCTATTAGTCTTAACTTCATTGATTTGTAAGTTCAGTTCATATTACTGCTATGGTTTTGTTTCTTAGCCCACAAGCAAAGTAGGAAATTAATTTTAGACCTGAGTTGAATAATATGAACTTTATTGAGAAACAAGATCATACACACACCAACAACTTGGCAGCTCGCAGTGCACAGAATTCGTCTCATAAACCCTTTTACCAAACAAATTTTGTGTCCTACGTTCTCCAATCCCGGCAAGGTCTATGAATCGCATCATTCGATTCACTTTGGAATCTTTGGATCTGAGAAGTATTTGTTGATGGATGGCATGATCTGGGGGCCTTTGCTTCGGACATATTTCCGGAGTCCATGTTCTGCATATCTCTCACCCTCTGCATGGTTCTCTAGCACCCCTGCAGTTCTGTTCTGCTTGGTAACCCTGAAACATACATAACACGAGATTAATCAACACCATCGAATAATTATTTGTAATCGTTTCTATTTGTGCATACGGGCAAAGGGGTCTATGTACCTGACTTCAGGGTTGGTGGTGATGTTCCTAACAAGCTGCATGCCGCAAATGCCAACAGCTACACCAACTGCAGCAAATAGAGGGAACACCTATGCATCCAGGCCAACAAAAAAAATATTTCACGTATATGAGTGCCACATTAATTAGTTAGGGTTCTAAGCAACCAATATTCTGACCTTTAAGAAACATATAAGAAGTCGAGAATCGAAATAATTCCAGTACCTCGGGCCTTATCCATCTGGAGGAGGAAGCCATCGTAAAGCTGTTGAGAGAAACGAAGAAGAAGAGAAGAGAAGATGATTGAACAACTGTTCCCTTCTCTTTCTTGGAGGTGGCGTGAGAGACAAGGCAGAACAACCTGTGTTTTTTTCACAACCATGAGCTCTATATATTTATAGCACCCACTAATTACCCATTTTTAGATTCCAAAGAAAAAGCACAGCCTTGACCTATTTTTATCCAAATTCCGATTAATTCTAAATTTTCGGTTCAAAGTTTGTGGCCTTCCCTGAGGAACTATTTGACTAAGTTTCTGTTTGGGTCCTCACCATATTTACAAGTTAATTGAGGCCTACATTTTGGCCCAATAGGCCTATGGAAGTTCTTTCGTACATGTCTATTCAAAGAAATTTTTTTGCCTGTGTTCGTTTGGAAGTGTTTTTAAAATGACTGATAACAATTTAACATAAAATATTTTCGGGTTTTAAAATGAACTTGAAGTGCTTCTTACAATAAGCACCAGTTATGTGCTTTTTGCTATAAATACCTTAAATGTTTTCCAAGATTAACTTGCATTTTAACTAAGAATTGGTTTCAAAAACATTTTTATGAAAAGTGCTTTCTGCCACTCTAGACCAGTTATGTGCTTCTTGTGGATCGATAATCATGAGAATGAACACTTGAGTAACAAAATACGATAGAAGTCTAACAATTTGATTCCTCGCCTTCTATATTACATGAGCTATTCATGTGCGTAAAAGAAGTACATCCATTCTAACCAATGTGACTTTACCCAAGTGAGCCATAATATTGTCAGAACAATGCTCAAGTAGAAGTAGCATCGTAGTCCGGCCCAAAATCGGATTGTATGCCCTTTTTAAATTTTGGACTGGGTCGGAGCCCAAAACAACTGAAAAAGACTATCTAGCTGAAGGTATATCATCCCTTGCCCTTGCCTAAGGCATGATGCATCCAACAAGGAAGTCACTTGTCGTCACATTATCTGCCTTGACCACAAATCGAGACCCACCTTCATGTTCATTGTTGTCATTTCTTTATCTTGGACCACCCCTTATGGTTTCATTGAGTTTCCAACTCTCGTATGCTATTGAGTCACTTTATTATATATAACAACACTCAGTGCCATAGACTCATAATCCAAGTCGTTGAGAATTTTGCTATCAAATTAGGGTTTATCTATCCCTCCATCCGTTCAAACATCATGAGCTGGGCAACTGGAGGTACCTATAAGCACGATTTGGTCGATTAAGAACAAAGCGAACTAAATTTATATAATTTGAGAAAAGTACAAAGCAAACTATCAAGGTCCAACATTTCCAGCTAACTCTGTGTTATATTCCTATTGTTTTTCTCGCTTTCTCTCTTGCTCCGTCGGCTGCAAATTTTAATACAATTTCTGGCATCTTCCTTTGACTTTATTCAATTGTTCCCTTCCCAGCTTCCTTCAAACAGTTCATCGATCATTGGGCGATACATAATATTCTTAGTTTTTTATTTTTTTTGGCATAGAACTTAGCAGATCTCAACAAGTTTTTAAACAAAGCCACTGACAAGATTGGATCACTGTCTTGTTCCTGTTCTATGTCATCATGCACGTCTGATATAATTTGTAACAAATTGATTGATTATTTTTTAGCGTGATTAAGTTTTGGATCGCTTGTATAAGGGCTAAGAGTGTTTTTCGACAATCAAAAGTGTTTTTAACCAAAATAAATATTCTTTAGAGAAGTCATATTATGTTTATGTTTATGAAGAACTTTCAAATGTTTTTCCAGATGTACTTGCATTTTAAAAAAAAATTAACTTTTTAACGAAAGCAATAATGAACATATTAAGATTGCAAGAATAGTCACACACAAGCTCTGAGTGTGTGTTCAATTTTGTAACAAATTCATTGAGTTTTTTTAGCATGATTAAGTTTTGGATTGCTTGTATAAGAGTATTTTTTGACAATCAAAAATAATTTTAACTATAATAAGAAGAACATACTTAAAACTGATTTCTAAGTCGGATAAGTATTCTTTAGAGAAGCCACATTATATCTATGCTTACGAAGAACTTTCAAATGCTTTTTTAGAAGCACTCGATTTTTTTTATTCAACTTTTTAGCAAAACACAGTTACTAGCATATTCAGTTTGCAAAAATAGTCACAAACAGCTCTAAGTGTGTGTTGAGTTAGAGTAGGGTAATTTTTTTATGTTAATTAATGTTTAAAATAGATTATTTTTTTTACAATTGACAAAATAAACTACACCGGTTCATCTAAATTATGAAAATTCTTAGTAGAGTTTCGAATACAAAACCAAATACGCTTAACAAACTAAACTACAAGTTACTTACTGATTAATTACTTAGCCATTACTCTTGAGCGTCTCATTTCATTTCATGGTTGACTTTTGTTATTGAAAATGCTTACCTACCAATCGGTCGTCAATCGACGCCTCTACCTGGTTGTTGGTGATGTTTCATGCACGCCTAGCTATATATTTAGGTATTTTATTTTCTGTGTTGAAAGAATTGAAACTTAATATTATTTTTAGCAAGAATAATTTGATAGCACGATTGTGGCAAAGCATTGCCCATGCAGGACGAATGATGTCAAACTTTTACCCACCAAATTTTTAAAAATTTATAAAAGTCAGAATATATAGGTCAAAGTCCAAATCCACTTCATATAAACGTACTATAATCACCAGAGTAATTCACCATTTGCTCATAAATTTTTTACCACCTTTTTTTCTTTCCAATCTATCACTTAGAATGATACTTATGTTCTAGTGGATAGAGTATTTGGTTTCCCCCCATCCGTCCTTGACTCGGAATTCTCTTATTCCCTTAATTATTCTAATAGTCAATTAAAATAAAGAATTGTTTAGTCAACCTGATGTATAAAATAAATCAACGATTATGATAAAAATTAACACTATCATGATGATTCAATTATTGAGTCATCATCATTTTTTTTGATAGAGACGAACATTAAAATTGAGTTGTGAAAAAGAAAATAAACAATTATGGTTATGATATTGGGACAGTAAAAATACATATTGTCTCGTATATAAATTATTCCAACTTTGGAATGGATGATTGCGCATACTGTCTATAATACTAGTAGTTATTTGATAAAGTTTAAAGGTCAATTCGCAATGGTTGTGAGTGAGTTGATGCATCATCATCCATGGGTAAGGCATGATGACAACAACAATCTTTCAAAATTCTCTTGTGGAGTTTGTTTTGTAGCAGAATTGTGCCTTTTAGAGTGTGTTCCAAGTTCCAACTTCGACACCAACTTCGATAAAGTTACCATAAGGTGATTCATTGATTGACGACGAATTTCATATTTATATTTCATATAACATATTATGAGTTCAATTTTTTATGCTTGCGGATTACATGATGATGGTCATGGAGAGACAAAAATGCTTATGTGAGTTTTTCTAAGATTCGAAAAAGTAGACTATTGCAGCGAAGCCTTCAGCTATTCGCTTTTCTTGAAAAAAAAAAAAAAAACCATCAACTTGGCATTGTTAAATCAATTTCAAAAGGTGTTATATTTGTTATTATTTAGTTGGTTACTTGCTTTATTTGATTTGTTAATTGCTCGAGGAAAATTTGTTTTTGCTACGTCTAATCAAATAATTTAATATTTGCCAAGTTGTCATAAAGAATACATTATTGCTTGGGTAGTGTTATTAATACACATATTTTACTTCTTACATACCTTATTAATTTTAAACCGTTAAATCAAATAAATAGAAGAATATGCCACATCAAAGGTTATGTTTGAAGCCCTTCTAAAACATGCATATGGGAGTTGAACCACAAATTTAGTGGGCTCCATACTATTGCAAACTTGTAGACAAATAAAAGTTTGGCGTCCATTGTTATGAAATTGGCCCACTTAACAACTCCCAAAGAAAAACCACACAAATTCAATCACTCCACACTCCACAAATAATAAGGTTCAAAAGGACTTTTAAAAGAATTGAAAATATTTTTTGTGAAGGTGATTTTGAAGTTAATTTTTAGTAAAAATTTAAGTGGTTTTTGGAAAAATATTTAAAGTGCTTAATGCAAGAAACATAATATGGTGCTTCTTTCAAAAACACTTGAAGTCTTTTTGGAACTCAAAAATAATTTCCCTAAAAACGTTTTGAGTTATTTTAAATGTATTTTCAAATAAGCTCATAGACATGCATTTGTTCGAAATGCCAATAAAGTGCATTAGAAGGTTGAGATTGAGTAAATTAAAGGGAGTTTTAACGAAAAGCCTGTGGTACTGTTCACTTTAACGAAAAATTATATTTTTACACTAAAAAGTCAATCATATACTATTTACTTTACCCTTTATTTTATCCTTATTATTAAAACTCAAAATTTTCAAACAATTTTCATTAATTTTCCTTAAATTTAAAAGTAATTACTTAAAAGTAACATGTGAACACCATCTTCCTCGCAATAAAACCGTAAAAAAAAAGTTGGAAAAACCGTAGAATTATCTAGAACATCCGCAAGTTGTGTTTACCCTAGGTCAATTTTGACCGGTAATCCTATAAGCTCAAGCTCACATGAGCTCATTCTCACGCCACTCTTTCCGGATCAGATCCTCTTATGACCTTTAAAAAACTGAGTCTGTTGAGCAATAAATCGTAACAATTGAATCCAACAACTATAATTATTATTACTTTAAAAAGTCTTTTTTTTTATAACAGTTAGATCAAATTTTAACGATCATAATTGTCTGCTCAACAAATTAAGTTTTTTTTAAATTAAGAGAGGATCCTGAACCACTCTTTCCAATTGGACTTTTCACTTATCAAGCCCAATTCAATTTCGCCACGTCATCTTCTACACCGCATCGTGGTCCGCATATTCCAAGAAAAAGAAAAGCGCGGACCCCACCCTCACGCGCGCAACGTGCACCCAGACCAACTTGCTCACCACGCACTTCCCATGAATGCGAAATCTCCAAAGCGCATTCGTCGCGTGACCTAACGGCGGGAGAGCGGAAATCCAGCGGCTAATACAAAGCCCTAAACGTAATCAACGGCTGCAAAGCGACTTTCTTTTTGTCAAATAAAAACCACTCCACGTGATCAGGACCACCCACCGGTTTTACTTTTACCCCTTCGCCGCTATATGTACTCTCTCGTAACTCACACTCTCTCACACTACCTTCTAAAACCCTCAATCAGCCTTCTTATCTGCCTCTCTCTCTAGACTATACCTTCTCTCTCTACAATCGTCATGGGTATTGATCTATTGATCTCGATTCTCAATTATTGATTTCGATTTCGCCATTTTTGCTGCAGATCTTGTGTTTTTTTTTTTTTTTTGTTGATTTTTCTGTAATTTTTTTGTGTTTTTCTGACCATTTCTGTGTTGTTCTTGTTTGTATCGATCAGCAACATCTGGCAAAAAGATCAAGATCGGAATCAACGGTGATGATTAGATCCATGGCGCCTTGAGTTTTGATTTTTGGTTTGTTCATTTTTGATTTGATCTGTGAATTGATTGAGATTTGAATTGAAATGGTTTAGGATTCGGTAGAATCGGACGATTGGTTGCTAGGGTCGCTCTGCAGAGGAATGATGTTGAACTTGTCGCTGTCAACGATCCCTTCATCACCACCGACTACATGGTGAGTTATTTACTTGAAGTTTTTTGTGTTATTTTGTAGGGTTTTCAGAATTAGGGTTTTGGGTTTTTGGTTTCGGATTTGATTAGTGATTTGTGTGATTGTTTTTGTGTTTAGACCTACATGTTCAAGTACGACACAGTCCATGGTCCATGGAAGCATCATGAGCTCAAGGTCAAGGACTCCAAGACCCTTCTCTTCGGTGAGAAGCCCGTCACCGTTTTCGGGATCAGGTACAATTTGTTTCTTACTCTCAGTTATTGAACTTAGCATAGAACCCACTTTGTTGTTTTTTGGTGCTATGTTTGATTTGTTTCATAGATTTCAATGCTTAATTGCTTGATCTCTTACAGGAACCCAGAGGAGATCCCATGGGGTGAGTCCGGTGCTGACTTCGTTGTTGAGTCTACCGGTGTTTTCACTGACAAGGAGAAAGCCGCTGCGCACATCAAGGTTTACTCTCTTTCCATTAGTTTTGTGATATTATTGCTCTGATCAGTACGGCATGCTTTGATTTAAGAAAATAGCATGTGAAATTTATGGTGGTTTATCATGATTGTCCATATTGTGATTGCGCTTCTTGTATCTGTGTTAGTCATTTGGAATTCACTTAGTACTTTTTAGGTTATTTGGGCTTACTTCTTGTTGTAGCCTATATAGTGATTATGATTTCGTTAATAGATCCTACATAAGATGCAGGCATTTGGAATTTTTTAATTGTTACTTCCGAAGTTACCTTTGTTTGATCTGTTGTAGCCTCTATGGTGATCTTGTCTATGTATGTGGAGTTCATATGGTTTTAGATGATTACTTTTCAGTTGTAGAGCTGAATTGTTTGATTTTTGTATCCAGGGAGGTGCAAAGAAGGTTATCATCTCTGCCCCCAGCAAGGATGCTCCCATGTTCGTTGTCGGTGTGAACGAGAAGGAATACAAGCCAGACATCCACATTCTTTCCAATGCTAGTTGCACCACCAACTGCCTTGCTCCCCTTGCCAAGGTTTGAGTCTGTTTGTTGTTGTGGGTGGTTACTGCTTTCAGCACTAATGAATGTTTGTGATTTACCTTGTTTTTCTTTTCAATTGTTCATAGGTTATCAACGACAGGTTTGGAATTGTTGAGGGTCTCATGACCACAGTGCATTCCATCACTGGTGAGCTTTGACTCTTGAGTTTTGAAGTTGTAGGTTTTTTTATAACATGAATTGAATTTGAAACTAACCTAAGTTAATGTTTACCTTGTTATTCAGCCACCCAAAAGACTGTTGATGGTCCATCACAGAAGGACTGGAGAGGTGGACGTGCTGCTTCCTTCAACATCATTCCTAGCAGCACTGGAGCTGCCAAGGTAATTGGTGAATTTTGATTAACAATGCTCTTTACTATTGACTGTCTCTTTTAAGGTGTCTTGCAATGCTATCTTGACTAATGTGTTTGGATGTTGTGTGTTTTATGAAGGCTGTCGGAAAGGTGCTCCCAGCACTTAACGGAAAATTGACTGGAATGGCTTTTCGTGTGCCCACTGTTGATGTTTCAGTTGTTGACCTTACTGTCAGGCTTGAGAAGGCTGCAAGCTATGACCAGATCAAGGCTGCTATCAAGTAAGCTTTGCTCTGTTCTTCTATATGTTTGCTATCCTTTATCAGGATGTTGCTGTTTAAATAACCATGACGTTGTTGTGGTGCTATTTTTTATCTGTGATTCTGTCATGAACAGAGAGGAGTCTGAGGGCAAGCTGAAGGGTATCTTGGGATACACCGAAGATGATGTTGTGTCCACTGACTTCATTGGTGACAGCAGGTAAAATATTAAATCCATTTTTGATGAATTTGGTATTGTTATCCATTGTCAATATGTTAAAAACAGTTTTGAATCGAAGTTTGCCCCATAAAAAACGTGGGATTGTTATGCTCTCCTTTATTGTTTTTGCTGATTGTTTGGTAGATACCGTGAATGTAGCCTAATTAGGTGTTTTGGTGCTCTTGCAGGTCAAGCATCTTTGATGCCAAGGCTGGAATTGCATTGAACGATAACTTTGTTAAGCTCGTCTCATGGTACGACAATGAGTGGGGTTACAGTTCCCGTGTGGTTGACTTGATCGTGCACGTAGCGTCCACCTGCTAAATCTATAATCCTTGAGGATCCAAGGCTTTTATTTTCCGTAGTGTTGAGTGTCTCTAGGCTTTTCAAGTGTTATGGTTTGGAGTTCAGAATAAGAAGTGTTATCGTGCGTCCTCTCGGAGTTTTCTACTTTTTATGCTTTAGACATTGTCAGTTTTATGAGTTCCTCCTCTCCTACCCTTTTTGCTGATTAAAACGCTAATATGGCATTTTGTACTCTAGTTTTTTGAAGTTTGAATATAAAGGCAAAAATGATGGGGTTGTCGTATGGAATGTGTTTCTCTTATTTTGCTTCTACCCTCGATTCCTTGTTTGTTATTTTGCTTGCTATTATTCTCTTTGGTTAGCATAAGCATTGTGATGTTTGCCAACCCGAAGACAATTAACGGTGTTTGATTTTAAGTCCGATTCTCGTCGGGTTGGCAAACATATATTGTAGGGTAGCGGTAAGTTTATTATGCTAAGTTTAATAGATCATTGCAGCTATGCTAGCTAAGGTGGTTTATTCCTTATCAACAGCAGTCTACAGTGTCGAAGTCCCAACCAACCACTGCCTTGGTGTCGGTGCCATTTTTCCGAATTCTGTTGTAGTGGAGACTATGAGACGGAGGCATATGGCAAAGGCATAAAAAATCTGATACAAGAGAAAATCGGTTACGATAGTTTAGATATGTGAATTAAAGACTTACATGCTCTGGCTAGAATATGCAATTATGAGACATAGGCTTGTGGCAAGTGTAGAAGAAGACCTAGGAAGAATTTGAAAGAGACCGAAAAAAAAAGATGTGGAGCATTTGAAGCTAACGAAAGACTTGGCGCAATGGAGCTGTATGATTATATAAGGCTGGGTTATTGTTGTAGTGGTGAAATCCCATCAAGAATTTACACCGAGTGAAAGACCTCGGCTTCTACATCATCTCCGGTGAAATTGCATTCTGGACACACCGGCTTTGTGTGCATTGGGGGAGAGTGCTACAGACGCCGCGCCTAGGGCGTTAAGGATTGGCTTAACTTGGACAACTTGCTAAATTCAATGAAATTTTGGACATAGATGATTGGATAGATGGGGTTATCCGTTTCTTCGTTTGCATTTGTCGTTGTTATCCTGGACGAATCTTTTGACTGTTTGTTAGAAGGTGATGCTGCATTTCGAGATATTGTTGGATCACGTGGACCCTAACTCATCTTTCCATTTCTGTATCTCAAATAAACAAATAAAGATTATATGAATTTCACTTAATTAAACTTGTCTCGTGATCCACTAATATTTTTTTTAAACAAACAATAAAATGAACGTGAATTAAGCTGTACTGGAGCACCACACTAATTTGCTAAGCCATGTTACCCTCCAACTATTCTATTGGTACTAACTTACTTTGAAACTCTTCTTAACTTTTTTTTCTTTCTACCAACTAAGGACATGTCCGTATTCATAAATTAAAAAAAGTTCTTATGACTCTTCCTTTCTGACCATTCTGACCATCCACTAAGCGACAAAGCCCTTTTTTTAGCTATAATTTCTCAAAATTTAAACTCATTTAACAATAATAAATAGGTTAATGACTATTACCACTATTTGAGAATAGTGAGCAAAAACGTACCCTTAGACTATAACTTAGTGCAAATTTCGATTCAGTTCTCCTAATTAGTGAAAAAGAAGTTAGTCCACCCCATTAGGCTTACAAAGGAAACAAAAGTTATAGCCGTCACTTACGAAATTTTCTGACTCTGCCCTTGCCACCCACTTTTGATGAACTCCCAATTTATTATTGGCTTTAGTGACAGTTAACGATGAAGTGCCGAAGTTCTCATGAGTGTGTAGTGAAATGGGAGATAAATGCATTCATGTTTCTCAACGACAACAAATCAAACTGTGCACATGCCATTTTGTCCTCTCATTTAAAAACCAACCTCCCAACTTTCTATTTATACACCTTGATTATTAGGACAACCCTACCATAGTATACCCCGACCCTCGGTGTGACCCCTCGACCCTTCCTTCTGCCCTACTTGACCCCTTGTTTATTTTTATTTATTTTTTATGAGTACATCAATATTTTTACACTAAAGGGAAGGAGAGTTTGACTAAACCACACAATGGATAGCCTAATTTGGTATCGAATTCGCCAAACATGAGATTCAAACGTAAGACCTCTCACTTTCAAATGAAGAAGAATACCACCAGACCGTAGTACTAAATGACGATCTTTTTAAATAACATCAAAGTAATGATAAAATTCCTTAAAATTAAGGGACGGGAGTACCCAGCTCAACTAACACGATCAACCCTTGAGGTAAGTGCTATACATGTGTGAAACTGACTTTTGTGTGTGTCTTGAGCGGACGGAAGACTTTACCGAGAAGCTTTTACCAAGAGTCGATTGAACCGGCACCGCCGGTCGTTTGAAATCTATCCCTTCATAAAAAATGTGCTAAAAACAGTTGAACAAACTACTTTCTCCTAGTTTGGTCCGTCACCAGTCACCTATGCAAACATTATAAAACACCCTCTCTCTCTCTCTCTCTCTCACTCTGTCACTTCAATTCTCAATCTGCACTGGACTCTCAGGGACCCAAAGCTAATCTGTATCATTCGATGCTTTTGTCTGGAACTTTCCCTCCACCATATAAGTTAGTAAAATCCCCATCAAATCAAGTGGCCATTTTCCTCTTGTTTTGTTATTATCTTCCTATAATCTCCTCACTTTTCCTCTCCCCTGCTTATCTTTTCACCTCCAGAGCTTCATCTGGAAACAGTGGCCTTTCCTGCTTTATCTTCTCCTCCCAGTCCTCCAATCTCAATTTCTCAGTACAATATCTATTGGGTTTGATCCAAAACTGCATGTTGTTCCCATACAGTTGATGGGTCACTTCTCCCATCTGTTTTTTTTTTTTTTTTTTTTTGGTTTAACAAACTCAGTTGCATTGGTTTTCATACCTTCAAGCCAATAAAAAGCTTAAATCTTTAGCTTTTCTGCAACTTTCCCACCAAAATGAACTTCCTTTCTTACCCTCTTGGGCCCTTCCACTTTCGTTTTATGTCTCATCTCTGATTTGCTTTTGCGTGCTCTGTTTTTCTGGGTTTTGTGTTTTGCCTCCATGTGTTTGACTAAATTCCTCTGAGAGTTGCTATTTGAGTATTTGGTAGCCATTTTTTGTGTTACAATGCCACCATCTTACTTCCCTTTAAGGTGGGAAAGCACCGGAGACCAATGGTGGTATGCATCACCAATCGATTGGGCAGCAGCCAATGGCTTATATGATTTGGTCAGTGAGCTTCTTCACCTTGACACCAACCTCCTCATCAAGCTGACCTCATTGCGCCGCATCCACCGCCTTGAAACTGTCTGGGACGACGAGGCTCAGTTCGATGATGTTGCCAAATGCCGGTCACAAGTTGCCAAGAGGCTCCTCCACGAGTGCCAAATGCAGAGGGGACATAACTCTCTCATCAGGGCCGGCTACGGCGGATGGCTTCTCTACACTGCGGCCTCGGCCGGGGATGTAGGGTTTGTCAGAGAGTTGCTGGGGAGAGACCCTCTTCTTGTTTTTGGAGAAGGAGAGTATGGAGTCACTGACATCTTCTATGCTGCTGCCAGGAGCAAGAACTCTGAGGTTTTCAGGCTGCTGCTTGATTTCTCAGTGTCTCCAAGGTTTAGCCTCAGTAATGGAGAACTTGAAGAGAGGTTGGGTGATGTTACATCGGATTTCAAGTGGGAAATGATGAACCGGGCGGTTCATGCCGCTGCTAGAGGTGGCAATTTGGAGATATTGAGGGACCTGCTTGGGGATTGTGAGGATGTTTTGGCTTATAGAGATGCTCAGGGATCTACCATCTTGCATACAGCCTCTGGCAGAGGGCAGGTTGAGGTGAGGTCACATATATGCTTGTTACCTTGTTAGATGATTGAATTCGGTTACTTTGGTATCGTTTTGTAGAATGTTGATGTAATTGAAGTTACTCTGGATGTGAAACTTAGTAAGGTTTACAGAAGACGGAAAGATTTTTCTTCACTTATTTTCTTATTTTTTCAGTTTATGTGTGTGCTTATTTGGCTTCAACATCGTGATGGCTGCTCACCAAATTTAATGTCCTCACGGGCACCAAAACTTGACTGAAATACTCTTTCTATACATGAAAGGAAGTCTCTTTTTCTTCTGTTTAATTCATTTTCTTGCTCGGTGATATAAAGATTTGAACCTGCGAATATATCATTCATCGGTTGGTGAACATGCAGAGTGTCTTTGCTGACTGATTTTTGTACTTTCTTTTAATCATTGAACTATTACTTGCAATGTTAATGTTGAAGTTTGATCATCCTTTCGTGCAGGTGGTTGAGTATATAATAGCATTCTTCGATACCATCACAATAGTAGATAATCAAGGGAACACAGCTCTACATGTGGCCGCTTATAGGGGTCACTTGGCTGTGGTGGATGTCCTAATTCGTGCATCTCCCTCGTTAACCACGTCATCAAACAATTATGGAGACACCTTTCTGCATTTGGCAGTGTCTGGTTTCAGAAGCCCTGGTTTCCGGCCACTGGACAAACAGATTGAGCTCATTAAGCAATTAGTATGTGGTGATATTGCGAACATGCAGGACGTTGTTAATGTTAAGAACAATGATGGACGAACTGCTCTTCACATGGCTGTAATTGAGAATGTTCAATCTAATTTGGTGGAACTCCTCATGACTGTTCCATCAATTGATTTGAACATCCGTGACTCTGGCGGCATGACCCCTCTAGATATTCTTAAACGAAGGCCAAAGTCAGCATCGTCCGAACTTCTGATCAAGGAATTGATTTCAGCTGGAGGGATCTCCAATCGTCAGGACCGTAAAGCAAGGAGCGCCCTTGTTTCCCATTTGAGAATGCAGGGTATTGGAGGCAGTCCGGGAACCTCTTTCAGAATTCCTGATGCAGAGATATTCTTATACACAGGCATTGACAATGCTTCTGATGCCAATTGCGATCAGTCAGGCGTGCAATTCAACACATTCTCAGGTGAGCTAAGACAATTTGGCTCACCCAACACAGTAAACAATAAGAAGTCAAGTTCTGTAACTTATGCTGCAAGGCGCCTTAAGTTTCTTCTTCAATGGCGGAGGAGGAAAGAAAAAAAGGAATCTAGCATATACTTAAGAGATAATGATTCGGTGGAGTCATTTAGCACCTGCGTAGATTTGGACGACAATCCAATCCCTCTTCGGCAGATGTATGCCAAATCTTCCTCCCTCCCAAACAACAAAAGGACAGTTTCTGTAAGGAGTTTTCTTCCGAGCCCATACACTAAAATGAAATTTACTGCTGGTTTATCACACGGTGTGATTCAGGCAAGGCCCCATTTGGCTTTTCCAGCTGAGTCACTGTCTTCCCCTACTTTCATGGACAAAGAGAAGGGTGTTGACATTTTGGGACCCTCTAGCTCAAATGGCAAACCACCACATCCACAAGCAAGCTTCAAACATAATTCCCTCAGTAAGAAGTTAATAAACCAATATTTGTCTGTTGGCGCGCAAGGTCTGGATGTGAACGAATCAATTAGCTCCACTTGGTCGAATCAAAGTCACAAACACTCTGGTCCTCTAGTTACTTGATCAGTATGTATAAACGGGTTGGTGTTCTTGCTTAGGCCTGTAGATAGATTAGAACTGTGGTGAGTTCTCAAAAAGTTTTTCTTTATCGATACACTTCTTTCTTTATTATCCTTTCCCCCCTTACCGATCACATATTTTTATAATCTTTGTGGATATGTGCATAGTTTCATACCAGTTGTAAAAGTTGTCTGAATAATGTTCAAGAAATGTTAAAGGGTTACATGTTTTATAGTATCTGTGCATATTGTATTTTCCCTGCTGTTCTCGTTTTTCTTTTCATCAAACTATTGGTTAGAGACATGAATATATTCGCGGATGCTTTGAATTCGCTTCTGTCTTTCATACCTCTGTAAAGCTTTCGATATCAGATTACTGCTAACAACCACAATCTGCTCTATGATTCTGTAAAATCGACTTAAAACTCAGATTATCACAAACACTAAAGCAGATCACGTACGTAAAGGTGATGTTCAAGATGTTTGTCATTTTCGCGTTAACATATATCGCTGATTTGTTTCCGTCCACAAATTTGATTTCTTAGTTTGCTGTAACATGATGTGTACTTGATACACCGGCCAGAATTCCTCTTTACAGGAGTCATCTGCCAGAAGAAATTTCGTACGGCATTCAACTTTCTTCTCTTTTTCCATTTTTCAGTTACCCAAATTTCCCAAATTACAAATAGGAGGATGCAAAGTCAATGCGGAACTCAAAGTTCGCTCTCGACATGACACGTTGACATAAGTTATGTCCTAGCTATTAAACATAAACGAAAAATGAGTTAGGGTTATGATTGGTTAGCGGTTTAGATTATGATAGATTGTGGATTCGACCTATTCGAAAAATATCTTAATAACAATAAAATAAATAAATAAATAAAAGAGTTGAGATCACCAAAATAATGCCACCGATAAGCATAGTATGTGGATGGGATGCCCTAGAGAGATAGTGAGAGAGAGAGAGAGAGAGAAATGTGGGAGCCTGTCTTAAAGACAAGGACATGGTCCCCCTGGAACCATGTTTGAAGGGTCTCAGAGGTCAAGTCCCCCCAGGAGTTTGGAGACCGTTAGGCTGGAGGGACTTAGGGTTGGCTTTCACAGGTAATTTTACATTTGAACCCTCTGGAGTTTACGGCAAGAGCAAGTTGTCAAGGACTAGGAGTGAGAAAATGGGGGCTTGGTGGTAATTTTCCATACTGTCATCCAGATCAAAGACTCCCCCTAAACGGAAGGCTTTCCTTTTCCTAATCTGGCCAACGCGTTTGCTATTTTGGGCATTCTTGCATTCTACTGACTAGTATATAAACAAAGGTCATGGCTTTGTGTAAGTTATGCTATCATCGTCCCATTTTTCTGCCATTTATGAGTTCGATCTGTTGGTGAGAAGAGAGAGAGAGAGAGAAAGAGACAGAGAGAGAGTGAGAGAGAGAATGGCAGAATCATCGATGGAAGCCGAAGAGGCGAGGCAGAAGAAAATTGAGGATTGGCTTCCGGTCACTTCTGCTAGGAACGCCAAATGGTGGTACTCGGCTTTCCACAATGTCACTGCCATGGTTGGGGCTGGTGTCCTCAGCCTTCCGTATGCCATGTCTGAGCTTGGATGGTATGTATATGTCTATACGTTCGTTTCATGGCAAGTTATTTTCGCTAACCTTTGGACCGAATAAATCAGAGGAAAATCAAGGGGCAGAAACAAGAAAATGAGTGCACGAGGAGAAAACGGGAGTGTGAACATCACTAAACTACCCTTTGTTTTGTTTTGTCACTTTCATTCCCATAATTTGATTAGGAATCTTGGAATTAACATCCGCAGTGTAGCGATTCTGGCACTCCTCATTTAGCCATATCCATTCCAAATTGAATGTTACAAAGTTACAATTTTTGTATATGATCTCTTTCTGCCAATTTCAAACAGAATTTTGATTCCTAACAAAATTAAATGGGGTTTTCCATTTTTGGGAAATTAAAATCACAGGGGTCCTGGTGTGGCTGTCATGCTTCTGTCATGGATCATCACCCTATACACGCTATGGCAAATGGTTGAGATGCATGAAATGGTGCCGGGGAAGCGGTTCGATAGGTACCACGAGCTGGGACAGCATGCCTTTGGGGAGAAGCTGGGGCTCTGGGTTGTGGTACCCCAACAGCTAGTTGTGGAAGTTGGTGTCAATATTGTCTATATGGTCACAGGAGGAAAATCATTGAAGAAGTTCCATGATGTGATTTGCCCTAGCTGCAAAGACATCAAACTCACCTTATGGATTTTTATTTTTGCTTCTGTCCACTTTGTTATCTCCCACCTCCCCAACTTAAACTCCGTCTCTGGTATCTCACTTGCCGCTGCAGTCATGTCCTTGAGGTAATTAATTAAATCCCCCAATTAGTATCGTTAATTCTAGAGATTTCTTGATTCCCAAGTAATGCTATCGAGACCAATTACAAACCAAATTCCCAAAATTTTATAATTCGAACTGAAGTGGACAGTGTTTTGCTTGTTCGTATGTATACGTAGGTTTATTCAAACGCTACTGCGCACAATCATTTGGCCTTGACAAAAATTTTGGGTTACTTTTTCTTGTGATCCGATTTCTTACCATTCCTGTGTTGGATCTTGTTTGTGATCATATGCAGTTACTCAACGATTGCATGGGGAGCTGCCATACACAGGGGGAAGGCACCGGATGTGGACTACAGCTACAAAGCTAAATCCAATTCCGGAGCTGTCTTCAACTTCTTTAGTGGTTTGGGAGAGATAGCATTTGCCTATGCCGGCCACAATGTCGTTTTGGAGATCCAAGCAACGATTCCTTCCACACCCGAGAAGCCTTCCAAGGGACCAATGTGGAAAGGAGTGATTGTGGCATACATTGTGGTGGCTTTGTGCTACTTCCCTGTTTCTTTTGTTGGCTACTATATTTACGGAAACACTGTTGAAGACAACGTCCTCATCTCACTCGAAAAACCTGTCTGGCTAATTGCAGCGGCTAACATGTTTGTTGTGATCCATGTCATTGGAAGCTACCAAGTTTTCGCAATGGGAGTTTTTGACATGGTTGAAACTTTTCTCGTCACGAAAATGAACTTTGAGCCTTCTTTCATCCTTCGCTTCGTTACTCGCACGACATATGTTGGTACGTGAATTGAGTTAGCTTACAATTCTCCTCACTACTGCAAAGTGCTTTCCTGATTTGCATGCTAATTTTCAGTACTGACCATATAATGTGTTCTTAATTTGGAAGCATTTACCATGGTCGTCGGTATGGCCATCCCTTTCTTTGGTGGCCTTCTCGGATTCTTTGGAGGATTTGCTTTTGCCCCAACTACATACTTCGTAAGAAAATTAAAGGATTGAATGCTCTCATTTTCCCTACATAAACACACACACACGTACCCTTTTTCCTTCCTCAGGTTTGCGAATTTGCAGTAACGCTTCGATAACATGTCAAATAGAGCTTAACTTTCCAATGCTGCTCTTAATCTGCAGCTTCCCTGCATCATGTGGCTCGCCATCTACAAACCGAGAGTTTTCAGTCTATCTTGGTTCATAAACTGGGTATGCTGCGCTTTCTTTTGCTTCGATTACTTGTTCTTCGGGCTCACTCATAGTGCTGACTTATAGTTTTATTTCAGATATGCATTATACTGGGAGTTACCCTGATGATTCTAGCACCCATCGGTGCCCTACGGAGTATCATCTTGCAAGCGAAAACCTACGAATTCTTCTCTTAAATTGCAAATTTTACCCGCAGCAAAACATTCATCTCTACTCATATTCAAAGCTCAAAGTTAGACAGATATGATCACTGTTGCTTGACCACTAAGGCAACCCTTCAGCGTTTCTAGATTAACTGACTTTTGGTACCGTCCGACGATCACTATGGGATTTGAGACAAGGGCGACCTCCTCTTGGAGAGTTCTTGCAGAATAATCATGTCCAAATAGTATTTGTTTAATTCGTTAATCGTTTATGTCAACACAACACTATGAAAAAAAAAAAAAAAGAAAAAAAAAAAGGGAATTAGATTACTTGGTATGCAAGCATTGTTCAACGTGCAGTAGAGATATTTCCACAATCATCTCCATTTACAGATTTTTTTTAATTTTTTTTTTTTAAATCAAACCAAAAAAATTTAAAATAACATTCCGAATTAAAAGTCGCACAAACAACTTAAAAACATACATATATAGCATGATATATGTATCCAATCTACGTAAAAGAACTAAGACCTTAAATTAACCTATGAAGCTTAAACCATTACTACTACCACGAATCAAAGTCAGGCAGCCATAGAGCTCACTGCATCTAACCAAGAAGGAAGATGTAGAACAATGGCGGATTTGGAGAAGGTTCAATCTTTAGTGATCCAATAGCGCATAATAGCGGAAATGAAATTTTCAGATAAAGGGTTTTGAGAGAATGATTGAAATGGGGAATGATACAAGAAGTGAAAATTTCAGATAGAGGATTTTGACAGAATGATTGAAATGAGGAATGATAAAACAAGTGATGGAGGTATTCGGAGCATGACTAAGATCAAGTCATCACAAAGAACTTGTAATGTCTATGACTAAAATCACACATAATGTTACTTATTTAAGCATTACGAGTTATAATTGCACAAATGAATATTTTTTTTTTCTTTTAAAAAGGAGATCAGCTAGTGGCTTTGCAACGACAATCCACCATTCCAGGGGCTGACAAGAATCATAGAGGTATTTTAACATTTTCTTGATCACCAGGCCAAGAATTGAACCCAAAACATGCCGTGTAGAATACGAACTTGAAATTCCCCTCCGACCACTGAACCATCCGGTGATGATTGGATAATGTTAATAGAAATGCACACGTTATGGCTTGGGTGAGGTAACCCCACATTACGTTCATAAGAAGGATTTCAACTAGAGTTGGGCATTTTTTGGGGTGAATATAGCTCGGCTTACTAATGCCAATGTTTACAGGTGGGCTTTTTCGCTTTGGCCCAAATTGTACCAAAAGACGGAACAATTAGTCTGAAATTATGAACGACATGTCGTTGCAGTCATGAGACGTGGGAATCGACAATAAAAAAAGGGCATTATAGGAAATAAAGAACAGTTTTACCCACCAAAAATCTCAATCTTCCCGCCATTTCTCTGCAACTCCCAGAGTGGCAGCTTCTGAAACCCTAGAGAGAGAGAGAGAGAGAGAGAGAGAGAGAGAGAACCAGAGCGCGCAACATGGAAGGCCAAATCAAAGAGGAGTTCAGCAGCAGCGGTTTCACTTTCGACGACGAAAAGGAAATCCTAAAGAAATGTAAGATCTTTCGCATTTTTGTTCCCAATTGAATTCAATCCCTAATTTTTACAAAAGAGTGCGTATTGATGGCTCAATTGTCGATTAGGTGCTACATTCTGCATAAATTTGAGTCTTTCGCCTTCCGATCTCGTTACGAGCTGGGAAATTTACTACCTCAACAGGTTCATTTCTCTCCCAATTTCCCCCAATTTACGATTTTTACTAAAACGTTTGGAGTGATTCAGTTTTGTATCTGAGGCTATATTTTTGTTATGGTCGCTGACTCAACAGAGAAAGTGATTAATTTTTGTACAGACTTGTGTTGCCAATTTTTTTCTTTTTTTGGTGATTAACTTGTGTTGCCAATTATAATCGGCTAAATTTTGATTTTGGGACAGGCAAATGAATGGAACGGTGGTACACGATGTGGAAATGGATGGGTTTTTAGGGTATTTGCAAGAACAGAAGAAAGTAGCCATCGATGAACCAGAGCCCAATCTGCATATCTACTCAAGCAGAGATGTGGACATGTGAGCACAATATATGGTTTTTTCACTTTTCTGTTTATATCTGTAGTTGTTTGTGTGTTTGTGGTGGCTTGAATTATTGTAGATATGGGGTTATTGTGACTCTAGTTTCAAAATTCAGTATTTGACAAGAAACTGCGTGCAGGATTCTGAATGATGAGTATGTAGATATAAAGGACGAGGTTCCTAGCACTCCACCATCTGAATCTCAGAACCATTACTCAGAGACGTCTGACTCAATGCCACAAACAATTGGGAGTGTTCCTTCTTCTGGAAAACCATCAAGACTTGTAACTCCCTTTGGGCGACGAACAGACAAGTTTGTTGTGAAATTCAGCATCAATAATAAGCCAAATATAGAGAATGGGGAGAAGGAAGGTAATGAGAATCCTGGGGATGATGAATTCATCAGGAAGGTTAAACCTGGAAAGAGGTGTTCTTTAGTAATCCATGGTTCAGGACCTGAAATAGGTTGTAGGTTTATGTACGATAAAATTGAAGATAGGGTAAGTGAAACTTATTATAGTATGTTGATCTTAACCTCCATATATAATTATATATTCTGAACTAACTTAATCTTTTGCTGATTTAGTTTAACGCACTTGAAAACCGAATTCGAAAGTATGCAACTGCATTAGTTTCATCTGGCCAGTATGAGGAACCGCTGGACCCTACAGTTTCATCTCAGGTATGGTACCTCCCCCTCCCCTGATAGTGGGAAGGTGTTTTGGAAACTCAACCTCTGCAAGTCATCCTGAAGCTGTTGATGATGTAAACTTGTTTTGTTTCAGAAAATTATATTTACTGCTGGCATGATCTGTTGTGATGGAGAGGGCCATTTGAACGACAAATCCACCTTGTTGCAGTGCAGGTAGAAAGTCCTGGACGCTCCTTTATACTCTTCATGTGAAACAGTTTACTAACATCCAAATAGGGAAAGCAATCCTTGCATATGTTTAGCTATTAAACAATAGTGTCTGAGGATCTTAGCCTTCCCTCAGGCAACACTCTTGGAAAGGACTTGTTAAATGTGAAGCACAACTACCTATGTTTTACTTCTGTACACAGCTGAGAGACTTCTGTTAATCTATAGTTTTTTCTTTAGATAAGGTTTTTATCTTTCCCTTTCAATCTTTGACAGTGCAGAGCATTCTGGAGGCCAACGTGTTCGTATGGAATTACAACATTTGAGCCAATTTTCAATCTTTCCAGGCCAGGTATGGAAATTGGACATGAAAGACATAGAACCATGGTCAGATTTTAAAGTTTGAAATACTGTAGTCTAAATCTAACATGGAAGGATTGCATTCCTGCAGATAGTAGGTTTTGAAGGGACCAATCCTAGTGGACACTGCTTCATTGCTTCAAAATTGATAGATTCGGTCCCTTTACCTGTTGCTGCTGATGCAAACTTGCCTCCTGCTAAAAAGCAAGCTTTGGATCAGGAGATTTTGCCAACTGATCAGTCCATTAAACAACTAGAGCTATCAGTGGTATGCAAGCTTTTAGTCTATGTTACTTGATGAGGGGCAACTGTGGACATTATTGGCTTATTAATTACTGCTGTTTTTTTTCCTAACTTTTCATAATTTCGTGCAAGTTTGTTTATCAGTGTTTGGTAGCCTATAATTTCTGTATTTAAACAGATCATCGCATCAGGTCCGTTTACCACAACAGACAACTTATTGTTTGAGCCTCTGAAAGAGCTTCTAGCATATGCAAGCAAAAAGCTGCCTCAGTTGCTTATATTGGTGAGTACCAACTTTTCTTGAATTGAATTTTTCTTCAACAAGATTATACTGCTTGAACCATTCATGTTGTTTACAAACTGAATTTTTTTTTTCTCAGCTAGGACCATTTATTGATTCTGAACATCCAGAAATTAAGAAAGGAACAGTCGACAGGAGCTTTGATGAAATATTCCAAACTGAGATTCTGAGAAAGGTTTGTTCTCAGAGCGTTGTGTAATAGTTGTGCTGAAGAACTCTGTCTATGTGTTGGTTTTCATGCCCTTTTTCGTTTTATCTTATTTTCAGTTGCAAGATCATGTTGAATACATGGGTTCACATGCACGCGTTGTTCTTGTACCATCTATACGGGATGCTAACCACGATTTTGTTTTCCCTCAGGTAATGTTACTTTTGAGTAAAAGTAGTATATATCTGTTTAATTTGCTTACCTTTTTTTTTTGGGTAAATAATTTGTATACAATTGAGATGATAATAGAATGTAATATCTCGGTTGTGCAGCCTGCCTTTGATATTCATCCACCTGATCTTAAGCATCAGGTACATGTTTGTAGATTTCGATCTTTCATCATTCAGAACACATTAATTTTCTGCAGTTATGCTTACTAAAGTGATATTACCATTCGTACTCAGATAACCAGTCTCACAAATCCAGGGATTTTCGAGGCAGATCAGGTAAAATGACCACCTCTGTAAATTTGCTAAAATGAGTGCTGATGCTAGAATTATCAGTTTGGTAGTCCAAAATTTTATTATCTGAAGGGCTTGGATTCTAATTTAGCAGACAAGGTTGGCCAACAGAGATGGATTGGCAAACAAATGAACTGTAACTTGATTGAGCTCTATCCATGACCATTTTATATTATCTATCGGCGTTACAAATCTTTCGATCCCTTCTTTAGTTGCATTGATAAGCCAAAGTATGATATGATATGGACAAAGTTTTCATCCACATTCTGGTTTCAGGTCAAGATAGGTTGCTGCTCTCTGGATGTTCTCAAACACCTTAGTGCAGAAGAGATTTCGCGTGTTCCTAAGGGTGGAAAAACCAGTGACCGCATGAGTAGACTTGCAAACCATATAATTAGCCAACGCAGGCACGTCCTAATCTCTTAGAAGTTCTAGCGCATGATGGTAGTAGGTCTATATGGTTTGAGGGGCTCTACTATCTGATATTCTAAACTTATTTTGCAATTTTTTTGGGACAGCTTTTATCCTCTGTATCCACCAGCAGAAGACACTCCATTGGATTTTTCGCTTGCTCCCGAAGCTCTAAACATCTCATTGATCCCAGATATTCTTATCTTACCCTCTGACATGAAGTATTTTGTGAAGGTAAATGGTTATTCCAATTTCAATGTCAAAGCAATTCCAATAAGTCGTACAGAAAGGTGCACCTCACCTCGCGCCGATAGAGATTGGGTTTTAAATTTTGCGACCGAGAGATATGTAACCAAGATGTTGAAATGTTTGCCTACAGAAGCTAACGGGGATTTTACTTTTTTGAGTATAGGTACTGAACCTAGGCGAAAGAGGTGAAGAGAAAGATCAGGTTAAATGCATTTGTGTCAATCCGGGAAGACTTGCCAAGGGAGAAGGAGGAGGTACTTTCGTCGAGCTTGAGTACTACGGTAATCCTGACACAACGAATGCTTCGATTGTAAGCATATAAACATCGGATTTAAGTTAAATTTGTTGCAACTTGTACTCAATTTGCAGTAAGTTTCAAAAAGCTCCATAGGCTAGCGTCGATTGCACGTCATTTATGTGCTTTGTAACGACTGATGGTGATAAATTTATGGTGCATTTCATGCAAATATTAGTCACACTCTGTGATAGGCTCCCCAAGGAAGAATCAAACTCATGCGCGTAGGCTTTAAGAGTCGATGTGAGACCCTGATAGGAAGTTTGGACCCTTCTCCATAAATGACAACCAATAAGCGAAGACCAGCCTGTCTAATGTAACAGGGATTCCGTGCTGATAGTATTCTAAGCTAATTACACATTATCATATAAGAAATTAAAAAGCATTATTATCTCTGATTGGTTCGTGTTGAAGTTCTCAACTAGCCCCCTTAGTTGATATGATTCTTGATTTTTAGGGCGTTTTAAACTTCGTCTGTATTACTGAACACACAAAAATTTAAGTATTGGAATCGTTTTAATACCCATGTTTCAGTAAACCGCAGAGAAGTCGAGAATCATAACGGTTCCAATTTTGATTTATGTATTTACATTTAGGGATACATACAAATACAATTAGCAAATTACAGAGCATCCTTCAAGGCATTTCTACCTCTTTTTCTTTTGCACTTTGTTTTTGCACCAATCAATCCAAAGATTCAATACCCACAAAATACTAAGACAAATGGCAACTGAAATCACAACCATCCAAGAAACCCATGCCCATCTGGGGATCACGGGGTCAGCCGCTCCGCTCACATAGAACACCCCCATCTTGTACATGAACATTGGCCCTAAAATCCCTCTAAAAACACTGTACAAGGCATAGAATCTAGGGGACAAAAAGTCGTACAATTTGGCGGCGGCGGGCGAATCGGCCCTCCGAAAACCGGCGAGGGTCCAGGCGTTCTGGCAGCCGCTGGTGATCTCAGCAAGGAGGAGAAGAACAAGGATGGCGTGGGCCCCGTGGCGGACGACGTAACGGCAGGTGGTGAAGACGTAGAGGGTGGCGAGGTGGTGGAGGATGAAGAGGACGTCGTTGGGGAAGAAGAGGAGGTAGTGGAGGAGGTCGAGGGAGAAGTAGGCGACGCTGAATTCGAGCACGGTGTTTTGGGTGGGGGTGTTGGGGGAGGCGAAGGTGGTGGCTTTGTGGCTGCGGAGGATTGCGTGGGCGGCCATGGCGGCAGCGGCGGTGCCGTGGGATAGAGAGATGAGGCAGCTTGATGCTTCTGGTCGGTGTTTTGGGCCCCAGTTGCGGAAGAGTAGGAAGTATGCAGATAGGTAGATGAGGAGAAAAATGGAGAAGAAAGTGGGAAGTGTTGGGGAGGGAAGAATTGAGGTCTCCATGGAAATTAAAAACCAGTTGCAGAGAAGGGGGAGAGAGAGAGAGAGAAGCTGAGTGGATAGAAGGTTACTTACCAGCTTTTGAAGATGATGAGTGAGAAAGCTTTAAAGTGAGAGGTCTGGTGGTGGACCGGCATTAAACAGAATCCTAATCATATTATAATTTTGTTTAACTCTACTTGATTCAAGAAAATTTAATATTCAAGGTAAATATATGTTGTTTGTCAAAAGTAAATTTTACCTTGAATATTATATATTTATATGTAGATTAGAATTTAAGAGGGGTCCAAAGTCCAATGTCTAATTACTTTATATGTAATTTTATTTTACAATTTATGCATAATATAAATATATAATTATGTTTTTTTTTTTTTTTTAATATAAGAGAACACTTATTTATTCTAAATATAATAAATTTGTTTAAATCTAGCTGAGTCTCTAAAAAAATAATAAAATAATGGCTATTTAAACATGAAAGTCAATGAATACAAGTTTAATGGATTTCTACTCACTTTCGACGGCAGTCGATTATTCGGATGTCAATTTTTGGAATCCTAACACGTTATACTCTTATCTTTTATGCTTCCAACCAAAAAAATAAAGAATTATTCCTTTGCATCTATTTTTTCTATGGTCACTAAAGTAGAGTTGTACTATACAAACCCTCGATTCCAATTGCTGGCTTAACAACAAGGGAAGTTTATCGCTACGCGGTATCCCGATTTAATTATATCAGGTCATGCGGAGAAAAAACATACGTACAATGCAATGTTACTAGTCTAGATGCCGGTAAATATACGGAGTGCATAGTTTTGGAGGCAATACATCCTCGGAATTCGGTGTCACAACATAATCGATTTTACCAAACACATTCCACAAACAGTGTCATTTTACAGAGATTTTTTAGTGCCATTAACAAGCTAAAACTGAAATTCTATCAAAACTTGCAATAAAATTTATTGTAGAACTAACTTAAAGCAAAAGATTTGTAACTTGTTGAGCTTTCATTTAAGTTCTTACTGTCATAGTAGAAACCACTGAATCCATCTCGTATAATCCGAACCCTGAAGCTCAAAGGCTGTAATACACTTCTCCGAGGCTGGCGGTAGAGTAGACCTACATCACCATCCCTCCATCAATGGTGAGTACCTGCAAGAACAGCATCGTTAAATAAATTTCAAGAAAGGTTTCTAATAAACTGCCCTACAAAAGTTCCTTAATTGCAACATAGTCACCACAATACGCACTACTGCCGTCGTGATCTAGGGTCACTTGTCCAAAATGTGATACACTTCTATTCTAATTAGTTTTGATGATCCAAAAATCTCCTTCACTTATCTCTTCAATAAATCATTTTGAAGGGAAACGCAGTATGTTAATAACTAAAGAACTTCTGATATGATGTTTGAGGGAAAAGAGGCTAAACTTATCCAAAGAAAACATTTAAACTCCATCACATTCAAACTTATCACTTATAGTTAAACCATCAACTTGAGTCCAAGTCAAATCCATCATGGGTTGAAGATAGGTGGCATATACTGCATTCCTATTCTCGTTTCATAGACCATACAAGTCACATTTAAGTAACTGGCCGCAGGACTAAGGGCCAGTTACTTAAATGTGGTTAATTAAAAACAAAAAGATCATACCTGTCCGGTCATGTAACTGGCCGCTGGACTAAGGGCCAAGAATTCCACCAGTCCAGCAACTTCGTCAGGTTGGCCGTATCTTCCTGTAATCACAACCACCATGAAATAATATGAGCAATCTATTATCAGTATTATTACAAAATATCTGACTTTAATAAGTAGAGTTTCCCCAGACTCACCTAATGGGATAGTCTCTAAAATTTTCTTCTCAATGTCATCGCCTAGCTTGGCAGTCATGTCTGATGCAATAAAGCCCGGGGCAACAGCATTAACCTGAAGGAAATCCATTGTTTATTAATTATGACCCACTCCATAAAACAGCATTAATATCATCATGGGATGAGTCGATTAGTATAGCAAATATGAAAAAACATGGAGCACTCACATTGATGTGTCTGCTAGAGTACTCCTTAGCAACAGTCTTTGTCAGACCAATTACTCCTGCTTTTGCAGCACTGTAGTTGGCTTGTCCAACATTTCCAACTAGACCAACAACGGATGCTATATTGATAATCCTTCCCTGCAATAAGCATTATCCGACTGAAATAAGACATAGGAAGAAAATGGCGGGGAATCTCTTTTTGAAAGGAATGGTATTCACCTTCTTCTTCTTCATCATGATTTTAGCTGCTGCCTGAAACAAACAAGTTTAAGTTTCTCAGTTCCACATTGAAGTCAAGCAGCATTTCCATGAAAATGAAAATTCAAAGCACACACCTGGGTGCATAGATATACACCAGTAAGATTTAGATCAATGACCTCCTGCCATTGTTTTAACTTCATTCTCATCAATAGACCATCCCTGGTAATTCCTGAAATCATGGTACAAAAGTTAGACAATTGTGTTTGAAATTGGACATTACACAAAAAGTAGGTGAAGTTTGCAATAACCTGCATTGTTTATCAGTACATCAACAGTTCCCCAAGCATCAAGCGCCTGCAGATGCAAAATCATTAAGCACACCAAACTAGCATAACCATGCCAAAACAACCCAATTAATCATAAGAAGGAACATTTGCTTACTGTTTTGAGCATCGCCTCAACATCTTCTTCTTTTGAAACATCTCCTCCGAAAGTAATAGCTTGTCCACCGAACGCCTCAATCTGAAAGAACACAAAACCAAACACACATTCACTAATCATAGCACACAAATTTAGTCCAAATTTCAAGTCAAAAAGACTAATTCGTATAATTTGCATAGATGATTTGACTGTACCTCTTTGGAAACCTCCTCGGCCTCCTTTGATGACCTTGCGTAATTAACGAGGACCTGCATGCACACACAATCATCAATCATCAATTCACAATCAACAACCAAAACCCAGAATACAGAAGCAAAGAATATTACACTAAAAAACTAACCCTGCAACCAGCTTTGCCCAAAGACAGAGCAATTGCTCTGCCAATGCCTCTAGAAGCTCCGGTAACCACCACCACCGGACCCTCCACGATTTTGGCTTCCCCGGCGCTCGCTTGCTCAAGCGTCGCCACCTGAGCCCTCACGTGACCTGTCACGTGTCACCACCATCACCATCAAATTCCAGCTTTCATTTCAAATTCCAAATTTCTTACATAACACTGCCAACTGCCTTCTGATTTCTATATTCTAAATCCCTAATCAGGCTAAATCAAAACAATACGAATCGTTGTCTATAACTAATTGAAAATCGAATTACCAGAGGAAGTGGAGGAGCGCTTGGATCTGTACTGAAGCCCAATGCTCCGACCCGATCCGGCTGTGCCGCCAATCGGGGCCCATTGCTTAAACTGGCAGGCCCTGGCGTCGGCGGGAGCTCCAAATTTAACGGCGGACTTTAGAGCAACGACGTTTGATGCAGCGATGGAAGCCATGAGAGAGCTCGGGAGGATCGAAAAACGCGAAGGGAGAAGTGAGAAGCTAGAAATGCGAGGCAATGCCGTTCGGCTTTTATAAAACGAGTGCGTTTTGGTGCGGTTTTTTCTGCGTTGAAATGCTTTGGGAACTCCGGAGAGAGTCGAGACGGTTGGAAGTGGCGATGGAAACAAGGCGTCGAGTGAAGCTCGAGCTGGTTCTTAGTAGGTGGCTGCTCGGATGGACGAGTGGGGCTGCTTTTTCATTTAATTACCATGCAGCCACTGATGACAGTGATGAGGGTGTTGCTGGGAGGGGTAGGATGGTGATATTGAGGTTGAATTGAGGACTTGTGTGGGATTTTAAGACTGATGGGCAGAATAATTAGGTAACTCCGCTCAACTAATTCGACCCGGTTTATTTTTTTGTTGAAAATTTTCAGGACCAAACTTGTTGCAACGGTTTGTTGGCTCCAAATATCGTTTGGGCTTTTGGCGGTATTACGACGGAGGGCTGGGTCATAGTTTTAAGGAAGTGGACCGGATCTGGTCCACCAACTGCCTTGAATCAGGAGGACTTATGTGGTGGCGGCCCGTGGTAAGTTTTTGTCCACTTATTTTTATTTCATTAGCTCGTATGGTGGTATTCCCATACCATGTAAGAAATTTATGAAATCTGGTAATCCAAGAACAACCCAAGTACATTCCCTCCCTTAATATTGCTTGAATGAAAACTCAATACAAGATCTAAAGTACATTAAGACGGGTTCGTGCATGGGTTGAAGCTCATCCCAGCCCTACCGAGCTTCAACCCAGCCCTACCAACCCGATGTCCACCCCTGCCACAAACTTTGTGGCCCGAAAGTTAACAAAATTCGTGGCTAATTAGAAAACTGTAATAAGGACGGTTAAAGAAAGAGTTATTGCTATTAAAAATCAACCAAATCAGACGCAAGGGGCATTAAACGTCACCGATGATGTCTTCAGTGTATATGTCTGAGTTCAACACCAAGAAAATTTCAACTAGATAGACAACCACAATGTACATTTAGAACAAGCATGGAGCTTGATGATGTTAAAGATAAAATGGCAAGGGTTCTCATACATATGAAATTTGATGATTATGCCCGTTTCGTTGTCGGTTTCCTCTTGGAGTTGTTCTTGGGACGAATCTTCACAAAAGCCTTGTCCAAATCCTAAACAAATTGAAAAACAAGAAATTTAGAGGAATTTTTGCGCACAAGGACTTCGCATCTACATGAGAGTTGAGGAGATAGGTTACCAATTCGGTAATGTTAACCGAACAAATAAACAAACTATCAATAAACTAACAGAATTTTAACACGGCTGTACAACAGTTTTCCTCTAAAGTCCACGAAAAGGAAAAACAGAGGAAGAACACTGACTTCAGCCACCCATATAAGAACTTTACTTCTAGCTTTGCAATGCCAGTGAACCCTAAGAAACTAATTGACTTTAAAATTTGTAGAAATAATCTGTTAATGACAACTGATTTCAGGATGATGGTAACTACAACGATACAAGAGCGTCTTCATTTTTTATACAAGAACTTCTGAAAAGTTGATAACCTAAATTACCGCAAAAATTAGTTTAAAACCATCATGCAAATTTTCAGCCAACCAAAATCACTTTTCCATTCATCAAACTTGCTCTATGATAAAAATGAGATAAAACTGAATTCTACAGCTCACTAAGATATTTGGTTGGATCAACGTCCTTATTTCTGAAAGGGGGCTTATACCTAGTGAAAAAGTGCTCAGGTGGTCTGATCTCCCAGAAACATCATTCATAACATTTAGTGGTGCCAATTGGCATAACGAAGTAAAATATGATTCAAAGTAAGTATAGCAATTTACCTCCAATGTTTCTTTTTCCGACTTCTTCGAGGTCCAAAGAGCCTCCAAATTGTAATAAGCTCTAGCGTTCTCATCAAGAGCATGAACTATCACTTTGCCTAGAGAAACCCATTATTGAAACCCAAAAAGAAAAGAACAAACAATATGAAGGAGGCATGTAAGTACTGCGCATTCGTGGGGAACATTATTCGAAAATTATACAGAAGTCTGCAAGATTCTTATATCCTACTACTATTTGTAAGATTTCATTTTTTACACAAGGACAATAGGAAATACAAAAATGGCATTTGTCGTTCACAAATTTAGTTAAAGTGCACACTACAGAAAGTCTGAGCCCCGGTATGGCTACTGGACATTGCCATAAAAATAAAAACAATTTTTAGTCTTCCAGAACTATTGTGGTGGTGGGTTTATGCAATTGATAAAACATACCATAACAAAAGTAAATATTTAATCAAAACTATTTTTCAACAACGAAATCCGACGATCCTACAAAGTTCAGAACATACCAGAGTCAATAACAATCCACTTTCCTCCCTCTTGCCCTTCCACGCTGGGAAGCACTAACCGCTCAGCTCCTTGTTGCTTTTGCTTAGACTGCTCATATAAACACACACAAAGGCAAAGATTATTAATCGAGTTCATCATCGAAAACCAAGGCAATGAAGCCTAGTTAATCACAAAGCAGCATTCAACAGGAAAATGTAAACTCAAATTTTCTAGAGAACCAAACAGATAATAAGATTACACTCCATTTCTACCCAATCGGCAATAGACAGAAATCAACAAACCAGTACAAAAAGAAGACTCAGCGTTTCACTCTCTTCCGCTTCCCTCCGATTCTAGGCAACCAATCACAAATTAGGAATAGAAATTACAGAGAAATTCGAACCTGCCTTGTAAATTAGGGCCTGAGCAATGTTCTTGACGTGCCACGTGGACCTTCCAGTGGCAAGAACCATGAAATCGGCCCATTCGCAGTGCTTATCCGCCGGTATGACCTTCACGTCGTCGGCCTTCACGTCGCTGAGAACCTTCTCGACCTCTTGGAGATCGAGGAGGCCTCTTCCGGCGAACGTGGAGAGTTCAACTGGAAGCCCTAGCTTCCATTGTTGAAGGAGCGACGAGGAAAAAGAAGACGAGAGAGAGACTGACCGAGATCGTAGAGCCGCCAACATGGTGGTGTTAGTTGTGGCGGTGCGCTGATGCTGGTTTTGGGTTTTAGCGTTTCAGAACGTTGTGGAGTGAGTGGCGCGCAACGGCGGCGTTTCGGGATGTTGCTTCCAGAAGCGTCATCTTTAAAACCAAAACGCACCGTGTTGGCGTTAGAGCGCTTCCATAGTACGAAGGCTTAATTGGCAACTGAATCCTTCGTGGAATGGTAACCGTTTTTAATGAACAGTAATTATCTTTTACATCTCTACTCCTAAATTAAATAACCATGATAATAGACAATTAAATATTAGTATTTTTTATTTGTAATTTCAGATAGAATTTTTAACCTGTCTTGTTACGTCAGGTGTTATTATTTGAAAATACAATTTTTTGTGATAGATTTTCGATAAGATTTTTAACCAATCTCATTGTGCCACGTGTCACAATCTGTTTATAATCTTTGAGGATAGATTTCAATAAGATTTTTAACGAATCACGACGTGCCACGTGACATTATGTACAACCTAATTCTTTTTTTTTCTCCATATAACCCACCATCCATCTTAAGAAATCACACACCAAAATCAAAATATCTTAAAATCTCTATTCATATTAGTTTCTGCTTCTTTCTTACAATGTCTTCATCAATGATGTTGTGGGAAATCGATGAGCAAGAAAAATAATTGTTTAAGCAAGGGGAAGAAATGTTCAACTTCCAGGAGGGCGAAAATGAGATGGAAAAGGAAGAGGATGAGGAGCGTAGAATGAGAGATGATGAAGAAAGAAGCCAAAGAGCCTCACATTCTTGCCAAGTCATCCAAGCTATGGCTGAGATCTCCAGGCCCAACCATTCTGCAAACATTGATAGAAGCAGGCAACAACGACATTATTTTGTCCGTAACAGTGCACTTCCTAATATGTACTTTAAACGTCATTTTAGAATGCGACAACATTTGTTCAACAAAATCATGATTGCTGTTTGCAACCATGATTCTTACTTTGTGTAAAAGAATGATGTTTTTGGTGTCATAGGTCTCATTTCTGAGCAAAAAATTACTGTTGCCTTGTGGATGCTTGTATATGGAGCATCTGCAGACCAAGTGGATGAGATAGTGAGGATGGGGAAATTAACCATTCTTGAGTCCCTGATGAGGTTTTTCTCTATAATCGAATATATCTACACCAAAGAGTACCTCATGGAGACTTAGGACAATGACTTGTAAAGGTTTCTGAAGAAGGGTGAGATGTAAGGTTTTCCTTGCATGATTGGAAGAATCGATTGTATGCACTGGACCTAGAAAAACTGTCTAAGTGCATGGCAATGAGCTTATAGGACATAAAATGAGTACAAAGTATCATTTTGGAGGCGATGACATCATTTGATACATGGATTTAGCATGTTTTTTTCAGTGTTCCAGGAGCTCAATGTCCTTACCCAATTCCTAGTGTTCAACGATGTCTTGCAAGGAAAATCACCGAAAGTCACGTATTGGGTCAATGGACATAAGTACGACGGAGCATACTACTTAGCAAACGACATTTACCTAAGGTGGACATCGTTTGTCAAAACAATGTCAAGTTCGCAAAGTGAAAAGGAAAAACACTTCAGAGGCTATCATGTCACGCCTTGATCCCAATATACGTCCAAGATCGATGCATAACGTCACCAAATACCCGTACTTCTATCATACCCTGTCTCCAGGATAGGGGCCATACACACTCTCACGATCTAATTGTGTGGTACTTTTTTGTATGCATTATGGTTGCATCTAACCTTCTTCTTAGACTGCCTACGTATCCTAAACAGGAATCAAGTCATTCGTAGTTCGTCATTCACTACACTCGAACATTCATCACATATCACAAAGCTTGGCAAAGTGACTTGATAGAGCACTTGTGGGGATTGAAACAAGCTCAAGAAACTTAAAAACAAGCTTGTGGTGGAAGAAGAATGCTCTTAGTTTGTTTGGTGTGTTTAAAATTCATTTAGTGTTATGTAATTTTATTTGGTGTGTTTATATTCTTTGAATACAAATTCTCTTAGTTTAAATAAAGTAATAAATTAAATAAATATGAAATTACACAAAGTACTCAAAATACGAAATTACATAAAGTACCAAATTACATAAATACAAAATTACAACCCAAAGTGATTGGAAATATGGGCTCCGATTATACAACAAAGTCCCTAGTCCGTCGTGAATGGAAAATCATCACCTAACCACTTTGTGGTGCTAGGACCATCTCTACTTGTATGCCTCCTTCGCACCACGTCCGCTTTCTTCGAATTCCAAAAATATTTAGAATTCGGAGACATCGCATCTACAGGCTCCTTCATTATGTAACGATCTTGTTGAGCCCTTATTTCCTTTTTAAGCTCTTCCCTTTCTTGCCTAAGTAGCTCTCTTTCTCTATCATTAGCTCGAAATAATCTCTCAGTAATTGCAACTTTTGCCTCATCTCTAGCCTTATCAGCCTCAAATTTATCCATTTCCCGCACCAAGTCAATTCAACTTGGCGAGGAAGTTCTTCTATATATTTTGTATAATCATTCTTGGAAGAACTCCCTTTTCTCTTTGAAGCCTTCTTACCTTGAGGCCTAAGTGAATAACAGGTCGACCCCGACACTTGTTCAAGGGTCACTTCCCGCACTTGTTCTGTGTTGCTTTCATGAACATGCGAGTCGTGATATAGTGTAGAGAGTAAATGAGTGTTGTTCATCACAACTTGTGGATCGATAGGCACAACTCTGAATTTAGGACAATCCTTGACAATATTCCAACATTCCCACCAGTTGAATGAATTGTTTTTGTTTTTGGCATTATACCAAGCTTGTGCTTGAAGTGTCTACAAAATGTGAGAGAAAAAAAAAATTATAATCTAAGTAGCTAATGTAAATTTGGTTATAGTACAAACAAACAAATAATATATTGTTACCTGATCCACGTAATTTTCCCCACTTCGAATATTAGTGCTAGCTTGTGCCAAGGCGTTTCTCCAATGAGTACATGATTGGCTGAGTATTCTCCAACGACTTGAGAGCGATTGTTTCATTCTTTTGCCACCAATTTTCTCAAGAAAAAGGGGATGAATATTGCTTCACATTTCTTGCAATTGCATCTTATTACCCGTAATCAGATCATGAGTAACTTCAACCCAGTTAGAACACAACATAACATCTTCAATAAGTGTCCAATTCGTACCTGCATCATTCGCCATTTTTTTTGGAAACAAAAGTATATAGAAACTTTGAGAGAAATATTGGAATGTGGTTGGAAGCATTTGAGAAAATATGAAAGTATGGTGTAAGGTGGAAGATAATGATAAGTTATTTATAGAAAAATAAAACAATTTTTTAAAATTAATTTTTAACAATTTTTTATTAACTTAATTAATTTCTACCGTTGGGTTACTGAAAATTTGAAATCTAACCCTCTAGATTGTGCCACGTGGCATAATGGTAACATATCATTTTTTTTTCTTTTTTTTAAAAAAAAAATTTAAAGTTGAAAAACGTGGACTTTTGATCTGGAATCTAACCGCTCAGATTGTGCCAAGTCATCTAGCCGTTGGGGGAGTTTTGAATTTTTTTTTTTTTTTACCATTAGAAATCGAATGGTCCATAAAAAAGAGCCGTTGAAATCCAACGGTCAAGAGGGTGCCATGTGGCACCAGTAACGGTAACATATTAGAGTGTAAACCGTGGGCCCAACCGCCTGAAATCTTATCGGTGACGTGTCCCCACGTGCGTGTGTTATGCAAGCGCCTGATGCAATTTTTTTTTATAACGTGGTTGACATCATCCTGACGTCAGCCTTGCATCATAGAACCCTCAAGCACTCAGGCTTTGGACTGATGCCTGCCCTTTCCCAAGGACTCCCAGTTAGCCCAATTATCCGCAAGGCTGGAGCAAGAAAGGGAGGTGATTGGGTTACAAATAGGGGTAGTCCACCGGGCTAAACCCAACGGTGGAAGTACTCTTAAGTAAATAATAACGTGAGGGTTGGTCAAAAATAAATAGTGTCACATAGGTAAATGTCAACGAATAACACGAACTTCAAGTTCATGTGTGCTTGGAAAAGGAGAGCGAGGATTTAAGTTGAACTGAGTTAGGACATTTGGTTGCATCGGGAACAGGTAATATTAGTATTTTAATTTATTTTAATTTTTCAACAGATAGTTAATTTAATTTAATTTTTCAACCAAATAGCCAAGTTAATTAAATTTAATTTTTCAACCAAATAGCCAATTTAACTTAATTTCTCAACCAAATAGCCAATTTAATTTGATTTCTCAACCAAATAGCCAATTTAATTTAATTTCTCAACCAAATAGTTAATTTCATTTAATTTTTCAAATCAAAATTAAGGATAATAGGTCGCTTAAAACTACGATTAGTGCATTTTCAAAGAAAATGTCAAATATAATATGTTAAAATTTTATTTGATGTTTGATATGTACAGAATATAAATGTAAAATATTCTTCATTTCCAATAGATATGTCAAATATTTATTTTATTAATAGATGTTACAGCTATTAAAAATAATTAAAATTAGTTTTAGTTTTCATCTTATTGGTTGTCAATGAAACCCATGCACTAAAAAATCAAATTAAATATATTTCACTCCATCTTTGTTTGCTATAAAAAAAAAAAAAACAGTTAGAAAGTAAGGAGTCAAATGGCTCGACTGTCACGTCATATATGAGATCTCTATTAAAGAACACTTGATGTCCTTGCATCTTAGTTGACGTATTTGACATCTCCTTTAGGGATGGACTTAGTAGGTTTTTTTAATGGTAAATGCATAGTCTAAAAGTTCAATTTTTGCATACGAGCAATTAGATACCAATTTATTATAGATGATCTCTTATGTAGTTTATTATAAATCAGAATAATGCTAAGTAGACCAAATTTTTACGATGCAAACCAATATATAATATACACGTTATTTTATTTCATTTTGTTTTGTTGAATAAGGTGTACATTAGTTCGGTATTAGGTTTTGCGTTTCAATTATTTCGAGCTTAAATATGTCACTTGTACATGCAAATGCAATAGAACTTATACATTTGTGTATAGGGTAATGCTAGAGAGATCAAAATTTTAAATTAAATTTGTAAATCAAATAATGTGTCATCACTAAAAAATAAATACGTTAATCAAAGTTTAAGTAATAATCTAATCATCAACAAACACATCATTTACATTACAAATTTAATTAAAAAAAATTTGATCTCCCGCACTATCCTCGTATATAATATACAGCAAATACACAGCTGGATACTACCAAATTATATGTCTCCATCTCCTTACGTCTTTGTGGAACGTTGTATGCCATTGCCCAATACCCAATACAATCAGCAGAAAAAACTATTTAAAATTTTGGCCTGATCATCCAAGAACCCTATTTAGCCTATATTTTTCTTCAACATTTATTACTTTAATGCTAGTTCAAGTTGTTATTCTACTCGGACGGACAAAATATATTCGACATAATATAAATAATGCATGCAGTTGTAACATATAGTATTTCTCAAGTCGTTCTGCTAAGCAGGTTCAAATTTATTATTATTTATTCAGAGACGGGTATGTGATATTATTTTTTTAAAATATTTTTTACACAAATTTTTGTGAAACACAATTTGTAATGTATTTTAACGATTTGAACCGTTTCTTTAATTTTAGGTATTTCCTTAAAGACTATGTCTATCAAAAATCACCAAAATCTGAACCATATGACAGTTGAATTAAGAATTTAGGTTTCTTTGTAGAAAACGTATTCGTCCATATTCTTCACTACAAATGAATGTCTTTATGCTTTTGGATTTGTCTATTTTTTTTTTTTGCAAAGATAATATATAAATAATGTTATAAAAAATAAACCGTTTGGATGGTTGGAATATATCACTGAGTGGGACCAACAAAAATTTGCGTCAAAAATTGTGTAAAAAAAAAAAAAGGTGCGATGGATCCACTCCTATTTCTTTAATATCGTTCGAAGACGGAATAAAACAAAACTACACTACGGTCGTGATTTTTCTCGAGAGTTTTAATTGGTTTGTATAATACTTTAATTAGTTGGGTTGATTGAACAAATACTTTATATATTTTATGAGTGTAGTTTTACATAAGATTAGTTGAAAGCCGCACATTGAATATAAAAGGGAAAAAAATACATAGTGGTTGTGGTTACATTGAAGGCTTCTAAGTTTTCTTTCTCCATCACCTGCCAATTAAAACGACGTCCTTTCCATTTAGTGCACAAATTCATGATAACATTAACACATGGTTGTTGGTAGTACATCGGCTTTTTATCTAATTCCATCGCTGTCCCACTGTCTTTATTTAGGGTTTAATTGGATGCCTCGTTGACACTTATTGGTTATCTTTCATTTGTTCATTTTACAATCTACATTTTTGTAGATATTATCCAAGTCAACAATGATTAATTAAGCATTGTTTTATCCAAATATAACAACCTCATTATCTAATGTGATCATTAGCACCGGAACTGATCATCTCCAGATCCGAACCATCGGTATCATACGGACCTCCCTACCATCACTAACCTCTCCCTCCCCTCCCACCCCAATCCCACTGCATAATTCCCCAACCTTTAACTCCTCCCACTTTTTTCGTTTTCTTTCTTTCTTTCTTTCTTTCCATGTGGTTCTTTTTCGTCAATCACTGCGGGAGAAGAAGGCAACAATGTTGAGGAGAAAGAGAGAGAGTGAGAAAGTTGAAGGAGAAGAGTGATCGCAACTGCACGATTTTACGTGAATAGCTAATATTATTTGGTTCACATGATCCGTATGGTTCGAATTCATAGAGAATCTGTTTCCATTAGCATCACTTGTTATGTTATGAGAGGGAATTTCATAAATTTTCAATTACAGATTTGTAGAATAGCATGTGATTGACACAACAAAAGATTTTATGCTCTATAATGATCGAGGAATTAAACTTCATGAAAGTGTATGCTTGATGACTATTTTTTGATCCGACAATATGATTCATTCTTGCTACTAAACTTCTGTACCTAATGAAAGTGTACGAAAAACTGACATAGAGCATGAGGGTTTTCTTACGACGAAAGGAAAATACTTGACTCATTATATATAAGAAGTCATTCCTCCTTGCAGACAAATCACAATTCAACAAATATGCATAACTTTTACCTATATGGTTGTAATGCGTTACTTTTGCGTGCATCATATAATTGTAAATCCACCAAAAAAAGCAATGCGTCACAATACTTGCCATAAATAGAGTTGGTAGGAAAATTTCTTGATTTTCTTCGGTGAGAATAATTTAAATCAATTTTGGGTTTATTTAGTACAGATTATTTACAAATTTTAAGTTGACTAGAACACTGTGATCTACCATCATTTGAGTTAGACTTTCCTCGTTTTGATGAACCACTAATATTATTCGATTACTTTTTAAAATGAAGGTGAGTTTAGTGTAACGTTCGAAAAAATATATATATAAATTACACTTATCATTCGGAAAAAATACAAATTATTGACTACTTTAGTTGGAAAATAACCATATGAAAAGGAGTGTTACAAATACATGATTAAGTAGAGACTACTTACTACAACGGCAGTGGCAACGGTCGTAAAAATTAAGAAGAAGAAGAGAAAGTGCAATTGACAGAAAGAAAATCACGAAAAAGAAAAGAAAAAAAAATGGACGAGCAAAGAGAAAACTGAAGAAACAAAAAGGAGAAAACGAAAGCTTGTTGTGGAGGAAACAGGCAAATCCAGACGAAAGCAAATCGCCAGTTTTTATTTATTTATTTTTATCTTTTCAGTTTTCAGGAGCTCCTCCTCAAATTTTCCACTTTCTATTTCCTGCCGCACCGATCCGTTACCGCATTCGTCTTCCGATCCGTGCGCGCCTAGGCAGAGCAATAAATGCTTTAGATCCGACTGCCTGATACAGCATTCGTCGCGTTGCGGTTGCCGTCTTCGAGCTCGCTGCGGTCGAGCTTCGATTTCTTGGGATCGCAGTGAGTTTTGCGGAAGCTATTTTTCTCTGTGTGTCGTCGAGCTGTGGAAGCGCCGGAAGTGGTTTCGTCAATGGCGGTGTGAATTCGGGTTCAGTGGCGGCGTAGTGGTTGGCGGGAGCTGAATTGGAGTTGGAGTTAGGTTTTTGGTGGCGGGTGCGGTGGTTGCCCTTTTTTGGTGTCTTCAAATGGCAGAATCTAGGGTTTTGAGACTTCGGTACACGATGAAGGTCTTGATTTGATTGGATTAGATACGTCGACGTTCAGCCTCTGCGTTGCGACTGGTACGGTTGTTTCAGTTGCTGCGTTAATTAATGCAATTTTGTATTAATTTTTACTTAATATTTGGGGTTTGAGTTGACTTGGACCTGGCATGTATGATTCCCACTGATATTGAGTGGTTGGAATTGGAAATTAAATTAGTTTGGTGCATTTTGTGTTGTGGGGGAATCGGAAACGAAGCTTGGTTGCTTAAATTGTTGGCATTGTGAGCACTAGCTAGGTGTATGTGATGGGTTACTGCTTCAATTTGCGTTGTATGGAGCGGTTGGGGCGTCGGTTTTGACTGTGTAGTTTTTATATTGTGAGAGATGCCTCCTTCGCCATCATTGAGGTGCTCTCCGGGACGAGAGCCAAGAGCAAACCATCACAGAAGGGGTCAAAGTTTTGAAAGTGGAGTGTTCTTGAAAGAGAAAGATGAAGATCTTGCCTTGTTCAACGAAATGCAGACCCGAGAAAAAGAGGATTTCTTGGTTCAGTCGTCAGATGATCTTGAAGTTATATTCTGTAAGATGTCATCCACCATTTCATCATTTGCTAGGAAGTGTAAGGTTCAGGATTTTGTCTCTGGTGATAGGGCTGACAGGGTTTCATTTATGTTTTTAAATTTACAGCTACAAATATGAGGCAATTTTCGGATGTGAAGCTTGGAATCACCATTCCGACACGTGGAGAGAGTAGCGACCTGTTTAATGTGGAGGGGGAGAAAAATGACTATGATTGGTGAATTATACTTTTTCTTTATCTGATACCTTAATTTATCGATGCTATATTATTGGTTTAGGATATGCTTTTCATTCTTAGGTACTAAAGAAATGATTAAATTTCATCCAGGATCAATTTGCACGCGTTTTACATTGTAAGCACGAGATATGCCCTGGTTGTAAATTGTAAGACGAGTGTCCTGCCTTAAAACTGGGAATTTTTTGGTAAACCAGAATAATTTACTTTGTCAGAGGACAAAGAACACAGATTATTTTCCTAAAAAAATTGGGTGATGATTTTGGCAGTCCAAAAACAATTTTAAACAACCTTATGAACTCCCCACGTGTGAGAAAATAGAGGAGTGTGGGAAGTGATTTTTCTGGTGCCAAAATGATCTTGCAAACTAAGAGGGTTTGTCTGTTTCATGCATACTTTCATTCTTGCATCTTATCTGGCTGAGATTTTAAGAGTTTCTGTCAAATAGCTGGAAAATTTCACTGCTTGAGATTTGTCCATTTATTCATAGAGCAAAAACTGAATGATCAACATGTTATAGAAGTGGGTTGCATTTTGTTCCTTTACTGATGCTTATCAGCGCTGGTCCTGTTTATGTCTTTTTACTGACGGAATGATCTGTTTTTTAAATTTCAAAGGTTGGTAACACCTCCCGACACTCCTCTTTTTCCTTCCTTGGATGATGAACCACCACCAGTTAATGCACCACAGAGGGGCAGACCTCGAAGTCAACCTATTTCTATATCAAGATCATCCACGGTAGGGGGTCAAATCACTTTTATGGGACTCGATTATGTTAGTCATCATCTTGTAGACTTTGAAGATTATGCTGATATCTTTATTTTCCGTACATTTAATGCAGATGGAGAAGAGTTACCGAAGCAGCAGGGGCAGTGCTAGTCCTAATCGCTTAAGCCCATCCCCTCGTTCGGGGAATAGTACAATCCAGTCAAGGGGACGGTCATCACCGGTACGCCATTCCAGTCCAACCCCAAGTCTACGTCCTGCTACTCCATCACGGAGACCATCTACTCCATCACAGAGACCATCTCCTCCTTCACAGAGACCATCTACTCCCCCAAGTAAATCCCCAACACCTCCTCCAAGGTCGTCTACCCCCACACCACGGAGGATGAGCACTGGGTCCAGTAATACTGGGGCTTCACCTGGGACGAGAGGAACTTCCCCAGCAAAGACAAGTCGGGGGAACTCTGCTTCACCAAAAATAAGAGCATGGCAAACAAATATTCCAGGCTTCTCCTGTGATGCACCTCCCAATCTTCGTACTTCTCTTGCTGATCGACCGGCAACATATGTGAGGGGTTCCTCACCAGCATCTAGAAACGGTAGGGACAATTCCTCCAACTACAGAAGGCAATCAATGTCTCCAACTGCTTCTAGAAGTGTCAGTTCTTCTCATAGTCATGATCGAGACCCATTTAGTTCTCACAGCAAAGGTTCTATAGCATCTTCCGGTGATGATGATCTAGACTCTCTACAATCTCTTCCTGTGGGTAGTTTGGACCGATCAACTTCAATAAGAGTTGGTACTTTTTCAAACAACAGAGCTATGGCCTTCTCCAAGAGACCAGCCAAAGTGGTGTCCTCATCTTCTGCTCCAAAAAGATCCTTTGATTCTGCCCTTCGACAAATGGTACTTTATGATCTACTGCATTAAACTGCATCCTTTATGATAAAATAATTCTTTTATCATCCGATGAGAGGCAACTATTTGAAAGTAGGGATAGTTTTCTTAAGTTCTTATCCAATGACTAAGCAATATAATTCTTTAGAATTTCTGAACTTCTTGTCTGCTAAAGTTTTCTCTAGCTTTCAATTCAAGGTCTTTCTGGTGTGTTTCTTTCCTATTTCAAGTAATAACGTTACATTGGGTTTAACCAGAGTTATAAAAAGATGCTGAAAACATAAACCGCACTGAATTATTGTAATATTCTCTCTCTCAATATTTCTTAGGTTGCCATTATGTTCTTAACACCTTGAAATCCTATAGTTATTAAATGTTACATTTGCACTTCACTCATTGTGATATTTCCGTTCATACGGTATAGAAATCCACATCAGAGGGTTAATGCCTTACCACGTCCATGCAGGATCAACGGAAAGGTCCCCAGAATATGTTTCGGCCACTCTTATCTAGTGTTCCCACTAGCACCTTCTATGTTGGAACAGCAAACTCTGCGCATCGTCCTCTGATTTCCAGGAACTCCTCAGTCACAACTAGCAGCAATGCGAGTACTGATCTGGGTGCTAGTGTTGCACATGATACGGAAGGGAGTGATCACAACCAGGATGATATGGCCAGTGAATCTGAGAAAGTGCCATACTCTGATGTTCATGAAGAAATTTTTGGCTTTGACAAGATGGATGTAGTAGATGAAGACACCAAGCATGACGTCCATGATGGCTCACGTGACATTCATCATGGTGACTTCAATGGAGGCACCAGTACAGTGGAGTGTGGAGCTGGTCACTCCGAAGATTATGGTCACCCCGATAACATCACAGAAGTCAGTCGAACCTCTGAAGATTCTCATGTTAAGGGTGATTTTTCAGAAATCAATAGTCTCGAAGGCATGGAACATTGTCTTAAATGTGGTCACAGGTATTATGTTTCTGATGAGGTGGAACAGAACATTAGATTTTGTCCGGAGTGCAGGACAGATAAACTTTTGACTGTCCTGATTCCGGAGATAACTGAAGTTCCTGAAAACTCCCCAGCTTTGTCTGTCGAAATTGTGGAAGAACAAAAACCTTTGGATGCAAAGGAAACCATGGTGATTGTGCCTGGATCTCCCCAAGTTTCTGATTTGGGAATTCCAAACAAATCCCAGGGTGAAGAGAACATCGGTTCAGGCCAAACTATTGACGGTGAGCAAATCCCTAATTATTTACAAGAAGAGTCTCTTGTAAGACCAGTGGAGGAGGGAGTAGGGAAAGGGCTAGCCGACCAGCAAGAGGTGGGTGCACTAACTGTTGGTTGTAGCCAACCTAATAGTGCGACCGTGAGTCAGAATTTGCATCATTCTAACAATTATCCAATTACAAGGGCTGACATTTCAGAAGGTGCAGGCATTTCCATACTGCTGAAGAGGACAAGCAGTCCCAAGGGGGATGTTATTCAGGGCAGGACGTTAACAGCCACTAACATACCTTACGAGGATCTGTCATATGCTAGAGATAGTTCAAACAGTATGAGAAGCTCCATTGGCCATGCTAGTTTCTCTGCATCATCTTCATTTGATTTTGGCCCAGCTAGACAAACAGAGACTCGTGTGCAGCGACAGTTGAGTAGCAAGAAATCAGACATGGATAGTTTCTCTGCATCATCTTCAGTTGATTATGGCTCAGCTAGACAAATGGAGACTCGTGTGCAGCGACAGTTGAGCAGCAAGAAATTAGACATGGAGAACCACAGGCATGACACAAACACAAGAACCCAAAGTGTTGGATCATCGGACATGGAGAATCACAGAAATGACACAAACATGAAACCCCAAGGCATTGGATCATCATCATATGGAGATCCAAACCATGCCTACCAAATGTTAGGTCTTTTGTCGAACACACATGATGATGATGTTGAGGTTACTGTGGGAAATGTGGAATATGATGTCGCAGAGGTGGCTCCCATAACATCTCAAAAATCCTTGCTAGCTTCAGAATGTACAGAACCAGATGTTACCGCTACAGCTTCTACCAGGACGACTGTAGTCAAGGAAGATGATACTGTGTTCAGTTCTACCAGTGGACGATTTGATGCTTCTACCACAGAATTGTCGAATCATGCAGTTAGGACTCCATTAGAGGAGAATTGGGTAGCACCGGGTTGTGAAAATTATGCTTCAGATGAGAATGGTGAAGAATTGCAAAACTATGCAAGTAGTGCCACAGATCCAGAAGTATCAGTTGTAAATCCAGACTCATTCAAGGAGGAAAACACCACTCTCAACAGCAGTGTTGACGGAGTGGATGCTGAAAAAAGTAATCACAGTGCTCAATGTTCAATGAACAGTGATGCTTCCATTGAGTCAAAAAGCACGATTGAGGAGTGTCAGGAGCCTTCAGTTCCAATTCCTTCCGACAGTTATATGACACCTTCAGTTCCAGAGAACACCACCTCTAATAATGCATATGGCATCTTAGGTATGATTTCAAATTTGTGTTCAACTTTTTTTCTTTCTTGCTAGTTAATGTTTGACATTTTTTATTTTTATTTTTTACTTTAAAACTTTTCTCGATGAGGGTGGCGAGTATTGTGTGGACTACAATATCAGAAATAGAAACTTTTTTCGGGGTTCAACTTTTTTTGCTCTCCCTCATGCTGTCTGGCACTGATATTTTTCCAGTTTTTGGAATAAGCATGGTTCCCTATTTTTTTTTTCTGCTTCCTGACCACATTATATGGAATTAGAGTGAACAGCTGACATGCCTATACATTTTTTTCAGAAGAGGAATCAACAGTAATGGTTGAGTATCAAGGTCGAAGCAAGACGAGAAGCCTGACACTAGAAGAGGCAACAGATACAATACTCTTCTGCAGTTCCATTGTCCACAATCTGACCTACGAGGCTGCAGCCATAGCAATGGAAAAGGAAACCTCAGTCCCGTTAGAAGGTTTTCGGCCTACAGTTACAATTTTGGGGAAATCCAATCCTGAGAGAAAGGAACCGCGGGGCAGAACTGTTAGTCGACGTTCTTTAAAACCTCAAAAGGGCAAGCCAAAGCAGTTGGAAACAGATGCTGAGCTTCCTGCTAGTAAGACTGAGAACGATGAGAATGTTGACGAGTCTTTGCAACGGAATGTAGGGCTTCCCAAGGTAGACAGCATGAAGCCTCCAAAGCTGGAATCCAAGTGCAACTGTACTATAATGTGAAAGTCTCCATTCTAATCCCACTTAAAGTTCCCGCTGTGCATTTTGGCCACTTCCTTCAGCAGTTCAGTGCAGCCCATATTTATGGAGATGGTGCCGAGTACTTGTATTTTACTTGTATTTTGTGTTTGAAGGGGTTTGGGGGTACTTGCCAAATGTTTTTATCAGTTCCGAATCTTCCGATATATTTGTACTAATCGTCGTGAAAACAAGGCGATGTTTTCACGACGTAATTGTAAAGTTTTCCTTTGTCATTAGGTGCTGGTAGTGGTGTGAGGCATCGGAGGTTTGTGGTAGCTCCGGCCTTGTTAGGGAATCAGTAAGTTCGATGTGGTTCAATTCCTCCACTAGTGTGCGTGTGTGTGCGAGAACTCAATTCATTCATATTCATTATGATTGTTTTAGAATATACCTTGATTATTATTACTAGATATTTGGGAAGCGAAAATAATAGGAGGTGCTAGCAATCTTCTCACTCAGGAACTCTTGTTTTAACTTCTTGACTCTCAATTCCATACTCAATGTTGCTTGATGTTCAAGCCGTCTATTTTTAAGTGGGAATCTTAACGAAAAGCTTCAGGTATTGTTCACTTAAACAAAAAAATCATATTTTTACACTAAAAAGTCAATCATGGTACTATTCACTTTACCTTATTTTTTTGTCCTTATCGTTAAAACTCAAAGTTTTCAAGTTTTTTCATTAGTTTTCCATTTTTTAGTTCCTTTTTTTTTTTTTTTTTTTTTTTTCAAAAAATCAATTAAATTAGAAAGAAAGAAGAGAAAATTGTAGCAACTGTGCCTCAACTTTAACTCAATTGGATGTTTGGTTCTCAACTAAAAATCCGTAACCATTGGTCCTTTAACTTATCAAAGTATCCAACTGTAGTTCCTTTCGTCAATTCCGTCAGAACTTCTGTCAAAATAATTTATGGTGGAAGGACTTTTGCTCAAATTAGGTTAAAGTTGAGAGATCGTTGATTCAATTTGGTTAAAGTTGAGGGACCATTTCTTTAATCAGGTTAAAGTTGAGGAATGTCTATTTGCCCCTTGATTCAGCTTCGTGTATGTGACATGTGACTTATTTTGACATAAGTTTGGACAGAGTTGGCGAAAAGGGCCATAACTGCGCGTTTTGATGAGTTAAATGACTAATGGTCACAGATTTTTTGTTGAGGAACTATTACTGCAATTCAATTATAGTTGAGAAACCATTACTACAATTTCCTCAAGAAAGTCAATGAATTCATTTATTTATTTCTTCTTGTCTTCTGTGTTCATCATTGAGAAAATCTAAATATGTGTGAGTGTGCGCGCGCGCGCAAGCTCCTTGTATTCCAAAGCATTATTTCTCTTGTTCATTGTCTTTTGTTTCTTCAAACTTGGCTTCTGCATTGCAGTTCATCGTTTTTCTTGTTCTTGAGGAATGCAGCGAGTCCTGCAAGCGCCTTATCGGCTTCTTCATTTTTCATGAGTTGTTCTGCAATCTCTGCAGGGGTCACCTCCAGCTGCTTTAAGAATTCTTCAATTTCGTTGAAGGTGAAGAATCCACTTGGTGTGCAGTAGGACATAAATGTGCATATCCATGCGCCCCGGTCTCAACAATGCAGGATCTAGTTTCTCCTTGTAATTTGTTGTAAACACAATTATCCTCTCATCTCCGCAGCTTGACCACAGCCCATCAATGAAATTAAGCAACCCTGATAGAGTTAACTGTCGAAAACAGACAACTTAATATGAACAGAGTCATAGATAGAACTTTTTGTATAGCTAAAATCACGTGCATCCTGGTTTTTACCTGGCTGTCATTGTTACTGCCTCCTCCAAGTTTTCGGTCACTCAATTCAATGCTGCAATCAATATCTTCAATTACTAGTATCGATCGATTTGCAGTGGAGACTAACAGCCTCCTGAGCTCGGAGTTGCTACTTTGCATAAGCTCCAAGTCATAGACGTCAAACTTAAGGTAATTAGCCATGGCTGCGATCAAGCTGGACTTTCCTGTACCGGGAGGACCATACAACAAGTACCCGCGTTTCCATGCTTTGCCTACTCTCCCGTAAAACTCCTTCCGCTTTACAAACCTGTCCAAGTCATTGATCAACTCCTCCTTGAGCTTGGGACCCATTGCCAATGTGTCAAAAGTAGACGGATGATGAAAGATGACAGAGCCCCATGGACCTGCATTGTACTCTGGTAAAGTTTTTAAGAGCATGAAGCTTCACTACCTTGTTTTCATGTTGTATGGCTTTTGATCTCTCTACTACTTACGGCAGGTAAGCGCTCAACACTTTTTCTCTGTATCTCTTATGGAAACTGACCTGAATTGACTTGTTCTCAGATACTTCAATTGAGGTGGCTTCCAGCTCGTAGTCAAATTCTGATCTTCGTGTTTCAGTAGAACAGAATTCCCATACCAACTTGATTCCTTCGAATTCATTGATGAGCTTTTCGCCTTTGTTGATGGTGACGGAAAAGTTGTTCTGTCGCGCGGACTTGGAGACCTTGAGCTGTTCGACAGAAGGGGTGATCCTTGTGCTCAAGTAGGCTTCGGAAGCGTAAATTTCATTGAAAGAGATGCCACTGAACTCATCAATGATGAGAATCACTTGAGAATTGGGAAGGTTTCCGAATAGGCCTCCGAGTGTGGCGATGATTCTATCATGGAGTTTTCGGGGTATGAGCTGGGTGGTTATGGTCTGGACCTCATTGATCACTGTCCTGGCCAGCATTGCTCCTGCGGCAAAAGTTGTGGAGGTTGATAGGAATGTTGCCGTTGAAGGCACGTTTGTTAGAGAAAACATCTTTCAATGTGTGAGTTTTTGTGCTTGCTGGTTTGTTGAGTTGAGTTGGAAATATTGGTGAAGGGATTTTATAGCACAAAAATTGGAAAAAGCAGCTTCCACACGAAGCTGTTTGACTAAGATGTTACAAAGCTTTCACCATAATATTTGTTCAAGCCAAGTCAATCTTTTCGATGAGAGAAACAAGCTTCTTAAGCAATTTTCACTATAAAAAACGACCAAGAGAGAGTGCCGAGTCCACTGCTTTTTTTTCACATACACCATTAATCCTTGATTCACAATTTCATGCCAATTGAAAATAAAATTCCAAATTATTGAGACAATTTAAGAGCAACTCCACCGTTGCAAGGGTCCCTAGGGCTATTTACTATTTAATCCATCCAGTGAATGATAACTGCCCTTAATGAACAGTAACTACCTTTTGCATCTCCACTCCTACACTGAACAGCCCTAGTAATAGGCAATAAAATATTAATATTAATATTTATTTATAAAATAATACAAAATAATTTTATTTGTAATTTCGCATAAGATTTTTAATCATTTTCTTTGCGCCACATGTCATTATCTGAAAAGACAATTATTGGTGATGAATTTCGATAAAATTTTTATCCAATGTTGTCGTGCCACGTGTCGTTATCTTTTTGAAATTTTGAGAGAAAGATAGGAATGTGGTTGAAACTAGTTGACAAAATATGAAATTGTGATGTAATGTAGAAGATAATGAGAAGGTATTTATAGAAAAGTAAAATCAATTTTTTTTTAAAAATTTTTCAGAACTTTTGTTTAGGATTTTTATTAATTTTTTACATTTTTTTAAATTTTTTATTCACATAATTAATCTCTACCGTTGGATTAAAAAAAATTTGAATTCCAACACTCCAGATTATGCCACGTTTCACAACGGTGAGATTTCAGAATTTTAAACTGCTGTTTTTTTAAAATTTATAAAGTTGAATAACATGGACCGTTGATTTCAGATCCAACGACTGAAATTAAATAAGGTTTTTACTTTTTTTTTACTGTTGGAAATCCAACGGTCCATAAAATGTTGCCGTTGAAATCGAACAGACGTGGAAAGCCACATGGCCTCCCCAACGGTAATATTTCAGAAAAGCGTTGCGGGCCCCACGTTTGAAACCATGTTAGACGACGCGTGCCCACTTGCGCTTGATGCAAAAAAGAGAGAAAACGTGGCTGACGTTGTCCTAACGTCAGCCTTGCATCATAACCACTCCAGGCTCTCGGCCCAATGACTCCCCACAGGCTTCTCGCTCGGGCCTCTCAGGCTCAATCGCTAGCTTGGGTTGGACCTTCTTGCTTGGGCATTTTGGCACTGTTTGATAGCCAGTCCATTAGGCTATCAGCTTTAGTGGAGCTACTCTAAGTGGTAAAGTGATGCAGACTTCGATTAAATTAAGATATTTATTACTTTAAGTTGAAAATTGAAGATTTAGGTATTTCTGATCTATAATGATATTTTTTTTTCTTTTGTACCTTTCAGGGCAAAACTTAGAGAAATTAATTAGGTAATCATCATAGCAAGAGGTGAGTAATCACAAAAAATCTACTAGGCGCACACGCATTGTAGACTACTAGGTTTAATTGTTCACACTTATTATAATTTAATTGTGATCTTATTTGAGATATAAAAGATTGCACATACTAAAAAGTATTCATCTGACTACTTGAAGTGTCAAAGGAAAAGAAAAGTTGAACAACCAACACAATCTGAAAAAGAAGCTATTGACAAGTTTTCTGTTAAAGGAAAAAAACTACAAAGTTCAATGGAGGGCTTAGTTAATGAACAACACAATTAACTAGTTGATGATTTGGGCCATGAGGATGCTTCTAATGTCTTCACCGAACAACCAATTGAGTCAATTCCCTTGAACATTTATGATCCTCGAATTTGGGATGGTCTGAGATCCAAAATGGATTGATTTGTTAGCAAAAAAAGATCCTGCAAGAGATCTATTAATTGAGAAAAGTCCTAAAGTTCAGTTTAATAGGCTTTTTAATGCATCATTTCAAGTAGCAAATGAGGGCTACAAAGATTGGACACATCTCAGTGTGAGGCTTAAAGAGCATGGAACCAGTTCTGATCATATCTCAAACATGAACACTTGAATTGATTTGCGTCTTAGATTACAAAAAAGAAAAGAAAAGAAAAATGAAACATTGACAAAGTTGTGCAAGACCAGATCAAGAAAGAAAAAGAGCATTGGAGAGAGTTACTACGAAGGTTGATTTCCATTATGAAATATTTAGCTAAATACACACTAGCATTTCGTGGAAAGAACGAGAGGCTTTATCAAGAAAGTAAAGGAAAATTTATCAGCCTAGTTGAAATGATGGCTGAATCTAATTCATTGATAAAGAATTATCTTCAACATTTTCAAAATAATGAATCATTTTCTCTGTCATACTATCCATAATGATGATATTGTTGATATCTTGTGAAATCAAGGGTGCAACCATTTGAAAAATAAAATAACCTAAATATTTTATTGTGATACTTGATTGTACTTTTGATTTTAGCCACTAAGAACAAATGATTTTGATCTTAAGATGTGTGGATGTGAATAGTACTTCAGTAAAAAAGAAGAAATAACAAATAAGGACAAGGACTGTTTGAAGAGTTGCTGAAAGTGTTAAAAAGTCCTAATCTTGAAATTGATGATGTGAGAGGGCAAGGATAGGATAATGGATCAAATATAAGAGGGAGACATCAAGGTGTATAAACGAGACTTTTGAATATAAATTCTAGGGCAATGTACACTAAATGTGGTTGCCATAATCAGTTAAAAAATTTGATTCGACATTTTGAAAAATTTTGACATGATAAGACGAGTGATAGAGATAATGAAATCATTTTATGGTAAAATCTCTCTCCTAATACACCATTGTGATGTTTTAGACTTATTAAGCATCATTACGTGTTTTTAACTTTTTGACAAAACATAATTGACATGAATTACTGCAAATTGGCGTCCCTACTTCATGGGAGGATGAGGTTAGATAGCTGCTTGAAAACTGTTGTAACTTGAAACTCTCTCAGCACAATCCTCGGGATCTCACTTAGCGATTATGTTTCATTTCAAAGTATCAGTATTAACATATTCTTTTGGTTGCTCTTCTTACTCAAGTTAACAAATAATGTTGATTTATGTGGTTTATGTATAGGTGTTAGGTAGGATTTGATACTGCTTAAATTATTTTAAAAGAAGGGATGAAAAAAAGTTGGAGTAAAACTTGTGTTTGATAATTCTGCTTATTTTCAAAGTCACGAGTCATTTTAAATTGAAAAGTGGCAAAAAGTAGAAGCAGCAAAATGCCTTCTCAAAGCCAACTGTTTTTTTCAAGGAGGCCGGTGAATAGTATAATTTAATGAAACTTTCACAATCTCAAAAATACCCTCCTCTGGTTCTCCTTCTTGCTGGGTTGAAGATCGAATCCTCATCGTTGATATTCTTATTTCGCCGGATTTCAAATTTCTAAATTGAAATCCCATTGGAGTATTTTCCAACTCGCCGTCGCATCGCAGACCAAAGAAACAAATCCAAAACCCAGCTCTCAAAAACCATCAAGTGCTCAATTCAAGATGCACAATTTCACACAACAGATCTTCATAGCAAGCTCTTTCTGCAACTCTAAGAGGAAGGTGGATCGAAAAGTAATGGGGAAAGTAGTGGATGGCAGAGGAGATGAAATTGGGAAACTAGTGGTAGTGGAAGTTATATAATTAGGGAAAAAAAAGGTAGAAATCTCAGTCTAAGAAATCGGAAAGTCGATCTTGAGGTAGATGAGAAGGAACTTCTGGACGATGTGGTCCTCAGAGTGGAGAAAATTATATGAAAAAAAAAAAAATTAGGCAAAAAGGATGACTCTAGAATTCTAGATGGGAGTGAGAGACAGAGAGAGAATGATGAGAAAGGGAATGGGCGGCGGAAGAGGAAAGAAAAGACAAGTTTTGCAAAAGAGGAGAACCGAACCTTGGAGAAGAAAATAGAATAAAAAATATTTCAGTCTAAAATATTTCAATTGAAGTAGTTTGTCATACTAATTAATATTTAAGATAAAGTTTATAAATATTTTTATTTTAAAAATAAAGTATATTTAGTAATTCATCTTTATTTGTTAAGAAAATTAAATTAATGGTGCATCTAGTATTATATCTTTTTTGGTCATTTCACACAGTCATAACTGTTTTACGTAAAAGTTTACCAAACATTATAATACTGCTTTTTTTCCAAAAGTACTTTTACAAAAAAAATTTACCAAACACTCTGCTGCTTTATTTCACTGCTGCTTATTCTCAAAGTAATGCATAATCAGTTTTTTTTTCAAAGCACAATAATACAAAACCAGCCCTTAGGTGAAGCCTTGCCAGCTACAATATATGTATTTCAAACAAGTAATGTTAGGGAAAATAATCAACAACAATCACGTCATATGATTTACAAATACAAAGTTTATAACACTAATTTATATTTTTAAAATAAAATATATTTGGGGGACCCTTAGGAATGGAGGCTCTAGGTGGCCACCTACTACAGTTTTCATAAAATAGATAAAGAACCTTTAATCATGTAACTTATCTCTCAAGCTTTAGCTAGTTGCGTACCTCTCAAAGTCTATAAACTTTATATTTGAACAAACACAAGGAAGTAAACATGTTAATTAACGACTAAGTAATAATTCAATCATTAACAACCAATAGAAAGTAAACACATTAATCAACGGTTAAGTAATAATTCAATTATCAACAATCACATCATTTGATTTACATAAAATTTGGGGCCCTCAGAAATGTAAACCTAGGCGGCCGCCCACTCTGGTTATCACAAAATAGATAAAAAAAAAAAAAAGGAACTTTAACAAAAAACTCTCATTACTGTTTACTTTGACGGAAAAACCACATTTTTACACTAGAAAAATCAATTCTGGTACCATTCACCTTTATTTAGTCCTTATCGTTCAAACTCAAAGTTTTCAAACTCTTTTCATTAGTTTTTTTTAATGATTGATGGTGGACAAACTCAGGGACTACTTTTAATGATTTCAAATCTCAATGACCAAAGTGATGAGTTATGCAAACCTCAGAAACCATTTTGGCTAAAAAGCCTACAAGATATTCAATAGCACCATAAACCTCATTTGGAACACCATATAAGACACATGATAGTTCTATATAATACAAAACAGGTGTTTGGTGAGTTTTGGACTAAATAAGCACCGGATTACTAATCCGGCCAAACCATTTTTTATACACCTTAGGCCCGCTTGCTTATCCGGTCCAGAGGTGGCAGATCGAATCCAAGTCACGGTGTTCCTGTTGTGGAAAGACATTATCTGGGTTTTTGGCATAATTTTTATTTGATTTTGATGATGTTCAGTGATTAAACTCAAAATTGGATTTTTTTATTTCACCTGGGTTTTTGGCTGCACTGACTCCCTTGTAAAGCATGGACATGGACATGGACTTTTTGCTTCCTGGGTGAGCAAGCTCCGATGTTTTTGGTGTGGGCGAGTTCTGAATGAATTCCGGTGGTTTCCCTGATGGTGGAGTTGAAATTGCCAGTCAGAAAGTTGAAAACCAAGCTCTGATGCTGCGCAAAAGGTGAAAACTTGATCTTCACAAAACCCAGTTGAGAAAATCAAAGAAACTTGTTTCTGCAGAGCAACGAATTAAATCGAAGCCAGAAACGAAGAAATCTCCGTGGTTTACCAAAGGGTGGAATCTGGAGAAATCTCTGTGGTTTGTAAGTTCTTTTTTGGAACCAAACGAGGAAATTTTCCGCCACACATTTGTCGGTAAGTTAAAAAGATTCAAATAGTTGTTGGGAGGTAACTTTTTTTTATGTTCAGCTATGGGAGGTAACTTTTTTTATGGTCAACTTTGGGAAGCACCTCAGCGCACTGCACATACATAAACAAAGCATAAGGGACCGCGTGCAACGGATCTGGATCTCTTAACCAGTGTGATAAAATAAAAAATAATTACAAGGGCGGCTGATATTTGACCGATTTCGACAATTTCATTTTCTCATTATCTTTTCCGATACGGAAAGTAACTTATAAGACACGAGTACGAGTAGAATACGTGTTCTCCCTCACGCTTGGACTGGTTGCCTCCCTCTCAAAGTTTGAACTAGAAAGAGAGAAGGTTGTAAATTCAAGTTCTGTGTTAACTGGTGTGATCACAGATGGATTTCTTGAGTTATTGCTTGATAATCCCATGTCTTCTCTCTCTCTTGTATTTCTCAGTTCAAGCTCTCAGATCCAATCCCCAAAGGCTTCTGCTTCCACCTGGACCAAAGCCATTTCCCATCATTGGCAATCTCTTGGAGCTTGGCAACCAACCCCATCTCTCTCTCACTAACCTTTCAAAACGCTACGGCCCCATTGTTTCTTTGCAACTCGGACAAATAACCACCGTTGTAGTTTCTTCATCAACAGTGGCAAAAGAGGTCCTCCGAACCCACGACCAGTTCTTGTGCAACCGAACCATCCCCGACGCAATCCAAGCTTGCGACCTCCGCCAGGACAGCTTGCCCTGGATACCCGCATCAGACAAATGGAGAAACCTCCGTAAAATATGCAACAACCAATTGTTTGCAACGAAAGTCCTAGACGCCAACCAAGCCAACCGCCACCTGAAAGTGCAGGAGCTCATTGCCGATGTCAATGAAAGCGTTGTGAAAGGTAAGGCAGTAGAAATTGGGAGGGCTGCTTTTAAGACGACACTCAATCTGCTGTCGCGTACTGTTTTCTCGGTTGATTTAGCTGACCCGAGCAGTGAGGTGGGAAGAGAATTCAAGGAGATTGTGTGGGGTTTGATGGAAGAGTCAGGGAAGCCAAACTTGGGGGACTATTTTCCTGTGCTTAGGAAATTTGACCCCCAAGGCATTCGAGGGCGCATGATCAAACATTTTCTCAAGATGGATTCGCTTTTTGATCGAATGATTACGCAAAGGTCAGAACTGAGAAAATCGAACGATTATGTCACAAGCAAGGATATGTTGGATTCTCTCTTGAACATCAGTGAAGTGAGCAATGAGGATATGGACAAGCTTTTGATTGAACATCTGCTTCTGGTCAGTTTTCTACTTTCTAACAACTCAGATTACCGCTTTTGATTATCATTTCGGTTTTTCAGATTTCATTATGTTCATTAAAATTTACGATTCCATTATTTAATTGTTGTATTGCTGCAAAATGTATATGTATAGTCTCTATTTGTTGCGGGCACGGATACAACTTCAGCCACGCTGGAATGGGCAATGGCTGAACTACTACGCAACCCTGAAAAGCTGTTGAAAGCGCAAGACGAACTAGATCAAGTCATTGGCAAAGGAAAACCAGTTGAGGAATCGGACATTGCTCGACTCCCTTACTTACAAGCAATAATCAAAGAGACCTTCCGGTTGCATCCGGTTGTACCATTTCTAATCCCTCGAAAAGCCGGAAAAGACGTTGAAATTTGGGGCTATATTGTCCCAAAGGGTGCACAAGTGCTGGTCAATGCATGGGCTATAGGCAGAGACCCTTGCATCTGGGACAACCCGACCTCATTTGCACCGGAGAGGTTTTTGATATTAGATGATCAAATCGATGTTTCAGGCAAGAATTTTGAGCTTATTCCGTTTGGTGGCGGGAAGAGAATATGTCCCGGGCTGCCATTGGCTATGCGCATGCTGCACTTGATGTTGGGTTCACTTATTAACTCATTTGATTGGAAGCTTGAAGATGGAGTTGTACCAGAGAATATGAACATGGAGGAGAAGTTTGGCCTCACCTTACAGATGGCTCATCCTCTAAGAGCCGTGCCGAAAGTCATTCTAATTTGATATGGTAATAGTATTAACTTTTAATTTGTAATTTTATATATATTTTTGTTGTTTTTGGATTAAAAGATGCAGCATGACTAATGTAAAATAACACAAATATAGGGGCTTGTAGATTTTAGGACCTAAATAAGATTACTTTTCGATTATAACCTGCATGATTTTCTCTATCCAATTTAAGTCCCTATTTTAAAATCTTAACGCCATGTCATATTTAATTGCCTCTATCACATATGCTATTTCCAAACTTGCCATCCACATTTTCCTATTCTATTCATAATTAAGACTAAAAATTGGAAATTGACTTTCAGACTCAAATCATCCATTAATACACTTAAATCAAAATTCTGAAATTTTAAAATTTTTGGAAAGTACTAATAGGTACAAGAAAATAAATGAAATTTTTTATATTGATTAATTGTGAATATAAACGTGAATGAAATGACAAAAATACATTACAAAAGAAAAGCAAAACATCATCACTAAAACAATTCCCATCTCCATAAGAAAAAAGAAGAACACCCGCAAAAATTATAAGTACATTAACAAAGTGCTATACGTGGGTACGGAAGTATAAGTGTATAAGCATATGCACGGAAGTATAAGTGCATAACCAGAGGTATAGAAGTATAAGTGCATAAGGATAGGTATGGAAGTATAAGTGCATAAGCATAGGTACGGAACTATAAGTGCATAACCAGAGGTACGGAAGTATAAGTGCATAGGCATAGGTACAGAAGTATAAGGGCATAAACATAGGTATGGAAGTTAATAATGCTTAGGCATAGGTACGGAAGTATGAGGGCATAAACATAGGTACGTAATTTCGGTATGCAAACTTTACTCCATGTATCTTCATATAAGTACACAAATCATAGATTTAAAAATATGTACTTGTCAATCTCCATAGACAAAAAATTATCATACATGAATAAACACAATTCATAAGTAAAAAATAGATTTGAAAACCTTAGTTGTTCCATAATGCAAGAAACATACGAATCATGAGAATATATAATTGAGACAGATAGGAGATAATATAAAGAAGAAGTGTGTATGTGAGTTGGACATATTGCTCTTCATAAATGAGAGTAATTGTGCAACTCGTATATATAGACATTTAGTAATTTTTTATTATTATTGATTTCAAAATAAACATGAAAGCTCAAACGCCTAATAGTCAATATTTATTAGCTAAATCATAGGAAAATGGCGATTTAGGAACAAACAAAAATAATTCTTTTAATTAATTGACTCTTCAACTCTTATATGGAAAGTTGATGAGTTGAATATAAAATCAAAGGATCAAAATTAAATATTAGATCTTACACTCGGTTTTTTTTTTTTTTTTTTTTTAATTGAATCTTGTGAAAGGATGTTAATCTAGTTTTCTGTATATTTTAATATCCACTTATTATGTGGTGTAATAATATTGAAGCTATTGCTCTCATGCATAATATTTTATTATTCACCTATTATGTTGTGAAGGATAAGGTTTATGTCCCTTTCCTTTTTATGTGTTTTTTTAATCTTTTTTTTTTCTTATATTATGAGTGGTTAGGTTTATATCTCCCTAACTAGGTGTAACTCTTTTTTTTTCAATAGCAATAAAATTTCACTTGTACCATTGAGGTTTAAAAAAAGCCAAGATTAATGAACCGAATACATCAATTCTAAGCTAATGTGGTTGGGAATTTAGTCAAAATAAAGTTGTTATTTGGTTTGCTGCACATGATGTTGTTGCTGCTGCAATTCTGAATAAATGAGTATAATCAGCGGTTTTCATTACACAAAGCAGTTGAATACGACTTTTATGTTAAAGTCCCGTGATGTGTATTTAAATTAGATCAAATTAAACTCGCAAGAGCATGAATCAATTGTAGTAATATATGCAAATACGAGGTCGATCCCACAAAGATTGCTTTTGTTGGAAATTATATATTATAATATGAAATATTGTAATATATAATTTTAATAATTGAATGAAAAATATTGTTAATCAATTTCTTAGAAAGGTTATGTTGTTTAGGTGTATTCCCTTGATAAGTGATGTATACTTATAGATGAAAAGTTACATCTCTTTAATAAGTAGAAGTTGGATTCTATATAAACCCATGAAACCATTGGTATTAAATATAGAAAGTTAGAGTTAATTTTTACTCTTGAGAAATAGGGTTTCCCCACTTTGTTTCTCTCATGCTTTGTGAGTCAAATTTCGAGTCGTGTTTTGAGAGTACGGAATATAAAAATTTCGCCAGAGTCCGAAGATTGAAGTGCTTTGACTTTGGATTATAGATTGTTGAATCCTTGGAGATGGACTCCTACCGAATTACAAGCACAAAAGTATGGTGCGAAATTCTATCTTTAGGACATTGCATTTATGCAAGTCTCAATCTTCAAGTTTGTCAGTTATTCTAACTTTCTCTCTAGTTGTTTATATTAATCTCATATATATATATTTGATGTTGTGAATTTCTTTATGATTATTATCATTGGAATTATATTGTTATTTTTCATATTTTCTAATATTGCTCCAACAGCTTTAACATCAATTTAACCGATTAATTACGCTAGACTTAATTAAACAAACAGGGATAGATTGAATTAAATAATTGAGTAATTGATTAAGACTAAAATTAACAAAAAGAGAAAAGACAATTAATTAAAATGAACACACGACACAAGAAGAAATTGAGAAACAATGGAAGCCCAAGGTTATAAATCCACCGACAACAATCATATTTACTTTTCCTAGAGCCAACTACTATCTAATTACCATGCCAATGTTAAATGTTGTTCTTTCTAAGGTATGAATTAATCCGTGGTCAGACATTAACTCTTGTATCTCTACATGATAATTATATCCTATTGGTTAGGCATACAATTAAACACATAAAAACTCATTAAGTATAGAAGAATCATGTCAACCAAGTATGACTAGCTTGATATTGGTCATCCTCGCTAGTTTGTCTACTCTTCTTAATCTTAGTTCCAATAAACCTAATTGATTGGTCATCCTCATAGATTTATCTAACTCTCTAGATGCAAAATTCCTAAAGGTGATCAGTTGAATTATCACCAAAAACGTTCTAAGTGCGCAAATTGGCTGAAACTGAGAAAAGGAAAGTAACAAGGGTCTTTTATAATCAATTCCTTAACAAAACTTGGGGATAATTAATAATTAATATGATAAATAATGCACCTACCATCCCACATTGGTGGGGATAAAGAAAATCAATGAGTTTAAATAAGATTACCCCACTCTAACTAATATCGAGACATTTTGTGGTAAAAACTCACATCTGACGGATTGGGCAGGTGGTAAAGTTGAGGACAATATCGGTGTCGTTACCTTTGAGTCTTAATTGCCGATGTATGGATCTCCACGTGTGAACCATTGAATGGGGTTACACTTGAGGAGAAGTGTTAAAGTCCCACATCAGTGGGGATAAAAAAAAAACCAATGGGTTTAAATAAGATTAACCCCCTCTAACTAATATCAAGGACTTTTGTGGTAAAACCTCATACCTGACTGATTGGGCAATATCGGTGTCGTTAGAGTGGGGAAACCTCACACCTGATGGATTGTGTAAAGTTCGTTAGAGTGGAGAAACCTCACACCTGACTGATTGGGCAGGTGGTAAAATTGGGGACATTATCGGTGTCGTTAGAGTGTGACCGCCCCCCAGGCCAGTTGATCTTCAACATTTTACACCAAGAAACACGTTTCAAACCACCTACAAAATTTAAGGTACGAGACTAAGCAAGGACAGTACGTGTTTGAAGTACCGGCTGTGGCAAATAGCATTGAAGTTACAGCTATCGTCTTGTCAAATCATTTACAAAAATGCTTTGAAAGAATCATATTTTGAGAGTTGAAAATGGAAAGACGCAAGGTTGTTGCTATGCCCAACGCACACAAAGTTTGCAAAAGAAGATTATGGAATATTTCAATGTAGATGACAATTCTGAACTCCCTAATACGATGGGTAAATCCAGGTTGGTATTCTTCTTAGCCTGTTGTCGAAACTTAAAATCATTTGGATCGTCCTGCTTGTCCATATGCTTAGTTTTGGCATGAAGATATAAAAGTAAGGACCTACGTTTTCTTAGATCCTAAATTATTAATGTACTGGCTCTTCTTGGAATGACAGGAGTTTCTGCAGAGCCATTCACAGGCCAAATTCACCACAGAGCTGTTGCAAGAATATAATTCATGGGATTGCAAGTCCATCCTATCCTTGTGGTACGTAAACAAACTTGATTCGCAGGGTTTTGTTAGAGTATAATGTTGTATGGATGAGATCTTGCCATTTGTAATTAGATTAGGTGGTTTGTTAGATTAGTTAGTTTGTTAGGAAGTCTGTTAGAGTGACTAGTTCACTATAAAGACATACTCTTGTAATTACTTCAACATTAATTAAAGAATTCAGAAATCTCTTTTACCTTCTTACTTCTCTCTCTGTTCTCTGCTACCCTCTCTCATAACTATGGTTTCTATTTCTTCGTATTAACAGGTTTGACCCCATTTGAAGTGTTCCAAGTCACTCGCCTGGCAATGCACTTTTATATGGTATCAAGTTCTTCACTACGAACAAATTTGAGCTGACATGCTAAATCAGCATTACAGGGGAAGATACACAAATATGGACTTCCTGGTGGTAATGGACACGGCAAAGGCGGTTGTGGGGAACAGTGCAGCCAAAGCTGCTTAGAATCAGGCAATCAGGCATGGCTGTTTTGTTTAGCAAAATACTCTCTCACCAATTAAGTTCTCACTGCAATCAAAACGAAGGATGTTGTCTTTCTGTTTATTCATACAGTCAGGGATCGGATAATCAAAGTACGGAAGAAAAAGAGAGAAGGATATACCCACGTTACACCAAAAAATTTGCGTTTTAGTAGGCAAAACAAATTATGTGATGTGAGCTCCGGGGGTTGGATGTGTGTGTAGAAGGTGTTTGTAGTCAGCCGATGACTTTCATGTGGAAAAACGTAAACTGTGCAGGCGAGATGGAAGTTGCTCCTCTTATGGGATTATGATGCGACAGATATTATGATGTGCACACCAACAGGATGCGGAAATCTCTTCCCTTTGTGGTTTGTTTTGTTTTGGGTTGCTATATATTGGGAGGAGGTTAGATAGCTGCTTGAAAACTTTTGCAACTTGAATACTCTCTTAGCAGAATACTCAGGATCTCAATTAGAGATTATGTCCCTCAAAGTATCAGTATTTGATAAAATAAAAAATAAAAAGGTATCAGTATTAACATATTCTTTGGGTTGCTCTTCTTACTTAATGTTAACAAATAATTAATGTGGTTTATTTATAGGCGAGCCTTTACAGCCTCCTCCATGTGAGTCCAATAAAACAACTAAAAATTAACCACAAGTTGTGGCTTATTCAGAGCGGGCTCAATGGACAACGGGGATGGAATAGCTGTTGGGTGGTTAGGACATCCTATCTTTAGAGATAAAGAGGGGCGCGAACTTTTTGTACGTCGTATGCCTACTTTTTTTGAAACATTTCCTGTTGTTTTTGTAGACGGAGACGGAATTGTTAGAGCCGATGTTCCTTTTAGAAGGGCGGAATCTAAATATAGTGTCGAACAAGTAGGTGTAACTGTCGAGTTCTATGGCGGCGAACTCAACGGAGTCAGTTATAGCGATCCCGCTACTGTGAAAAAATATCTGATAGTGTTTTTCGTAGCAGTCCACGGGGTTGGTTTACTTTTGGCCATACACATCCCCAAAAGAAACAACAACGCTACACAATTTCGACAATGACGAATGTTTTAGTCAATAAATTTAATTTTCATAATTGTTAGATTTTTTATTTTCAATCTCGATCAACCATTTTTTGAATCATTTGATGCTACGTACTATTAAAGAAAATTTTAATTTAGAGAGCAATTTATGTATTAGGGTTATGATTGTTTCATCATGCATGCTCTGATGCATGATTTGGCGACTTACGTATCTGGAGAATTTTGCATTAGATTGGGAGACCACAACTTTTCATTGGACGTTGTGGGCAAGGGTCGCCATTTTTCTTATATGCAATATTCATCTAATGTTGATTTTGAGAGATTTGACACTATTTATGAAGCTAAGTATCTGCGCACCTTCATTCTTGGCGATCTCTATTCATTGCCGACAGTACGACTTGATCACCTTTTAATGCTACAGTGTTTAAGAGTTGTCAAACTCCGAGGGAATGATATCAGCGAGTTGCCTGATTCGATTAGCAACTTGAAGCATCTACGGTACCTCGACTTGTGTTACACTCCAATCCATAAATTACCAGACGCGGTATGCAGTTTGTATAATTTACAAACATTGTTGGTGTCGGATTGTAGATATCTAGCTGAGCTGCCCACCTTTTTGAGAAAACTTATCCACTTGCGCCATCTTGATTTCAGAGGTACAAAAATAAAAAAGATGCCCCCCCACATGGGCAAGTTGAAAGATCTCCAAACATTTGGGGGTGAGTTTGTCTTGAGCAAAGATGTCGGGGGAAACATTGATGAGTTAAAGGGGTTTCAGCATTTGAGAGGAAATCTTCATATTTCAGGGCTTCAAAATATCACACGTGCTGAGGATGCTTTGGAGGCCAAACTAAGGGACAAGAAGCTCAGTGAAATACGTTTGAAATGGGAAGATGACACTATTGATTCTGAAAACGATAGTCAAGTGCTGGGCAACCTACAGCCCAATACAAACCTAAAAGTACTGGCTATAGAAGGATACGGAGGTACAAAGTTTCCAGGTTGGTTAGGAGATGAGTCTTTCTCTAATCTTGTCACTCTCCGACTTGAGACTTGTGGATATTGTTTCTCCCTGCCAGCATTGGGGCAGCTACCGTCCCTCAAAAGGCTTGAAATTTATCGATTAAATGGAGTGGAATCAGTGGGGTTTCAGTTTTATGGGGGAATTAAACCTGCATTTAAATCTCTGGAGTTTCTGAGTTTCCGCAGTATGCAGGAATGGCAAGAGTGGTGTTTCCCTGGAGGTGAAGAAGAAGAAGGCGGACATTTTCCTAATCTTTGCGAGCTTCGTCTGCATTGTTGTTCCAAACTAACGGGGAAAATACCGTTAGACTACTTCCCAAGACTTGAGCGGCTAAGCTTGCAGGAAGTTAATATCGAATCCCTTGCTTGTTCGCATGAATGCAATAAATTCAATATTGAACTCCCATTCCTCCGTGAGTTGGAAATATCAGATTGCCCGAATCTGGTATGTTTTGTGGGTGGTGGAGTGCTGCTTGCGCCCAACTTGAAGGAGATATCTATGTGCCGTTTTAAAAACTTGTGGTCAGTGCCAGAAGATATGCAAATCTCCCTCCCATCTCTTCCGTCTCTGTCCATAGAAGGGTGTAAAGAATTTAAATCATTTCCGGAAGAATCTAAATTCCCATCCCTCGATGATTTGAAGATAATGGAGTGCCCAGAATTTGTGGGTTTCCCCCATGGAGGAGGACTGGAAGCGCCCAATTTGAAGACGATGGAAATCAAAGAATGTAACAAATTCAGGTCACTGCCAGAGGAGATGCACGCCTCTCTCCTGTCTCTTCAGTCTCTGTCCATAATGTTTTGCAAAGAATTTAGATCATTTCCGGAAGAATCTAAATTCTCATCCCCCTTTGATTTAAAGATAAAGGAGTGCCCAAAATTTGTGGGTTTCCACCATGAAGGAGGACTGCAAGCGCTCAACTTGAAGACGATGGAAATCAAAGAATGTAACAAATTCAGGTCATGTCCAGATGAGATGCACACCTCTCTCCCGTCTCTTCAGTCTCTATCCATAGAAGGGTGTAAAGAATTTAAATCATTTCCGGAAGAATCTAAATTCCCATCCCTCTATTATTTGAAGATAAAGGAGTGCCCAGAATTTGTGGGTTTCCCCCATGGAGATGGAAATCTATGAATGTAACAAATTTATGTATTAGGGTTATGAATCATTTGATTCATAGTTAAATATAGGGTAAATTACATTTTATCCCCTCAAGTTTGGGCAAAATTACAACCTCATACAACATCTTTAAAACATTTCAATTCCATACATTTACTATCATTTAATTTCAATATCATACGTTCCGTTAAAAAATCTGTTAACTTAACTATTAAGTGATGACGTGGCACATATGGATTCACATTTATACTCATGTGGCTAAAAGAAAACAATTAATTAATAATAAACATAGTGGGCCCCCACCACCTAAATTATAAAACAGATTATAAATATATAAAACACATATCTCTTTCCCGTTAGCCCACCACCGCCACTCACACCAACTTCTACCACGTCCCACCTCCGACGCCACCCACGTCCCAAATATCCTAGCTATTCCAGCTTTTGCTCTGCGAGTCCAATGACCCTTCCCCTTATCCGAACCGGACCACTCTTTAAACCCGTCAATGCTCGATTCGACCCGACTCACGAACCCTCATTGAGACGAGGCTCCAATCCACTCCCAGATCTCTCACTGCCTTAAGCAATGTGAGCACTCAAGCATGATGACCGAGCTTCCCTTGTTGCTCTGTACGAGAACAGAATAGGGTTTACTGCAATTTGGGTTTTTATGATCTTAAATTGCAGAGAGAGAAGATTAGGGTTTTTACGAGCTTGAATCGCAAAGAGAAAAGATTGAATTGTAGAGAATTGGGTGTGATTTCGAGGGTTTTGGATTAGAGGACGAGGTTGTGGATGTGGTTTTAGGGGTGAAGGCGTGTCACATCCCGGCCCAGGGCGGACCACTTCCCGGGCCCGCTCCACCACCGTAGCACGATATTGTCCGCTTTGGGCCCCGACCACGCACTCACGGTTTTGTTTTTGGGAACTCACACGAGAACTTCCCGATGGGTAACCCATCCTGGGAGTGCTCTCGCGCGCTACTCGCTTAACTTCGGAGTTCCCATGGAACCCGAAGCCAGTGAGCTCCCAAAAGGCCTCGTGCTAGGTAGGGATGAGAATATACATATAAGGATCACTCCCCTGGGCGATGTGGGATGTCACAAGGCGGGGGGATGGATGGAAGGAAAAGGAATTAGGGTGCATATGTGGTTTTAGTGGTGAAGGGAGGGGGAACAGACAGAGGGGGAAGTTGAGGTTTTGGTGGTGAAGGGAGGGGACGAACAGAGGGGAATGATTCAAGGTGTGAATGGATGGGTGGCGGGGCCCATTGTGTTTTTTATTAATTAATTATTTTTTATTTGTTTTTTTAACTACATAAGCACAAATGCGAATCCTATGTGACACGTCATCATTTAACGGTAAGTTAACATATTTTTCAACGGAACATATGATATTGAAATTAAATGATAGTAAATCTATAGAATTGAAATGTTTTAAAAATGTTGTATGAGGCTGTAATTTCGTCTAAACTTAAAGATGTAAAATGTAATTTACTCTTAAATATATAATTATCAAAATTTAAAAGTTAAAAATTTAAAAATACAAGAAATTCCATAGCACTATAAAATCTTCCGCCACACATTAGTCAGCAAGTTAAAATGATTCAACTAGTTTTTGGGAGGTAACTTTTTTATTGGTCAACTTTGGGAGGCATCTCAAAGCACTGCACTTACATAAACAAAGCAAAAGTGGCCACGTGCAACGGATCAGAATCTCTTAACCGGTGTGACAAAATATACAATATCTACAACTTTTGACAAATTTCCACAATTTCAGATTCTCAATGTCTTTCTCCGATGTAAAACGCAATTTATATGACACAACCTCTCTCACGCTTGCACTAGTTGTTTCCCTCTCAATGTTTCAACTAGAAAGAGAGAGGAGGCTGTAAATTCAAGTTCTGTGTGTCAACAGGTGAGATCACAGATGGATTTCTTGAGTTATTGTATCATAATCCCATGTCTTTTCTCTCTCTTGTATTTCTTAGTTCAAGCTCTCAGATCCAATCCCAAAAGGCTTCTTCTTCCACCTGGACCAAAGCCATTTCCCATCATTGGCAATCTCTTGGAGCTCGGCAACAAACCCCATCTCTCTCTCACTAACCTTTCACGACGATACGGCCCCATTATTTCTTTGCAACTTGGACAAGTAACCACGGTTGTAGTTTCTTCATCAACCGTGGCAAAGGAGGTCCTCCGAACCCACGACCAGTTCTTGTGCAACCGAACCGTCCCTGAAGCAATCCAAGCTTGCGATCTCCGCCAGGACAGCTTGCCCTGGATACCGGTGTCAGAGAAATGGAGAAACCTCCGTAAAATATGCAACAACCAACTGTTTGCAACGAAAGTCCTAGACACCAACCAAGCCAACCGTCACCTGAAAGTGCAGGAGCTCATCGCCGATGTCAATGAAAGCGTTGTGAAATGTAAGGCGGTAGAAATTGGGAGGGTTGCTTTTAAGACGACGCTCAATCTGCTGTCGCGTACTGTTTTCTCAGTCGATTTAGCTGACCCGAGCAGTGAGATGGTCAGAGAGTTCAAGGAGATTGTGTGGGGTTTGATGGAAGAGGCAGGGAAGCCAAACTTGGGTGACTATTTTCCTCTGCTTAGGAAACTTGACCCCCAAGGCATTCGAGGGCGCATGATCAAACATTTCCTCAAGATTGATTCGCTTTTTGATAGAATGATTACGCAAAGGTTAGAATTGAGAAAATCAAACTATTATGTCACAAGTAATGATATGTTGGATTCTCTCTTGGACATCAGTGAAGAAAGCAATGAGGATATGGACAAGCTCTTGATTGAACATCTGCTTTTGGTCAGTTTTCTAATTTCTAACAACTCATATTCGATATTTTAGGGTGCCCTTGATAATCATTTTGGTTTTTCAGTTATCATTCTGTTCATTAAAATTTACGATTCCATTATTTAATCGTTGTATTGCTGCAATATGTGTATATATAGGCTCTATTTGTTGCGGGCACGGATACAACTTCAGCCACGCTGGAATGGGCAATGGCTGAACTACTACGCAACCCGGAAAAACTGTCGAAAGCACAAGAGGAACTAGAGCAAGTCATTGGCAAAGGAAAACCAGTTGAGGAGTCAGACATTGCTCGACTCCCTTACTTACAAGCAATAATCAAAGAGACCTTCCGGTTGCATCCGGCTACTCCATTACTACTCCCTCGAAAAGCCGAACAAGACATGGAAATTTGCGGGTACATTGTCCCAAAGGGTGCACAAGTGCTGGTCAATGCATGGGCTATAGGAAGAGACCCCTGCATTTGGAACAACCCGACCTCATTTGCACCGGAGAGGTTTATGGGATTAGATGAACAAATTGATGTTTTAGGCAAGAATTTTGAGCTCATTCCCTTTGGTGGTGGGAGGAGAATATGTCCGGGGATGCTATTGGCAATACGGATGCTAAACTTGATGTTGGGTTCACTTATTAACTCATTTGATTGGAAGCTTGAAGATGGAGTTATACCAGAGAACATGAACATGGAGGAGAAGTTTGGCCTCACCTTACAGATGGCTTATCCTCTAAGAGCTGTACCAAAAGTCATTCGAATTTGATATGGTATTAGTATTAACTTTTAATCTGTAATTTTATCTTTTTGTGGTTGTTTTTGGATTAAAAGATGCAGGAAGGCTTATGTAAAATAACACAAATATGCTTCATTTTGCCAATGAAGCTTCCTTTTCTTCTTCTTTCAAGTACGCTTTACTATTATTAATAGAATGTGAGATTCGAAATAGAGATGTCTTTAAATGTTGAACAAATTAATACCAATAATAGTGTTTTATCAGCCACTTATTACCTGGTGTGATAATATTTTCACTAGCTATTGTTCTCGCGCACAATCCAGTTTTTCATAACCGTACCAAACATGTGGAGGTTGATGTCCATTTAGTATGGAAGCGTGTTCAGAGGAAGGATTTGCTCCTCCATCATGTCTCTAGCACTGATCAGCTGGCTGACATGTTGACGAAGGGGTTGCTGGAGGGTAATGGATAACGCTTCTGATGACACATCCACAACAAATAGGAAAGTAATCTCAAACCCTAGAAGATTAGAAAGTAATCTACTCATATTAGGAAAGGAATCCTAATCTTAATCGTATTAGAAATAAGAAGGAACCATAATCCTTATCTCACCACAAAATCTTGGGGTTTATTCAGTGCAAGTTTAACTGACGACTTCAGTGAATTTTAGGGTTTATTCAGTGCAAGTTGAATGAGTAGGATTTGCTACTTACATAGCCGATTAGCCCAGAAGAAAAAAATTCTTCCTTTAAAGAGCCATATAGACAAAGTGAAGCTAAGCACCAACTCTTTGCTATCTTCTACACCCACTTCTACTTTTGGTGGGAACTATTCCCGTTAGTGGGTTGGTGGGTTCTTATATAATATAGATTCTGAGAGGCTTAATTCAAATCTTTACAGGTGAAGAAAAGAAACAGGTAGTGCCAAATAATACAGGGGTGCTATGCTAGCAGTCTTCTTACTTAGGAGCTTCTCGGTTTACATTTTCAATTCTCAATTTCATACTGCAATGTTGCTTGATAATTTGAGCTGTCTATTTTTTAGGTCATCCTTACAACAAATCAACCGAATTAGAAAGAAAGAAAGTCAGCGAATTCATTTATTTATTTCTTCTTCTCTTCTATGATCATCATTGAGAAAATATATTGAGAAAATCTATATATATATATTCTTGCTCCTTGTATTCCAAGCATTATCTCTCTTGTTTATTGTCTTTTGTTTCTACAATCCTGGCTTCTGCATTGCAGTTCATCATTTTCTTGTTCTTGAGAATGCAACAAGTCCTGCAAGCACATTATCGGCATCTTCACTTTTCATGAACTGCAATCTCTACAGGATCAGTCACCTCCAGCTACTTTATCAATTCTTCAATTTCGTCAAAGAGATTGTGAGTTCTTGTTCCAAGGTAGTTAGAAGCAAGGATCTTGAATCCACTTGGTGTTCAGTACGACATGTGAATGTGCATATCCATCCACCCCGGTCTCAACAATGCAGGATCTAGTTTGTCCATGATTATCCTCTCATCTCCGCAGCTTGACCACAGCCCATCGATGAAATTAAGGAACCCCGATAGCGTTAACCGTCGAAAACAGACAACTTATTTAGAACAGAATCATAGATAGAATTTCTTGTATAGGTAAAATCACTTTCATCTTGGTCTTTACCTGGCTGTCGTTGTTACTGCCTCCACATTTTAGGTCACTAATTCCAGTGCTGCAATCAATATCTTCGATTACGAGTATCGGTTGATTTGCAGTGGAGACTAACGGCTTCCTGAGCTCGGAGTTGCTACGCATTTGCAAAAGCTCAAGTCATCAACGTCAAGCTGGACTTTCTTGTACCGGGAGGACCATACAACAAGTATCCACGTTTCCATGCCTTGCCTACTCTCCTGTAAAACTCCTTTTGCTTCACGAACCTCACCAAGTCATCGATCAACTCCTCCTTAAGCTTGGGATCCATTGCCAATGTGTCAAAAGTAGACGGACGATGAAAGACAACAGAGCCCCATGGACCTGCATTGTACTCTCTGGTAAAGTTTCCAAGAGCACGAAGCCTCACCGCCTTGTTTTCATGTTGTAGGGCTTTTGATCTCTCTACTACATACAGTAGGTAAGCGTTCAGCACCTTTTCTCTGTATCTCTTATGGAAACTGACCTGAATTGATTTGTTCTCAGACACTTCTAGTGAGGTGGATTTCAGCTCGTAGTCAAATTCCGATCTTCGCGTTTCAGTACAACAGAAATTCCATACCAACTTGATTCCTTCGAATCCATCAATGGGCTTTTCTCCTTTGTTGATGGTGACGGAGAAGTTGTTCTGTTGAACGGACTTGGAGACCTTGAGCTGTTCGACAGAAGGGGTGATCCTTGTGCTCAAGTAGGTTTCGGAAGCCTGGTAAATTTCATTGACAGAGATGTCGCTGAACTCATCAATGATGAGAGTCATTTGAGAATTGGGAAAGGTTTCCGAATAGGCCTCTGAGTGTGGCCATGATTCTGTCGTGGAATTTTCAGGGTATGAACTGGCTGGCTCTGGTCTGGACCTCATTGATCACTGTCCTGGCCAGCATTGCTTCTGCAGCAAAAGTTGTGTAGCTTGATATGACTGATGTCGTTGAAGGCATGTTTGCTAGAGAAAACATCTTTCAATGTGTGAGTTTTTATATTTGCTGGTTTGTTGAGTTGAGTTCGAAATATTGGTGAAGGGATTTCATGAAAACGTGGAAAAAGCAGCTTCCACATGGAGCTGTTTGACTAAAATTTGTTCAAGCCAATTCAATCTTCCAGATGAGAGAAACAAGCTTCACAAGCAATTTTCACTATAAAAAACGACCAAGAAAAAGAGCCGAGTCGACTTCGGTGGACAATCTCACAATCTGTTATCTATAACAATAATATTATTTAGATGTATAAAACTGACACTGTGTAAATACAAGTGGATTGCATCATTGTATGTTTATTTTTTAGAGTGTGTATGTACATTACTCTATCTATAATTTCATTTTAAAATTTTGGTTCGACATTTTGAAATAACTTTTACGTGAATTGACAAGAGATAGAGATAATGGAATCATTTTATGGTAGAATCTCTCCCTAATATGCCATTGTGGCATTTTTTACTTATCAAGCATCATTACGTGTTTTTAAGTTTGTGAGATGACATTACATAATTGATCTAAGTTACTGCAAAAATGGCGTCCCTGTTTTCATGGGAGGAGGAGGTTAGATAGTTGTTTGAAAACTGTTGCAACTTCAAACTCTCTTAGAGATTGTATCCCATTTCAAAGTGTCAGTACTAACATATTCTTTTGGCTGCTCTTCTTAATTAATGTTAATTTATGTATAGGTGTTTTTTTTTTATGTAGAATTATGTATATGAAGCCTTTACAGCTACAATTGATGTATATATTAAAGAGACTTAAAAGCCTGCTCCGTGTGAATCCAATAAATTAAAACAACTAAAAACAACCACAAGTTGTAGCTGGCCATACGCATCGCCTAAAGAAACACCAAACGTTAAGTAGTCTTACGAGTGTGTTAGTCGTTAGATTTGATTTTCATAATTGTTAGATATTTTCTTTTAATCTCAACTAACAATTTTTCAAATCACTTGTTGCTACGTACCATTAAAAACAATTCCACTTAGCGAACAATTTGCATTTTGCATGCACCCACACATGAAAATTTCCGGTGGACCTTATGTTTGGGGCTTTCAATCATTAGATTCGTAGAAGACTTAACAGATAAAAATCTCAAAACATAACATCAGTGACGGATGCAGGATTTTCGAACAATGGGGTCATGATTAGACAAAAAAAACTTTTTTGGATCTTTTCATTGAGTATCTGATAGGAACATGTCGATTCTAGGCTTATGTCAACGTATGTCAAGCAGAAGCTTGTCAATGGTGGTTATAGGAAACTGTAAAGTAATGTTGAAGACTATCAAAACTCGTCAAGTGAGGCATTTCATTGAGCATTGATGCACACAATAGTCGCGCATGAGAAGAGAGAAAAAGAAGACATCAATGATTAAAAAAAGTAGAATAATTTAGTCTGCCCAATTGTTAATATGATCTAATACAATACACATATAAATATGTTGTGCTTTGGCCCGTCAAGTGCAAAACCGAGATTCAGATTATACCCACACAAAATACAAACCCACAGTACAGAATAAAATACAAGAAACAAAGACACCAAGAAAATTACGAGGTTCGGCAAAAACCTGCCTACGTCTCTAGAGAAATATTGTTCTTCACTATGAGAATAACAATACAAGTTACACGTGAGTTAAATTGACATAACCCAATCCCAAATCCTTTATACATCCACTCACAGAATTTTTGCAAAAACCTTGCTCTACCCCAAGAGTTTCTCACTCTCACTCTCTATTTTCTCTCCCTTGTGTTCTCCTGCGATTGCACCCACCATGCATGACTATTGCCTTCACTTATAGGCATGGACCAACAATTATGCCAACAGCCAACACCAAGAAAATCTTAAGTTTCCGAAAAAATGAAAATCTTAAATTCAAATGGCCATAGCATATTCAACACCCTTTTTCTATACCTAGCCTATAGAGTTCAACTTTTTCTCCATTTGCAATTTAATGCATAGAAAATAAAACATGCACAATTGCATGCAAGCAAACACAGAGTCAAGACTTGCTTCCAACTTTGCCTGTGACAGTCACCATGTCTTCTCTTGAAAGAAAACTTCCATGCCACAACCGAAGCAAACAAAAGTCACGCCTTCAAAATTGTTCCCAACCCATAATTAAGCTTAAATATATGAGCCAAACATGACAAAATATATATAAAGTTTTTAAAGATATTGAGATCATACACAATTAATAATCCAATGTTGACTCTGCCACTGCATAATAAACTTCAAAACATCATAAAATTCGGCACACATTACTCGGCAAGTTAAAAAGATTCAAATAGTTTTTGGGAGGTACTTTTCATTTCTTATTTCTTGGTCAAATTTGGGAGGCACCCTTATGAACGCACTGCACAGTCTGCACACATAAACAAAGCAAAAGGGATGAAGTGCAACGCAAAAAATAAAAGATTATTGTTAAGAAATTAAATTTGTAAACAAAATTTACAATTTAAATAAGATGTGACTAATAAGAATGAGCACGTTTATTAACTTTTAAATAATAATTCAACCATCAACTTTCATATCATTTAGTTACAAAATTTTATTTACAAATACTAGCATAAACTACTAAGTACAAGGCCAGCTGATACAAAAGCAGGCCGGCAAAAGCAGGCCGGCTAATATGTTGGATTCTCTCTTGAACATCAGTGAAGTGAGCAATGAGGATATGGACAAGCTTTTGATTGAACATCTGCTTCTGGTCAGTTTTCTACTTTCTAACAACTCAGATTACCGCTTTTGATTATCATTTCGGTTTTTCAGATTTCATTATGTTCATTAAAATTTACGATTCCATTATTTAATTGTTGTATTGCTGCAAAATGTATATGTATATGTTGGGTTTTGAACTTCCGTATCATGATAAGGATACCTAAAAACGTGGATTAAATCAATTAGAAGTCATGACCATGTCAACAACATGTCTCCTTAATTTGAGGGATGTGGGAGACTAATCTCCTTAAATTAAGGGATTGTGGGAGTATTAAATATTATCCCATTTGGATGTAAAATATAATAGGTACTAACTGATCCCATGATAGCTGGGATCATGTTAGGAATATAGCCTATAAATGTGAACGTCCCTGCTCACCAGAAGAAGTCCACTTGATCACTAGACTATCACTAGTATTGGACATAAGGGCTGTGTGAGTAGAAGACTTTCTGCTAACTTCTTCTGCAGTGTGATCGCACTATTCTTATGGCTTCTGCAGGCATGTATATATATATATATACACTGATTCATTCATTCAAATCATCTTATTGTTTATTGTAATCTTAGCTTGGGACTAAATGCTGACTAAATGCTTATTCTAACAATTGGTATCAGAGCCTTTTTAGTCTCACTGAGATTCAAGTTTTTGTATATATGTATCTATATTTCTTATGGCTTCTGCAGCTTCTGCAGAATAAAGGAGGATCGAGTGTGGATTTGTTTTCTTAGTATAATTGATCGTATGAACTACATCAAAATGGGTTCATATTGAAATGTTAAACTAAGAAATCAGAAGTATGGGAATTCATAGTTCATTTAATCATAACATGCATATCAGATCTTCTAAAGAAGGCAACGTATGAATGGTTCGATTAATGGAATAGGGCATAGTTTTGGTGAATGGTTAACTGTGTTTCGGATTCTTGTCTAAAGACTTGAGTTTTGAAATATTTTTAACAAATAACTAAATGGCTATGCATGGATTAAGTTCTTGCAGTAAATGTTCCTCACCCAAAGGTGTTGTATCTTACTGTGTTTTCCCTACTTCATTGTTTTCATAATGTCTAACTTATGGCTTCTGCAGTGAATCCCACTTCAATGAATTTTTCCTCTATTGAGCCTTTAAGTGGAGGAAATTACAAAAAATGGAGACAGGATGTGGAGATTATTCTTGGACTAATGGACTACGATCTGGCACTGAGGGAAGATGAACCACAAGCACTGGATAACAATAGCACCGTTGAACAAAGGCTGAAATTTGAAAAATGGGAGAAAGCGAATCGCATGGCACTATTGGTGATCAAACGATCCATTAGTGAAGCTGTTAGAGGAGGCATTCCTGCAACTGACAAAGCAAAGGATTTTCTGGAGGCAATTGAGGCAAAATTTAAGGTTTCAGAGAAGGGAGAAATGGGAAACCTCATGACTACCTTGACAACTCTGAAATATCATGGGAAAGGCACTGTCAGAGAACACATTCTGAAGCTAGTGGAGGCTGCTGCGAAGCTCACAGACCTGGAGGTTCCCATTGATGATGCTTTTGTTGTTCATATGGCCCTTAATTCCCTCCCAGATGCATATGAACAACTGAAGACGTCATACAACACACAAAAGGAGAAGTGGAGTCTGAATGATCTCATTTCCATATGTGTTCAAGAAGAAAGCAGGATCAAAAGGGTGTCAAATGAAACAGTGAATTTCATAAAGGCAGAGACTACGAGGAAAACTATCTCGACATCTGGTAAGCCATATAAACCTTTTTCCTATTCTCATGCTGCTGGAAATGATACTCCATCATCCTCCAAGGGATCTCAAGGTTTTAAAGGCAACATTGAAAATATTAAATGTTATTTCTGCAAAGAATTTGGTCACTTGAAGAGGGACTGTGAAAAACGAAAGAAATGGGCACCTAAGAAAGGTAATAAAATTGAAAATGTTTTTGTCTGTGTTAATGTTAATCTTGTTGAAATCCCTAAAAATTCTTGGTGGTTTGACACTGGTTGTTCGGTGCATATTACCAATTCTTTGCAGGGATTCACAAGAAGGGAAATTTCAAGAAATGAGGTCTATGATGTCCACGTTGGGGATGGGAATAAAGTAGCTGTGAAGGCAATAGGCACCCTAAAGCTCAAGTTGTCAAGTGGTTTTGTTTTACAGTTGCTAGATGTTCTTTATGTTCCTAAGTTAACTAGAAGTTTAATTTCTGCTTCAAAGCTTGTAAAAGACGGTTATGTTTTTGTTGGGGATGATGAAAGTGTACGGATTTATAAGAAAAGTAATATGAATCTTTTGCTTGGTAATTGTTTTTTAAACAATGATCTTTGGAGGATGAATTGTCAAGTAATGTTAAATTCAAAATGTTTGACAGTGGAATCAAATTTATCTTTGAAAAGATCTCTGACAAATGAAGGGTCTTCAATGCTTTGGCATAGAAGGCTTGGACATATTAACAAGCAAAGATTAGAAATTCTAGTTAAAGAACAAATGCTTCCAACGTTGGATTTTAATGATATGCAAAATTGTATTGACTGTTGGAAAGGGAAATTAACAAACACAAGGAAAATTGGTTCCACAAGAAGTCTTAACCTCTTAGAAGTCGTCCATTCAGATGTTTGTGGACCTTTCTCCACGCAAACAATCTGCAAAAATGCCTATTTTGTGTCTTTCATTGATGATTTTTCTCGATATGCATATGTATATCTGATATCCGAGAAAAATCAAGTGTTTGATTGTTTTAAAATTTTCAAAAATGAAGTGGAAAGACAACTTGAAAAGAAAATTAAAATCTTGAGATCGGACCGTGGAGGGGAGTATTATGGCAGGTACACAGAGAAAGGTCAACAAAAGGGTCCAATGGCCATGTTCTTGGAAGAAAACGGGATTCAAGCTCAGTATACTACTCCCGGAACACCACAGCAAAATGGTGTAGCCGAGAGAAAGAATAGGACCTTGATCGAAATGGTGAGATGCATGATGAGTAGGACTGATCTTCCTATGTTTCTATGGGGTGAGGCTCTTAAAATGGCAAATTATATATCGAATAGAGTCCCAAGTAAATCCGTGCACAAGACTCCATTTCAACTTTGGACTTCAAGAAAACCTAGTTTGAATCACCTTCATGTATGGGGATGTAAGGCAGAAGCAAAAATGTACAATCCAGAGGCAAAGAAACTTGACTCTAAGACTGTAAGCTGCAGTTTTATTGGTTTTCCCGAGAGATCAAAGGGGTACAGGTTTTATGCTCCAACCTTACATACGAGAATATTTGAAACAAATAGTGCAAGGTTTATTGAAGCGGAAGAATCAAATGGAGATAAGGCTCGTGATTTTATTTTTGAAGAAGAAGAAGAGGCTGTGACAACAATTTCCCCAATGTCATCAACCAAAATTGATTTTGCAACTCTTGACACGCAAAACCAAGTCCATGAAGATTTTTATCAAAGTGATTTTGGTGGGGCTACTGGTTTCCAGCATGCATCAAGCAGCAGCAATACGCAAGTCTGCAACATGCAAAATAATGGAGTTGAAAATCATGGTACAACTACCATGCAATCAGTAATGGTTCCTGCAACAAGGAGGCAGCCTCAACGTACAAGAAAGTCTCCAATTTCAGGAGATTTTCTTGTTTATGTGGGAGAAGCTGAGAAACTAGAGAAGACTGTCGATGACTCACTTGATTTTCAGCAAGCAAATGGAGATAGAACTGAACATGAGGAAGGCATAGAGATTGATCCAGTCACCTTCAAGCAAGCGATGACAAGTGAAAAGGCTGAGCAGTGGAAGATAGCCATGCAAGAAGAAATGGACTCCATGTATTCGAATGGAGTGTGGGTCTTGACAGAAGCAAATGAGTCCATAAAACCCATTGGATGCAAATGGGTATACAAAACAAAGAAAGACTTAAAAGGAAAGGTTCAGAAGCATAAAGCAAGACTAGTTGCAAAGGGGTATACTCAAAGGGAAGGATTGGATTACTCTGAGACATTCTCACCTGTTTCTTCAAAGGATTCTCTCAGAATCATCCTTGCTATAGTTGCTCACTACAATCTAGAACTCCACCAAATGGACGTGAAAACTGCGTTCCTAAATGGAGTGTTAGATGAGGAGATTTACATGGTCCAGCCACCTGGTTTTGTTGAAATGGGGCAAGAACAAATGGTGTGCAAACTGAGAAAGTCGATTTATGGGCTGAAACAAGCTTCCAGGCAGTGGTTCTTAAAGTTTGATGAGAAAATAACCAGTTTTGGTTTTGTTGAAAACAAAATTGATGATTGTTTGTATCTCAAGGTATGTGGCTCGAGGTTTATCTTTCTAATTCTGTATGTTGACGACATTTTATTAGCAAGTAATGATCTTAATCTCTTGCTGGAAACAAAGAAACTGCTGTCACGAACGTTTGAAATGAAAGATATGGGTGAGGCTTCTTTCGTTTTGGGTATAGAAATTATTCGTGATAGAAGCAGATGCCTTTTGGGTCTTTCACAGAAGACCTATATTGAGAAAATGCTCAAGAGGTACAACATGCAAGATTGTTCAAAGGGTGAAGCACCAGTGAGCAAAGGAGATAAATTAAACAAATCTCAATGCCCCAGTAATGAGATTGAAATGCGAGGGATGGCTAACAGGCCATATGCGTCTATCGTAGGCAGTCTAATGTATGCTCAAGTGTGCACTAGACCGGATTTAGCCTTTGCCATAAGTATGCTTGGAAGATTTCAAGCAAATCCAGGAGAAAAGCATTGGACAGCAGCTAAAAAGGTTATGAGATACCTGAAAAGGACAAAAGATTACATGTTGGTGTATGGGAAATCTGAGAAATTAGAATTGGTTGGCTACTGTGATTCTGATTTCGCAGGTTGTGAGGATGACAGGAGGTCCACGAGTGGGTTTATTTTCCTGTTGGCTGGTGGTGCAATATCTTGGAGAAGTGCAAAACAAAAAACCTTGGCCACTTCAACAATGCAAGCTGAGTATATTTCATGTTTTGAAGCCTCACAACAAGCTAGCTTCTTGAGGAATCTCATCACTGGAATGCAGGTTGTTGAATGCATAAGAAGACCAATTGTGATTTTCTGTGACAATAAGGCAGCCGTGTTCTTCTCCAAAAACAATAAAAAATCTTATGCAGCTAGGTTGATGGACGTGAAATATCAGTCAGTGAAAGAAAAGGTGAAGGCTGGGATAGTTTCCATTGAGCACATTAATACAACGGAAATGTTGGCAGATTCTCTCACAAAACCTCTTGGAGTTGGAGTGTTTAAAGATCATGTTACGTGCATGGGTGTTGTGGAATCCTTTGATGCTTATGTGATGCGTGAATGAAGGTTAACTTCTCTCATCATTTTCTGTTTTTCATGAAAGCTTAATAAGCATGAGTTATTGTATTCATATGTTGGTTTATTTTATGACAATGAATTCAATATGATTGTTTCAACTACTGTGTATATGTACAAATATATATGTGCAGTTTTATGAAATGATGAATTACTGATCAAACCAAGATTTAATGAGTTGGTCGTTGTAAAAGGCTTATCGTTGGAGCTAAATAAAAGCTTGACAATGATGTTTGGCTTGATCAGTGGGAGTGTGAATGAATGACATGATGAATATGTCTGCTTGCTCTGTGAATATCATGCATGAGCAGTTTTGGGGGATGTGATCTCAGAGTGTTAGTACAAATTATAACGTACGAATTTTCTGGGGTTCAACTCTTTGAAACTCTTCATGGCAGATATGAATTGTTGTATGGTTGAAATGATTCAAGTGATCACTAAAGGGATTGATTTAATGCGTTTGGACAAGGAACATGATAAGTGGAAATTCAAAAGTGGGAGAATGTTGGGTTTTGAACTTCCGTATCATGATAAGGATACCTAAAAACGTGGATTAAATCAATTAGAAGTCATGACCATGTCAACAACATGTCTCCTTAATTTGAGGGATGTGGGAGACTAATCTCCTTAAATTAAGGGATTGTGGGAGTATTAAATATTATCCCATTTGGATGTAAAATATAATAGGTACTAACTGATCCCATGATAGCTGGGATCATGTTAGGAATATAGCCTATAAATGTGAACGTCCCTGCTCACCAGAAGAAGTCCACTTGATCACTAGACTATCACTAGTATTGGACATAAGGGCTGTGTGAGTAGAAGACTTTCTGCTAACTTCTTCTGCAGTGTGATCGCACTATTCTTATGGCTTCTGCAGGCATGTATATATATATATATACACTGATTCATTCATTCAAATCATCTTATTGTTTATTGTAATCTTAGCTTGGGACTAAATGCTGACTAAATGCTTATTCTAACAGTATAGTCTCTATTTGTTGCGGGCACGGATACAACTTCAGCCACGCTGGAATAGGCAATGGCTGAACTACTACGCAACCCTGAAAAGCTGTCGAAAGCGCAAGACGAACTAGATCAAGTCATTGGCAAAGGAAAACCAGTTGAGGAATCGGACATTGCTCGACTCCCTTACTTACAAGCAATAATCAAAGAGACCTTCCGGTTGCATCCGGCTGTTCCATTTCTAATCCCTCGAAAAGCCGGAAAAGACGTTGAAATTTGGGGCTATATTGTCCCAAAGGGTGCACAAGTGCTGGTCAATGCATGGGCTATAGGCAGAGATCCTTGTATCTGGGACAAACCGACCTCATTTGCACCGGAGAGGTTTTTCAGATTAGATGATCAAATCGATGTTTCAGGCAAGAATTTTGAGCTTATTCCGTTTGGTGGCGGGAGGAGAATATGTCCGGGGCTGCCATTGGCTATGCGGATGCTGCACTTGATGTTGGGTTCACTTATTAACTCATTTGATTGGAAGCTTGAAGATGGAGTTGTACCAGAGAATATGAACATGGAGGAGAAGTTTGGCCTCACCTTACAGATGGCTCATCCTCTAAGAGCTGTGCCGAAAGTCCTTCTAATTTGATATGGTAATAGTATTAACTTTTAATTTGTAATTTTATATTTTTGTGGTTGTTTTTGGATTAAAAGATGCAACAAGACTAATGTAAAATAACACAAATATATATTTGATTAGCCACCTATTGTTTGGTGTAACAATATTGAAGCTTTTGCTCTCACGCACAATCCAGCTTTTTATGATCGTACCAAACAAGTGTAGGTCGATGTCCATTTCGTACAGTGTGTTCTGATGAGGGATTTACTCCTCCATCAGGTCTTTAGCACATATCAGCTGGCTCACATGTTAACGAAGGGCTTCTGGAGGGTAATGGATAATGTTTGTACCATACTTGACCAATCCTGAAACTACCAAGTACCGGTCAACTTCATACCTTCAAAGATCTATTGAGGGATTTATGCTGAGGCACCCTCGCCGAAGCACAAAAGTTTCCCTCCAACTAGGAGGCCAATCACAACACCACACATGTCAATGTCAGAATAAAGCTCATAGAGTCTCACATCGACCGCGGACAAAAGCTAGAGACTCTCCTAAACTATAAAAGAAGACTATTCTCCTACAATGAATCCCTAATGTCATTATTGTACTTAAACTACTCATTAGAACTCACTAATGATGATTATGCTTGAACCTATGTATTTGTGTAAACCTTTCACTATTAATGAGAACTCCTCTACTCCGTGGATGTAGCCAAACTTAGGGTGAGCCACGTACATCTTGTGTTCGCTTTCCTATCTCTTTACATATTTATCATCACTACTGACCGGAGCAACCGAGCGAAGGTCACAAACTTGACACTTTACGTTGTTTCAAAGTCTTCACTGATTTTGTGCATCAACATTTGGCGCCGTCTGTGGGTATGACACTTATTTCTACTTTCTCCAGCTTTGTCAAGCTAGTTTCCATCGTTTGTACACTCTCATTTGATCAGGTATCCCTCTCCAACATGGGAAGCGAAGGAAGCCACGACACGAAGAATGACACCCCCTCATGCCTAGTGTGAGACAGCGAAGGAAGGAAAGAAAAAATTTTGCTCTTCAGGCTAAGGTCGAAGAGCTTGAGGCTCAAAATAACAAGATAGCAATGAAGAATAAGATCCTCCAAGAACAGTATGAGAAACTTTTTGAGATGCTCCACGAGGCTAGGCAGACTTAATCTCACAATTTCATCGCCCCTGTGAATGGTAACCATCATATGTGTGCCCCCCAACATGAAGGGTCACCGGTCTTCAACATGGATACTTCTAATGAGGAGTGAACTACCCATCAATGTGTTGATCAACGCGAGACTTCTCTTAACCCAACTGCTTTGACTTCTCTTAACCATCATATGTGTGCCCTCCAACATGAAGGGTCACCGGTCTTCAACATGGATACTTCTAATGAGGAGTGAACTACCCATCAATGTGTTGATCAACGCGAGACTTCTCTTAACCCAACTGCTTCGACTCAAAGCATGAGAAGTAGAGAGACACCTCCTCACAGAAAGAGTGGAAGAATCGAAGGCTGTTTATCACAACTGTTGAGACTTCTTGAGGCAGCATCGAGAAAACCCCATCCACCTAAGCTCAAGGATCAAAGACCCAAGAGTCATCGAAGGGCTCAGTCCCCTACCATAACGTAGGCCAGCCCTCATTCCAAGAAAAGAATGACAAGCCTTGGAGGGATAAGAAGGTGTAGGAGACTCGGAGGATTTCCAATGGGCACGTCCTGGAAGCGAGTGCGGCAAATCTAGGGAAAGGCCACATGCCTTTGACCAAATTTTCCTACTTCCAAGGGATGAGGGAAACTTACGAAGAAACATTCTAATGGTGCCTGACTTCACTCAAGACCCCTTTATCTTACAGCCCCTCAAACAAGTGAACAGGCTAAAGGCCTAGTGTCAGGCCAAATAACCACGGTTGTAGTTTCTTCATCAACCGTGGAAAAAGAGGTACTCCGAACCCACGACCAGTTCTTGTGCAACCGAACCATCCCGGACGCAATGCAAGCTTGCAACCTCCGCCAGGACAGCTTGCCCTGGATACCCGCGTCAGATAAATGGAGAAACCTCCGTAAAATATGCAACAACCAATTGTTTGCAACGAAAGTCCTTGATGCCAACCAAGCCAACCGTTACCTAAAAGTGCAGGAGCTCATCGCCGATGTCAATGAAAGCGTTGTGAAAGGTAAGGTGGTAATAACTGAGAGGGCTTCCCTTAAGACGACGCTCAATCTGCTGTCGTGTATTGTTTTCTCCGTTGATTTAGTTGACCCGAGCAGTGAGATCGGCGGAGAGTTCAAGGAGATTGTGTGGGGTTTGATGGAAGAGGCAGGGAAGCCAAACTTGGGGGACTATTTTCCTCTGCTTAGGAAACTTGACCCCCAAGGCATTTGAGGGCGCATGATCAAACATTTTCTCAAGATTGATTCGCTTTTTGATCGAATGATCACGCAAAGGTTAGAATTGAGAAAATCGAACGATGATGTCACAAATAATGATATGCTGGATTCTCTCTTGAACATCGGTGAAGGGAGCAATGAGGATATGGACAAGCTCTTGGTTGAACATCTGCTTCAGGTCAGTTTTCTACTTTCTAACAACTCAGATTCAGTATTTTACGATGCCCTTGGTAATCATTTTGGTTTATCATTCTGTTCATTAAAATTTACAATTCCAATATTTAATCATTGTATTGCTGCAATATGTTTTTATATAGTCTCTATTCATTGCGGGCACGGATACAACTTCAACCACGCTGGAATGGGCAATGGCTGAACTACTACGCAACCCGGAAAAACTGTCGAAAGCGCAAGAGGAACTAGATCAAGTTATTGGCAAGGGAAAACCAGTTGAAGAATCGGACATTGCTAGACTCCCTTACTTACAAGCAATAATCAAAGAGACCCTCCGGTTGCATCCGGCTGCACCATTACTACTCCCTCGAAAGGCCAAACATGACGTGTAAATTTGCGGGTACATTGTCCGAAAGGGTGCACAAGTGCTGGCCAATGCATGGGCTATAGGCAGAGACCCCTGCATTGGGGACAACCCAACCTCATTTGCACCGGAGAGGTTTTTCAGATTAGATGATCAAATCGATGTTTTAGGCAAGAATTTTGAGCTTATTCCGTTTGGTGGCGGGAGGAGAATATGTACAGGGCTGCCATTGGCGATGCGGATGCTACACTTGATTTTGGGTTCACTTATTAACTCATTTATTTGGAAGCTTGAAGATGGAGTTATATCAGAGAACATGAACATGGAGGAGAAGTTTGGCCTCACCTTACGGATGGCTCATCCTCTAAGAGCTATGCCAAAGGTCCTTATCTGATATGGTAATTGTATTAACTTTTAATTTGTAAATTTTTTATTTATGTGGCTGTTTTTGGATTAAGAGATGCACCAGTGAAATAACACAATATTTGTTGTAGCAAAAAGAGAATTAGATTAGAAAGAAAGAAAGTCAACGAGTTATTCTTTCAACAACAAAATTCTAATCCCTTTTGTTGGTGTTGTTGCTAATTTTTGTCGTTGAACTTGATATTTCCCTCTGGCGCCAACGACTTATTCTTTGACTAAAGTTAGAGGTTATCAAAAAGATAAAAGGGTTTACTTAAGACCGAATCTTATTGGATTTTCTTGTTACTCAAAAGTTCATAGAGCTCGTTTGGTAACTTTTTTTTTCTTTCTTCTGGGTTTCACATTTATGTTAGTGAAAGAAGGAAATCCAATTGGTTTGTATTGCACATTAATAATTTAGAATTATTACTTGTATTCCAAGCATTATTTCTCTTATTCGTTGTCTTCTTTTGTTTCTTCAATCTTGGCTTCTGCATTGCAGTTCATGGTTTTCTTGTTCCTCGAGGAATGCAACAAGTCCTTACCGGCATCTTCCCTTTTCACCAACTGCAATCTCTGCAGGAGTCACCTCCAGCTGCTTTAAGAATTCTTCAATTTCGTCGAAGAGATGGTGAGTTTTTGTTCCAAGGTAGTTAGAAGCAAGGATCTTGAATCCACATGGTGTGCAGTAGGGCATGTGAATGTGCATATCCATGCGCCCTGGTCTCAACAATGCAGTATCTAGTTTCTCCTCTCATCTCCGCAGCTTGACCACAGCCCATCGATGAAATTAAGCAACCCCGATAGAGTTAACTGTTGAAAACAGCAACCTCGATTTTAATACACTTTGCTCCATGAAACTGAAAAGCCAATTTACTCCCTAGAACTCGATTTTGATCCCACTTTGTTCTCCGAAACTCAAAACTTGTCTTTTTACTACTTAAAACTCAAAATTCGCTCTACATTGCCTTGTTTTTAGAATAAGTTCATTTATTTAAAATTCATAATTAGTAATATGTCAAATTTTCTCTAAAATAAATTAATAGTAAAAAAGAACAAAAAATCATCTTCTCTTCATCAGCCACCTCCATTAATTGCATAAGAACATAGGAAAAAGCAAAACCAATGGAATTAATGATAAGGTGGCTAGAGATGGCGAGAGAATGAATCAATGTATGGACAAAGATTAGAGAGAAATGGGAAAGAGGGGTCGGAATCGGAGAGATGAAACCCAGGAATTTTTTTTGCTATTTTTTTAAATATGTTATACAATGTTTGAAAATTCAATTTTCTTTTGATGTGACACTATTTGACTGGATTTGTGAGTTTTATACTATTTTATCGAACTCATGTTCTTTGTAGTATAGATGATGAATGAATTATACGGCTTATGAACATGCTTTGGCACACTACTTTATAGTATAGATGATAGATGACTTTATACTATGAAGATGTTTTTGAGATATATATATATATATATATATATATGTATGTATATATATATATGTATGTTTGGAAAGTCTATGTTCAATGGTTTTGTGCTTATCTAGTGGTCACTATACCGCCAAGGGCGAGGGTTATGGTTGTTGGCTGCGGGCCAGGAGAAATAATCTCTGGCTTCGGGCCGAGAAACATAGAGCTAGCATTGGGCTAGGAGAAATAATCTCTAGCTACGGGCGCAGAGACATGGAGCTAACATTGGGCCAGGATATATCGTTACTAGATATCACTATTTAGCCCACTGTATATGAGATATGTTTCTGGAAAGGTTTATGGCATGCTAGGGTTTTCAGAAAAACTTATTACTGATTATGCTATTGAGTTTTCATAAAACTTTGGGGGTTAGTATGTTGATAACTGTTTCAGTATTTTATATATATATCAACTTGGTACACTCATGTTTGTTTTGTGCCCCCTCAGGACATAGGAGCGAGGATTACGACTCGCACTACAATGCTTTCCCCGACCTGTGACATCATGCTATTCTCTCTGCTTAACATCTATTGTAATAGCACTTCTCTATCTTACCTTCTGCTTGTACTCTGTACTAGATGTATGCTCTGAACATGTCATGCACTATCATTATGTTTTCATTGTTGCAATTGAATTTTTTTTTATTATATTAGTATTCGAGCGAAATTTACATGCATGTGAACACATGTTCTCAGCATTTGAATTCGTAAATGGCTTGCGTCACCTTCGGGTGTCGGCCAACACGTGACCATCCAGATGTCTCACAAACATCGAGATCAGGGTGTGTCATTTAAGTTTCAGGGGGCAAAGTGAGATCGAAATCGAGTTCCAGTAAGCAAAGTGATGACTTTTGAGTTTCAATGAGTAAAGTGAGATTAAATCGAA